GGATCATTGGGTACTTCACAACAGGAACAAAGACACTCTGGCCGCTTTGTTCAGTATCAAACTTGTGCCCCAAGCTCCTGATCAAGCCACAACCAACCTCCTCAACCTTGAACAAAACGCTGGAGATGATGGAGACCAACCTAATGTTGACCTACTCATACCAGGTGTGCCATCCAACATAACAGTTGCCCAACTAGAGCATCACTTTGTCCATTCATACATCAACTCAGAGGATGTGATGACACATTATATTCTATCCCCACCATCACTTCAACAACAACAATCAGTAGTGACAACAACCATCACAAAGCCTCGAGAGAATACATATCAGATATCCATTCGCAGAGAGAAGATGACGTGCACCTGTGAGTCCTTCAAGTTTGGCGGCCGTCACCGTTTCTGCAAGCATACCATTTCAATCCTACGGATGTTGCAGTATGACGAACAATCAATCCGGCTCTATTCATTGAGCCAAACGACAACGATCAATATACAAGAGGCATATCAGAAGCTGCGTATGCTCACCGATTCCACAGTTCAGACACAGGTTCAACCAGTTAATGTCGTCCCAACGCGAGGTGCCACACAACTACAACCGCTGCTACCTACAATCAATGAGCCCATTGATACTACACCACTGCATGACGATGACCATTATTCTGGAGGCGGTGGATTTGGTCCAGACTACTCGGATGATGAGGCGGAAGTGCAACAACATCGACAACAGCTCTGTGATGTTTCCAATCGACATGTGACATCAGGTACATCACATCTACGTCAACAACAACAACAACAACAACAACAACGACGACGCAACCTAATCATTCCTGATCTCGATGACGACGATGACTTTGAACAACTCCAGCAACATCAGCAACATCATCAACTTCAATTGATGTCCTTCCAACAACTACAACAAACGAGTGACATTACCAGTAATACACAGCAACAACCGCCAGCTCAAGCAGCACCAAGCACGTCCGATCAAGAGCCATTGCCAGATCCCAATGTCCTATGCGATCTTGAGAATGAAGTTGACATCTCATTCATTGACTATAGTCTGATGGCCGAGTTGGATACATCAATCCTAGGTTCAAATGTTGGTGGGCTAAACAATGTACATTACGCTGAGCCCCTGTTGGCAACGGACTTTATGTGTATGTATAGGCATTGATCAACACTACACTGAATAACTTACTTACCAATCAATCAATCAATCAATCAATCAAAGCAATGAACGATACAGAGGATGACGGTCAGAGCATGTCAGTCATAGCGGTGACAACAAGTCCATCAACGTCCATTCCGTTGACCTCCTCAACGATGTCAACCCAATCATCTTCAGCCCACCCATCGATGCCAATGTCCTCCACAGTGTCGGAATCCACAACCTCAACTTCCACGACCTCATCTGGAAGCAAACGTAGTATGGACCATCAAGGTTCAGTTGACGAGGGACCAAAGAGACTACGTACTGGTGCACTACAGTCACATGTTACCACATCATTACCAAGACAACCGCTCTACACTGACACCAGTCGCTTCTACAACGCAATGTCGAATACGACAGGATCAGAATATTACGGCACGTTCTGGCCTTGCAAGATTCTCAAGCATCAATACCTAGCGGAGGGTAATACTTTTGAGTATTACGTTCAGTACTACCAGAGAGAGTATGTATAAACATCCTGATGACTGTTGCTTGTATTAACACGATCCATCCACAGCCGTAGAGCTCGTACTGAGTTGGTGATGATCAAGAATGACAAGGCATGGGTGTTGGAATGCAACCTGCTACCTTACAGTCATACATCTATTCCAGTCCCTTTTGAAGAGATGTATAGTCAGGTTAGGATTACCTCTAAGGCAGATAAGGAGATCTTCATGGTCAAGTGTCCAAATGGTTATTGGTGTCGAGGAATACTCGTTGATTGGCCTGTTGCTGAACGTAAATCAAAGTTCCTCTCTGTTGTTGCATCTCTGATTGATTGCGACAACAAAGAAATATTGGTACCAACTAGGCAGGAGATGGTCCTTCGCATAGACCAACTGTAGCAATTTTTTATATTTGTAAATAAACTGAATGAATGAATGAATACCAAGCCTTCATTGAATCTGGGACATGACTAACTGATGAACTTCGACAAATTTGGTTGGTGTGGGGTATGAAACACTACCACCAAACCCCTTGCGAAACAAATGTGTGGTGTGTGTATGGTAGGATGATGAGGTATGTATGGAGCAACCATACTGGCGACGCCAAGTTGGACCAGCAGCAACAGCATCCAGGCTGATGTGACTGACCACAAGCAATCACTGTCACAATCGCTCACATGATGGACTATGTCAGATGCCTGCCTCTTTCGAGTCGATGTGTTTAATTAGAGTGCTGTTGAGAAGATGGAGGTTGTGGTGGATCCATGGCTGTCAATCTATTCCACTAAAAGATCGGTGCAGCTATCCTGTCTGAATTCCCTGGAGGCTTCTTGGATATGCAGCGCAAGTGGACATAAATATGTACCAACAAAGGACCTCCAGACGACAACATCCACTGACGATCCCAGGTCAACCATTCTTTATTCTCGAGGGTTTCACTTAATAAAGAACAAGAGCGAGCAAGGCAATGGTGCTCACCATCAATCCAACAGAGACCACCATGGAACGGATGGCAACATTGGCTATGCACTTTACATAGCTATTGAGGGTGTCGCTGAGGCAGTCGTTGCAGGTGTCGTTGGCAGTGGAGAAGGTTGAACCCACACAGGAGGAGTCCATGTACATGGCGACCGAGACCTGATCGAAATTCTTCCGGAAGATACCGTAACCAACTGAGCCGCCACCACAGGCTCTGTTCACTTTGACACACTTGTTGGTCTCGTAGTTGTTGCACTGGCTGTAGCCCTTGCAAGTGGCATCGCAGTAGGTGCAGTAGGACACCTTGCTGTTGCCGACTGGGATGTCAGATGATGATGACTCCTCATCCGAGGACTCAAGGCACACCTGTCCGTTGATGGTCACCGAACAGCTGGACGTGTCTGTACTAACACATTTGAATGTGATTGCCGGCTGCCTGTTATAGGGCAGGGCAGTGACGGGTGCGTTGATCAGACCGTTCATGTTGTAGGCGTAGTATTTTCCGACGAAGGTGTTAGCTACATTGTCGCATATATATACAAAATGATCGTCAAGTTCAAGTCGACACCATTGAGAAAGATCTCAACTCCATCCTTGTCTGTTAAATAAATGCAGAACGTCTTTTTGGTCTTTGAGACTAGCTGTTTTGAATATGCTTCGAGGTTATGGTTAGTCCAATTGACATAGGCAAAGTCGGGCGTTCCAGCAGTACATACCTCTTGGAAGACATCATCTGATCCATTGCTGCACAAGTCTGAATGAATGTAAAGGATGTTCTCAATCTGCAAGTCGATCACGTTGGTACTCGTCAATTGCCTATTTTCAAATTAGTTGATACTGTCTTGATTGAAACCTAGATGATGGAACAGGTCAGCATCATTGAATATCAATGCTACCTGAATCTTATCGCTTGAACAAATGAACCTATATTTACCTGTGTTTGGTTGTTTAGATGTTGGCCATGTGATTGAATAAGTTAATTGGGTGATTGTTGTATTAATTAATTGTCTGTATGTGTCTTGAAGTGATAACCTTGAATAGTTGCCAACAGGTATTGTTATTACAACATCTTGATCATTCTCTCTAAGTGTGAATGTGTTTTTATTTCTGGGCATCACTTCAATGATGAAACTCCCTGGATTAAATGCTGTTTAGTTGATGCTTCAGCTAGTGCCAAACTTCGAGCGGATCTAGTTGACTGACCTCAAATCCATAGACTTTATCAATTGATTAAGGTTAGATAAATTAATAAAACATGCTTTATTGGCTGGAAAGGAAAAGACTGGTATGTTTGTCTCTTAGTGATCACCTAGGGTGGGTTCCAAAAAAAAACTAGAACAAAAACGAATGATCACACTTACAACAAATTCAAACACACACAATCAATACCATTCATTCTACTTACTCGACCGACTCATTCTTCATCATCAAGCATCAGTATCATATATATATATATACATACTAGATCACTCACACAATACAGACAGACATACAGGGTGCCAGAAGTAGTATATAGCGATGTCAAAGAAGATCACATTCATTAGAAGCGCAGTCAGACCTCCACAGCCATGGTTCATCATGCGTCGTGGTGACCTGAACGATATGTTCAAGTCAGACCCTGACGAGGCAGGCAGCATGTCAGCAGAGGGCAATGATGATGCTGAGCCCGATCAGAGAAACAATGAGGACGACGACGATGGAATTGGCATGGACATGGAGAGCGCGAACAACGACCCCGACTTCCACGATGAAGAGGTTGCTTTTGACGACTCGCACGACAATGAAAAGATGAAGATGGATCGCTTCGTCAAGCCATCACGTAGACTCTTCTTGAGAAACAAATACGTTCAGCGTCTAAAGTGGAGGCAGTTCCTGACCTACACAATCGACAACTACGACAAACTTAGAGAATCGTAAGTCTAGTTTGATCATCATCATCAGACATGTTTGTGATGGTCACTAACACAATCAATCAATCAATCATTGTATCAATATAACAGTGCAAGAGATGAAGCACATGATCGTTTAGCAATGTATAAGATTAATAATAAGAATGAATGGATATAATTGATCACAGAGACATACAGATAATAAACATATTAGTAGTTATAAGATAGATAGGTTATATATATATATACATGCATTCAATCGATGACCATTCATATCAGACATACAGATATACAAATATACAGGTATACAGGTAAACAAGTATACAGAAACGTCAAACCAAAGAGATAATGCGGACATGTCTAAATCAAACAAAGACATCTAACACACACTCACACACACACACTCACACACAGACATTTATCTCGATGGTGAGATATATCTTATATCGGAGGGAATATATATGTTGGTCACTACAATGGATTATATCCTATTATGACTAATATCATACACTCCAAATCAATCCAATAATAATAATATTATTTGTATGTTTGACCACAAACAAAGACCAAGGATAATGTCTATCTTTATAACATCCATCTCATTGTTAATTAACAATAATCATTGGAATTATAATATCCAATAATATATACTAATACAAATAATTATGTACAATTAATCACATCCAGATCATTAATAAAATATATATATATATAAATAAATAAAAGATGAAACTACAATATATTACAATATTAATATTGGTTGTGATAATGACATCAATGATGTTCATTGGTTCAAATGCCCATCCAGAGAACATGGACTACTTAAATGTAATTTATTCAACGGAATGATGGAACAAGCCATCAGTGAGTGATCCAGACCTAACATTATTAATATTAATAATATTTTAGACAAACTATTTCGATATAAATATGGCCAACATGAGGTTTAAACCATCAATGCTGCTGATACTGTCTCAAGTAGCCATAGCATCTCTATTACTACTCTTTTAATTGCATGAATGATTGGCAGCGTCCACGATAACGTCCACCTTAATAAATAATCTAAAATCAAACTAAACTAGATCTATTCCAGCGAGTATGATTGATTGTGATTGACTGTGAATGAACATGATTTCCAGATCCAGATCCAGATCCAGGTTCATGATCAATCTTTCCAGAATAATGCATCGTTTTGAAGTTTCTTTTGGAAGTTCTCGTACCAACGATCGACTGTGGCGATGGGAACAGAGTTGGAGGGCGTGTTGGCAGTGCCAGAGAATGACATGACATAGTTGACAAAGTTGTGACACATTTTGAATGCAAACTGCTTAAAGTCTATCAGTTTGAAAGTTGTGTTGTCATTGCCAATGTTCTGTTTCTGCTTCTGTTGTATCTCGGCCTCGGTCTCTATTGAGATTACAACCTGTGCCACACTCTTTGATCCATCAGACATTGTCGTGTCTGACTCTTGTAGTATACGGAAGAATGCACTTGGCTTTGCCTGATTGATATGTCCAAGATAGTTCCATTGACTATAAGGTTGAAATCCCAAATATACGGCTGCACAATATTCAGCGGGTAAGTTCCTAAAGTGAGTGCGTGAAGTGTCAGGTTAGTAAGGTAATTCATTCTTTCATTCATTCATTCGGCCAATGTTTGTATTCATCGCATTCTCCACATTCTTCGCATTGTTGGCAATCTTAACAATCTTAACAATCTTCGCATTCACACACATGAGAAAGGATGGAGTGGAGATGATTACATTGTTGGACATCGATACAACTACTGTTCTAAAAGGAATACAGCAAAGTTATGTACACTGGCGGCATCATCTATCTACAACATTTAGTATGTATGTTAGTTAGTTACTTGTATCATATCATGATACATCAATGTAAACATAAACATACTTGAAAGAAGTATCTTCCTGTTTGTATCTGTTGTACACTTGGTTGTACAGGTCTTCCTGATATCAAATAACCAAACATTATATTGTATTATGTTTGTTGTGTATGTATGTATGTATGAATGTAATGTATAAATGATGAATCAAACAGTTATAATGTTCCAAAGTACAACTTCAAGTGGCGCGCCTTTATCTCCTGTTGATCCTGTATCTTACAACAAATAGAATTCCAAACGAAATTTCAACAAGTTTTAATTAACAACAATGTCTAAAGACGCACTTCAAAGTTTCGTTGACAGAACTGACTTGATGTTCTTGTACCCTTATCAACTACAACAACAAAACATAATACATAATAATCATTAGAAGGATGTCACATCAATTAATTAAACGCATGCAGCGGCAAGTTGCCTTTTGTCGTCGATAACAACAACCCCCACATACAACACCACTAATCAATCACACTCTCTGATTGATCAAAGAGGTAGAGCTATGTTTGTGTGTGTGTGTGTGTTTGTTGAAGTGGACCACTCACACCCAGATGATGTGGTGATTGAATCCAACTCAAGGTCTTTCTTTATTAATAGCAGCTGAATAGCAGATGAATGATTGAATGAATTATGATGATGATGGTGTTGGTGTCTCTTCGAAGACGCCCTCTGGCATCAAGTGGATGGATGGATGGGAGAGAGAGAGAGAGAGCGAGTGATGATGTTGTTTAAAGGTATACACCTGGCCTTCCATCATAATCCTTTGCCCTTTCGATGCCATGACAGAAGTTGCATCAATCATCCATCTCTCACCAGATCAATATATGTCAATCCAAAGGCCCAATAACAACATCGTTCAAACTTAAAGCTAAATCTACATCTTGGCCATCTCAGAGAGAAGTCTATAGACTATATTCATTCATTCATTCATCAATCACTTCAATCAATCATTCATACATATATATCTCAACATTCATTCATTCCATTCATTCAAGTCTACAGCCACACAGACGCGACTCAGCCCTTGATTAGAAAAATGGGCAACATGCAAGCAAAGGAGAGGATTGACTTGTCTCCTCGAACATTAGCATTGACAAGGTATGGATACCATCATGGAAGTTGGAAGTTGGATAATGGATAATGGAAGTTGGAAGTTGGAAATTTGGAAGTTGGCTAACACTTTTGGAAACAACAAACAAACAACAAACAGTGTCGATGATAAGGTGTGGCTATGTATACCAGAGGAGAACTTATTCAATGACTCATTCACAATTGAGAAGTACTATATGTTGATGAGCAAGTCGCTCACAAACTTCAAAGATGCCGATCATTTCAAAGCGATCGAACAAATAGAACAATCATTCTTCCCATCCTATAAGGACAGGTTCACATTGGATGCCAACAACAACAGCAACAGCAATAGCATTAATAATAGTAGTGGCAATAGTGGAAACAGCGGAAACGGTGGAAACAGCAATGGAAGTGGGGGTGGTAGTGTGGAAGTAGATGTTCAACAACAACAACAACAAGCCGAGGGGCTTGGTGTCTCAAACAACAAACCTACGAATGTCAAGCAACAGCAGCAGAACACTCATTCATTATCTTCTTCAAAGTCGATACCAACATCTGCATCGACAATGTCATTGCTTGGAAGTCCAATACATACTTCGGCAGGAGGCTCAGCAACATCAACAACAGCGGCATCAAACAGCAGTATCTTCACGAGAAGCGCCACTCAAAGCCGACTAAACAGTGTACATAGTCCAAGACAACAGCCAACAACAACTACTACAACGACGACCACGACGAGTGGCAGTGCCATCGATGGCGTGGCGTCCAAACGAAAGATGGTTGCGCAAGAGAACACATCTAGTAGCAGCAGCAGCAACAAGTCGCCTCCTCAACAAGCACCAGGTTCACCAACAGTCGGAGGGATGTCTCCACCAACATCGAGACAGCAAGGTGTTGTTGCCACGACTGCGTCAGGGGTGGGAGTGGCCGCGTCAGCAACAGGTTCGACGGCGGCAACAGCGACTACAAACCCATTCCACGAGGAACTAAAGAATAGACAGGACATCCCTGTGTATCTAATCGAGGAGGATCCATTCCACACTCATCAAGTGACCACATCGCTCATACTCGAGGACCTGTACTCGCAGTCCAATGTCAACACAGCCTACTACTCCACGCTGTTGCAGAAGCGACTGTGCATTCTGAAGCGCATACACTTGGCGCTAAAGCGAGAGATCGCGCGCAAGAAGCTGTTCGACTCGGTCTATCACTCCAAGGCAAAGACACGCACCAAGAAGGTGCATGCGCCACCCATCTCTATCCGTATCGCCTGTCGCCTGTTCATCACAACGCTCCAGGAGCAAGTGTTTGAGCAGCGCATCTCGCTGCCGACGCTGCGCTCATTCAACTCGATGATCCGCGAGCTGCCCCCGCTGTCCATGGCTGGCGAGCCCCAGGACTGCATCGAGAGTCTGACCAAGTGGCTGCTGTCGGCCATCAACTCCAACAACATGTACATCAAGCGCGAGTCCATGGAGTCGCTCATTTCACTTGCCCTGAGTCAGGGCGCCCTCAGCGCAATACTCTACGCTCTCTCTTTGATAATAATGCCCGACAAGTTGCCAGCCACTGGCGACACTACCTTGGCACCTGGCAACGGCAACAGCAGTGGCAACACACAGACACAACAACAGCAACAGCAACAACAACAGCAGACACAACAACAGCGATCACATCCTCCACATATATCAACATTCAAGTCGAGTACGCATAGTAATAGCACTGGTAACATGAATGATCATTTGAATACGCCCATCACAGTAACCGACACATCTGTTTGGAACAAGGACATGTTGACCTTACGCCTGATCCCCTTCATCCGACAACTGGAGCAATGGAAGGTCGACCTTCCCCTCAGTCCTCTAACCCGAGACCTGCTCTTTGGTAAGTCCTCGCGAGTTCCCCAAGTCTCACCCAATGCACTCACTAACTCGCTCAATCGATGTAGCAACATGGCCAATACTTTGGAATGACAATGCATCAGAAGACTCGTTGTCGTTTTTGTCATCGCCTCATACGAACAACGCGACAATCACTTCGGATGGCGATTATATTTATATCCACGACTCTTGTGGCCTGGCCAAGATAGGCACCGGCTACTTTGGCACGCATCAAGGAAGGATCTACGCACGCAACGGACATTGGTACCCGCGAGAAAAGGGCTGGCTGGCATCCGTTGGCAACTACCTGTACTACCGCTCGCCCTCCACCGACCAGGCGTCATTCATTGTTATCGACCCCATCACACTCAAGGAGGTGGGCCGCGTGATGCAGGATGGCACTGGCTCATTCGCCTCCACAAACAACCTCACACTGCCCTTTGGCAGCGAGACGCCGCAGTCCGTGGTGGATGCCAACCCACTGACGCCACAGTACCAGATCACGACGCGCTCGCCCATGTTCACGGACGGCCGCTACCTCTACATCCTCACGCTGCAACGCTTCCACAACTACAACAACAAACAGTTCATTGTCGACATGTACGACCCATTTGTCGCGTTCAAGCACGTGAAGCGCATCGAGCTGCACTACCCCGACACCGATGTCAACGAAGAGATGGTGCTCAATCCAGCGGTGCTCGAGTCGGGCTCGTTCTACACCAACGGACATTATCTGATGGTCGTATTGCCACCTCCATTATCCGGCGATTACAGCACGGATATCAAGAGCTATCTGTGTCGCGCGTTCAGTCTAAGTGACGGCTCGTTGTTGGGCAACTACTGTTTGGAGAACCAACCAATTGGTATCGCGTCCACCTATGACTACGTCAACAATGTCATCTGGAACTACTCTAGCAGCGAGTCCGAGGTTGGCCGATATGGCAACGAAGGCTTTGGCCCCAAACATAACTTCCCCGTTCCATTCGCCCGGTCTTCCTCAACCTCCGCCAGCCCAGCATCAATGTATGTGTTACACTCCACCTTTCATTCATTCAATCACTAACTTCCAATCAATCAATAAGTGTCAGTGGCGCGAAAGGTGGCCCTAACAAGCCTCAGACCCAGCCACAGCCCCAGCCTGGAACTAGTTCGACAAACACAAGTACATCAAAGTCGTCGACGACAATCACTACAACATCGAACGCGACAGCGACAGCAACGATAATATCGACCACGATCACTACATCGATGGTGGAAAGCGATGATAACATGGGGATGGATCCCAAGCAGGTGGTGTCGACCGTGCTCGGCATACTCAGCCGTTTGGCTGTCGATTACATGCCGTCGACATCAGAGAACTCCAACAACTCATCGCCATCGACCACGCACCACCTTTACAAACTGAGCGAGCCGTACAGTGTCGAGGTCAACTTTGAGACATTCTCTCAACTCTACGACATTCTCAAGCATTATCAATCGCAGGTGATGCGCATTGGCCAGTCGACAGCGATGTCTACACCCAAGTCCATCGATGTTCTGCGCTGCATCATATACTGCTTGCGCCTGCTCAAAGTCAACCTGTTCCGACTGACGTCCAACATACGCAGTCTTGAGCGCAGCCAACAGCACTACCAAGACAGCTCACGCGACTCCCTCCTCAAGTGCATCGATCAATCATTCCTGCACCAACTTCGCGACCTTCTTCTTGGATTCATAATCGATGGCATTGAGGGTAGCATTGGATACGGTACCTCCTCCTCCATGGGTAGTGCCTCGCGAGACTCACACACGTTACCCGAGCTCAACTCAATCATTGAGGAGTCGTGCGAGGTGCTCACACTGGGCCTGGACCTGTTCTATCCAACATCATTGGACAAGGCAAGCTTTGTAAAGATGCTGTTGGAGCGAGTCATGAGCTACCGCGTGGCGGCCATGTCCGCGAGCGATCAATCAGCAACGATGTTGGATCAGAAGGAGAAGGGCTACTCAATCTTGCTCAACTCTGTGCTCACACTTCTTGCCAACCATCCAAATGCGTCCTTCTTTGCCCTGCCACCGCTGGTCTCGGAGCTACCATCGCCATTCAGCGTGGTTCAACTTTGATGGTGCTACTGAGTATCCAAGCGACAAACCATTCGACCCGATGAACTTGTTCGTGCCAATAATCAAACATCTTTTGATCGAAGCCCAAGCCACCATCCCCAAGCAGACTCTGGCCCCGCAACTCTCGCGCCACGACTCGACCCAACACCTTGGCTTCTCATTCTTCTCGTCAGCTCCGCCCCCTCCACTCAGCTCCTCCTCGCCAGCCATGCGTCTACTCCTCGCAATCCAGAAGGACTTGATTCTTCGTGTGGAGAACTCGGTTGTGGGCACGGAAGCGCCATCTCAGGCATTCGTCGCCTATGCACGCCTTTTGATGGAGAAGTGCAAGGACCTCCTGCTGGGCGTGTTGGACTCTGAGTCCATCCAGCGCAATCAACAATCAATCTTGTTGACCGACTTCAAGTCGTCAGTGGTCGGCGCATTGCTGCCTACACTCATTCATTCATTGTTCCTCTTCTCCTACCACATATGGCTGGCCAAAGAGCTGCTGCCATCGCTCGTCGCCCTGATTGGCGTGGTGGACCGCGTCAATCGCCGCCTGCCCAAGCTATTCAATCGGCCCGAGCTCGGTCGCCAGCCACTCCAGAAGCGCAGCAGCTTCGTCGAGGGCCCCAGTCGCATATCCGAGTCGCCACATCCCTACCACCCGTTTATGAACACACGCCAGCTCGTGTCAATCCCAGGCGCCGTGTTCCTGTCCCTCGTGTTTGATGAGCGCTCATCGACCAGCACGTCTGAGGACCTGCTTCAGATCTTTGAGGCAGCCGAGTCAAAGGAGCCAATCGATCAGTTCTCGCTATCGCAGTGGCCCAAGCGCCGCATATTGATTCCTGGCGACACCATTTGTGTTCCAGTTCATAACCGGCTCGGCGACACACAGCAGCAACAGCTCATCAAACCCATATGGCTTCTGGGGCTATAGATGCAACATCATTGGACACATGCCCAACTCAGACAAGACTTCGCTACCATGGTCCTCGCACCTCGAGAAGACTATGTGTTGCCTGGCAGGCCGTTTCTCGGCCTCGTTGATCAGCGGCGACGCACTCACCGACCTCGAGCTGGAGAATCGTCAACTGCTCGAGTCGCCTCTGTTCCTAAGCGGCATTGAAGAGGAGTTCGTCACGCACGTGTTGTTTGGCGTGAGTGGCGAGGGACCCTCTGCCCCGCACCCCAACCCGCAACCTCAGCCCTACCCCGTGGAGCCTGGGCAGATACCTCAACAGGCCACACACTGGCGCGCGATACAACGTTTCTGCTCAAGTCTGGCTCGAAGGAATGGTGAGCTGTACTCACAGTCTCTGGCGGACTTTATGTGGACGTGTACAACTGGCGAGAAGGTCAAGGGCAAGAGCAACATCAAGTCCGCGCAACAGGCCACAATAGCAGCGATGATCAAACATCTTGGCTTGGGAGAGATGGCAATGAACTTTGCCCTGGAGGTCATTCAATATCGAAACAAAGAGATGATTGCTGCGGCTCAGGCCCAGGCCCAAGGCCAATCCTCAGCCTCGGTCCCGGCCTCAGATTCACCAAAGCCCCCTCAACCACTCATTGATGTCTGGCGATCAGTCAATCAGATACGCATCACAATCATTCAAAGACATCAGGAAAACTTAAACAACAACAACATCAGTAGTGATGGTGGTGGAAGCGGGGGTGGCGGAAACCCCAGCGTGGCGACCGAGGACGACTCGGCCAAGCGCAGGAGCATGCACACAGCACTCTGGGAGACTATCTACAAAGACATCTCAGACAAGATCATTGAGAAGGCACTCTTCCTTCTCGAGCTACAATCATTCTCTGGCGAGTTGGAAGCCAATGCGACCTTGCCACAAGCGGCCACCGTACAGACAGCTTCAACATCCCCCCAATTACCATCCGCACTGACCAATCCCGCGCTCTGGACTGAGATATCTAGCACAGTCAACAACTTTGTCCTGTCCAACGCACCTTTGGACGACATCAAGAAGATACTGGCAGCGCGACGATCACGTGCCTTCACGCGTAGCATTGGTCTTCAATCAATGATCGACATACTTCGTTGCGCGTCCGATCACTCAATGAAGCAGGAGACATTGTGCTACATTGGCCCAGCACTGCGCAACAGTGGACTGGTGAGGCAACGCTCGCCTCCCTTCCACTACCTCGACCACCTTCGTGGCTGTGGCACACGTCTGCTCAAGGACATCAAGCGGACATTCCGCGCACTTATGGAGGACATTGCATCACTGCTTCAGGACCCCAACAGCGACTACTCGCTCAAGATCTACGCGCTGGATGCCTTCACGCTCAACTTCACCAGCGAGGATGCCGACCTCCTCATGTCCGTGGACATCTTCAACAAGATCCACAATTTGATGACCAATGACTCGATCTGGGGTGGACTATGGTCAAGTAGCGCTTTGCCAATGAGCGATCGCGGCGTGGGTGACCACAGCGTGTTGCTGCACACTCAGAGCTCGAGCTCAATTGGCAGCGGCGGCAGCAGTAACAACTTGTTTGCCAACAACATTGTTGAGGAGGAGCGTCTGGAGAAGGAGAGAATGAAGCGCAATGCCAAGGCTTTGTTCAGATTCCTCGGCCTCATCTGTGTTGATGGCGGTCCTAACAACACTGGCGGCGTGGGCAACAAGCAGCAACTGGTTGGACTACTTGGCCCCACGGTCAAGTCATTGGAGGCACTTCGCGACACTTTCTTCCACCTCATGGAGACACAGCTTGAGTCATCGCTGGCACATCTCCAAGAGCAGAACAAGGCGTATTGGCATGGATCAGATCTCCCCGGCGCGGCTGCCGGTGCAGGCGCACCCTCGCAGTCACCACCAGCCCAAACCACCTCTTTGTTTACCAACAACAAGGGTAGACGTATACTGCGTGGCGAGCGATCGACCCTCAACTACGACTTTAGCGATGGCCTCTCACTTTTGCACATACTATCCGCGTTCAACTCGGTCAAGCAGCGACTTGTGTTACCATCCTTCCTCAACATCTTTCATTCGATACTTCAGGTTGGCGACGACACGCACCGTCGCATCACACTGCGCATCTTCCGTCGCGTACTCCCCTTCACGTCGCCTCACAAGCTGATCGTGTCGTCCAAGCGGTCCAACTCGACATCGTCCGCTCTGCACACGCACACCCCCGCGCCCACGCTCACATCGTCCACGACATCGCCTATCCCGCTGACCGCCAATGTCACCCACTTCTCCAAGAGCATCTTCAACCTATTGCTCGACATCATTGGCGCGATCAGCTACTGGGGCTGTTCGTCGGACTTGGTCGAGACGGCTCGCTATATCGACCCACGCTTCTTCATCACGTCGTCCAACTACAACCTGTACTTCTTCAGTGGCAACCATCATGCCGCACATGGCCACAACGTCACCAAGTTGTTCACATCCCAAGCACCCTACCACTCAATCTTTGACAAGCATGCCAGTGTCCTGCCCTCATGCTGGGACGTGTTCGCGAGCACCAACGCCTCGCCCACACTCCGCTTCTCCAACGATGCCAAGCTCGTCACCAACTCAACCCAGAGCGACGTGGTCATCATCAAGGCCGACAACACTATCCCTGACTGCATGCCCTTGTTCTACTTTGAGGTCAAAGTCGAGAGTGACACACCAGCCCCCGCTGGTGGCGCGACTGATCCAAACTCGATCAACTGTGTTGTTGGACTATTCCCGCTCAGCCACGTGTCCCAACTTGGTACTTGCAGGGAATGGAAGTATGGCTACGGCTATTCGGCAAAGGATGGTCACAAGGTATGCCACAGGATCAATGTAAATCGATCGCGATCATACTCGGTGGGCTACTCGCGCAATGATGTCGTGGGCTGCGGATGGAACAGGAAGGATGGCAAGGTGTTCTTCACAAAGAATGGCAAGATCTTGGGCACGGCCTTCAAGAATGTGTTTGGCGACTTCTTCCCCGCTGTCCTCCTCGGTAGCGGTGTGTCGCTCTCTATCAACTTTGGCTCGCCTTCGCCATTCCTCTACGATATCACTCCCCTAGCCTCAGCTCACGTGGACGCGTCCAACGCGGAGAAGACGCTACCCTCCAACGCGCTGTCCTATTGCTCGGAGGTAGTCGCTCTGCTGCGTCTACTGCTTCGCTCGCCTATGTGGAAGCAGCCGCTGCAAAAGTACATTGAGGACGGTCTCAAGCTGCTGCCCTCGACCATCGTTCAGGAGACAATGAAGCCCACGTCACAGACTGTCACCCAATCATTGTTGCAGGTGTTCTCCAGCATCACGCTGTTGGCTGGCAATCTCGATGGCATTTGGGTGGGCTCGAGAGTACAGGTCGACCTGGGTTCGGGCCGTCTGGAGCAGGGCACAGTAATCGAGTACTCACAGCGCAGTAACTTGAGTCGCGTGTTACTCGACAGCAACATTGGCAAGCTGATCAAGACTGTCCATCATCGTCGACATCTCAAGCCAATCACCGAGGTTATGTTGGACTTTGGCCAATTCCTGCCATCATACTCATCGATCCTCTCTAGCCTGTCGGTGTTCCTGCGTCCAACTTCGCCAACAAACTCACTCTCGCCACTCCTATCGCCCTCTCAAACTTCGTCGTCCAAGTCCAACAACAACAACGCGCAATCGATGATCTATCGCACCAATCAGCGCAACATCTACCTCTTCATCAAGGCGAGAGTGATGAACATCATTGGATCGCTACTCAAACATAGTGATTGCGCAAGGTACGCATTGGACGAGAGCTTGATCCCCATCCTCGTGGAGTTTGCGTTGGGTCGTCCAATCCAATTCTTGGACGAGCCCAAGATTGAGAAGATGGAACGTCTGTCCTTCCTGCTCAAGGAGCGCATCTATGATTCGACATTCCGTCTATTCATCTCGGGTGAATCAAACACACTGGCCCAACAACAACAACAGGCACAACAGCAACAAGCCCAACAACAGAAGAAGGGAAGTCTTGGCAAGTCATCAGCGGCATCAATTGATCACTCACACATTCATTCATTGGATGATGTACCGCCCACAATCACTGGAGACGATGATGATATGATGGGAATGGAGGAGTTTGATGAGATTGGCGTGATTGACTTGGAGGGCGACGAGAGCCTAGATGGCAAGCACTCTGCCCAAGACGACGACCACACCGGAACATCCTCATCGTCATCATCGCGAGGCAACTCACTCAGCAAGAAGAGTGGTACTGATCTCAAGTCCAAGCACAACTCAGTCAATGTCACCGCGATGGGGTCTGTTGCTGGAGCTACTCCAGCCTCCGCAGCGGCTACCTCAACACCCGCCACCGCCACCCCCGCGACAACTCACCCAGTCGACCCGATCGATGATGTAATCGATGGTCAAACCGCCACAGCTAATGAAGACGATGAGTTGGTGGCCGAGGATGATATCCCTGAGGAGGGCATTCAAGGCAAGCGCATTCAGTGGGGCGACGTGCAGATTGGCATGGCTGTGATGGTGAGCAAGCGTGAGAAGCTTGGCCTTGGCCGCAGCAACTGGGTGATGGACATGGATCGCATCATTGGCTACGTTGGCATCGTCAAGAGCATTGACAAGAAGCACAAGCAGGTGTTGGTCACCCTCTTGGACGAGGACGCACTGTCTCTCCTCGACTGGTGGCTATGCTTCGAGGTGCTGATCTACCCTCCCTCATCGGACAAGTCGTCCAAGAACCCGCTGCAGTCGATTGGCAAGTACACCCATGCCCAACTGGTGCAACTGGACGCGTCGTCTGAGTTGGCTCTATCAATCCTGTTCGCGCGCAAAGCCCTGATCTCATTGTTGATCTCACTGCCCAACAATATCCGCGTACCATACACTGCGTTTGGCGGTGCCAAGAACTTGATATACATACTCAAGCTCACTCTGCAGACCTCGCTACTCAGCGCAGGCGAGGGCCACAAGTATGGAAACACAGGCAACTACAGCAACAGCATTGTAACCAAGTTGTTCAACATGGCCGGTGGAAACAACAGCAAGGACTTGCAGAACCTCAAGCTTCTGCATGCCAAGCTCACGACACTGGTGTTTCAGGAGGTCCAGCAACAGACCTCCCCTGTCGATCACAATCATTTCCATCATCTTCCAGCGATGCAGCAACAAGGAGACCACAAGAAGACTTCGTTTGATCGATTGGAGAAGTCGTTGTCCTCGTCGCTCCCCACACACATGGGCGCGTCCATCACTCAATCCCTCTCCTCATCAATGGACCTGTTGTTGGCACCACCGACAACCAGCAACAGCAAGGATGGCGCCAGCCTCTCATCACTGAACAACAGGAAGAGCTCCAAGTTCACGTCGCCACCTGCCACGATCTCGGGTGTGATGGCGCCGGCCATGGTTACGACACACACTTTGAGTGGCGACCCTCTCAAAATGGGCAATCTGATGAAGCAACAAAAGATCATCAAACTATGGAAGCGAGTGTTTGTCGTGCTGTCCAGCGACGCACTATTCTATTACAAGTCCTCAGAGAAGACTCAGTCCTCCGCCACGGACAAGACTCAGACTGCCGGCACGCCTACACACACGTTCTCCAAGGACACGTTGACGCCCATTGGATCAATCGACCTGAGAGACATTGTGTCCGTCACTCAAGTGCCAATACTCAAACAGAGCAAGTTGTTTAACAAGAAGGAGTTCTGCTTCCAGATCACGGTGGCCTCGAACAAGACCCACCTTTTCCAGGCCGCATCGCAAGAGGACCTGAACGAGTGGCTGCAGATAATCAACTCGGCATGCATCTCCAGCGCGTCCTTCCGCTCCAAGACCAACACACTCACGTCCAACTCTCTGGTCGACGTGCTTGTCAAGGAGTGCATGCTTCAGCTCAAGGAGACGCTTCACGAGCCACTGGCGCACGTGACCGAGGAGAGCCCGCACCCATATCCCCCGAACCACAAATGCAAGAAGATCGTTCGCATCGAGGGTGCGCTGGCATTGCTGGTTACATTCGATGCCCGCACCTCCACTGAGCCGGGCTACGGCATGCTCAAGCTGTTCTATGACCCCTGCTACACGGACCACATCGCGTCCTACAGCGGCAAGGTCTCGTCGTTCCCGCCCACATTGATCAACGCTGGCCAGTTCTGGATGATCTTCAACTCAGACTCGCCCAACTGCGACTGGGGCTACCGGTTCACCGTGACGCCAGTACGCATGAGAACGAGCGATGTCAGTCTGTTGCCCAACCCCAACTTTGAGTTTGCCTGTTTCCTCGTGGACTGGACGCTGCAGCTCAACGCGCAGCTCATCACGGCCAAGTACCCGCACTTCTTCACCGTGGACCTGGTCGAGCTGCTGATCCAGCATCTCGAGGGCGCCAACCAGCCCCTCGAACGCAAGCTCAAGGTCATCATATTCCTCACACGTATTCTCCAGAAGCAGCGCGAGGTGCCCAATGTGATGGCACCGCCACACAACACAAACAAATTTGATCATCTCAAAGAGGAGATGTTCCGGCTGTACAAGTTCGAGACGCAGATCACTCCCAACACGGGCAACACCAACCTGTCCCAATACCTCCAGCGTCTCATCGAGCTCTGCATCCACTCGGACATCAACAAGGCACACTGGCAGACCATCATCCACGATCAGTCGACATCCAGCTCATCCTCAGCATCATCATCAATCAGCAATATATCAAACTCGTCGTCTTCGTCTGGCGTCAACAACAACAACAACAACAATGGCGGAGGTGTGCAATCATCCACGAGTGCCAACGCGCCACCACCTGGCCTGCTCTCCAACAACATGGACGAGACACGTGGACTGTTCTTCAGGACGATCAAGACGTACAAGGTGTTTGACGGCCTGTTCAAGGGCAAGGGCTTCTCGCACGAGTTCATCAAGGAGGCATTCATGGAGACGAGGAACAAGCAGGTTGTGGATAGTCCCCATCCTTATCCACAAGGCGTCCGCGTGACGGCCAACATCATGATCCCCAATGCCGTGTCGCTCAAGGTTGAGTTCGAGCCACGCTCCAAGACCCAGATGTACGCCGACTACCTCATGTTCTCGCGCATCACTCCAGGTGGCGACGACCTCGGCTTCTTCACAAGCGACTTCCCCACGCAGCCCATCTTCATCTCGGGCGATCGCTTCATCTGGTCATTCTACTCTGATTCCAACGAGTCGGAATGGGGCTTCCGCTTCACAGTCACGCCCGTCTTCACAGAGGATGTTCAAAAGGAGAATGATCAACAATATGAACAAGAGATCAGCTATCTCCTTTCCAAGCCCTGGAACCATTCCCTCGACCTTGAGCTCGTCAAGTTCGTCAACACCGTCTGTGAGAAGCAGAAGAAGACTCCGTCACAACTCATGTAAGTACAACCCCAAGTTGGTAGATTGAATGAGTGGAACCATTCCTAACATCCCTACCCTCACCTCACCAACACAAGACCTGAACAATGCTTCACGTCCGAGTACTTGATGCTCTTCCCGATGCTATATGAAGTGAAGGACACGTTAGTTCTCTATCTTAGACTGATCGTACTCAAGCACTTCAATGTGTGCTGCCAGAACATGTTGCAGTACATTGATCTCAGAGGTGCCAGTGAGGAATGGTCAATGGCATACCGTCTGTGTAGTCTACGAGGTCTGCTCTTCTATGATTGCAAGCTGGAGATGCTCGGTAACTCATTGCTCAACAGTCGTACTCACGGACGTCGTCCAATAGTCTATCTCAATCGACATGGTTCCGTCACTGGAAGTGTTGCACAACAACAGCAGCAACAACAGCAACAACAGCAGCAGCCAACACACCACAGACATCTCAATCGCACGGCCACAACATTGTTCTCGCCCATGGACTACCATTTGTTGCACCAACAATCGCAACAGATTCACCAGCATCATCACCAACAGCAACACTTGCTCCTTCAACAGCAACAACATCAACAGTATCCACAACAAATTGGTGCGGGCCAGCAACAGTCTCTGTTCTTGCAGACCTTCCGCCAGCTTGGCATGATCGACCCGTCGAAGCTTCGTCACATGGATCGCGCTTGGGAGGTCAAGCTGGAGCGTGAGGGAGCCCGCGATGCTGGCGGACCCTACCGCGAGACCATTACACAGATGATCTGCGAGATACAGAGCAGCGAAATGAACCTGTTCCTGCCATGCCACAATGCTCAGGGCGACGTGGCGTTCAACCGTGACAAACTGGTGCCCAACTCGAGTGAGAACTCACCCTTCTCATTGCACCTCTATGAGTTCATTGGCAAGCTCATCGGCATTGCCATCAGGACCAAGAACTGCGTGGAGCTGTCCCTTCCCTCGATCTTTTGGAAGGCGTTGGTATGTGCACGAGTCGATCGCCAGGACCTGGAGGCAATTGACAAGTACACCACCAACATGATTGACATGGTCACCCAGGATGGCACAGGCATCGATGTTAGCCTCAACCAAGAGGTATTCAACGATCTTATATTCCAGACATTCACGACGCGCTCAATTGACAACAATGCTGTCGACCTGATCCCCGATGGAAAGAACGTGTCGGTGTCATGGGACAACCGCCATGAGTACGCCAGACTCCTGGAACAGTACAAGCTCAATGAGTTCAAACAGCAAATTGACGCCATTGTTAAGGGTGTGGCCAGTATCGTGCCCTTGCACATGCTCTACATCTACACATGGCAGGAGCTAGAGCTGCGCGTCTGTGGCATGCCTGGCCTCGATATCAAGTTGCTGAAGCGACACACACGCTACTATGGCCTCACATCGAATGAGCCCCGAGTCATTTGGTTCTGGCGCACACTCGAGAGCTTCTCATCAGAGGAGCAGACATTGTTCCTGCGCTTCGTGTGGGGACGATCGCGACTGCCACCCTCCAACGAGTTCAACTTCCAATTCCAACTGCACGTCTTTATACGTAATGACTCAATGATGTTTGACGATGACTATGACACTGGCGCGGGTGGACGCGATGGTCCTCGCAGCAGTGGTATGTCCATCGATGAGAACCAAGACGAGTACCTACCCGAGGCCAAGACCTGTTTCTTCTCGCTCTCATTGCCAAACTACAGCTCACAAGAGATCATGAAGGAAAAGCTACTCTACGCCATTACAACATGTCGAGATATTGATGCAGACTACATTGCCACTGATGGACTGGCAACATCCAACTAGTAATAAATATGTACATATTATTGACCAAAGAAAGCATCTTATGATGAATGTGACTTGGGTCGTATCCTAAACAAGATGACTTCTGACTTGAGCTCGACATCCATCGGCAGGAAGTCCTTCTCAATCTCCTCTCCAACAAAGTTCCACTTTGACATCAAGTAGGATATTGTCTTCTCAACTCTGATATCAAGGATAGGTTAGTACATGTCCAACATTGTTGGGTAACAATCTACACTTACGACCTAACTTGGTAACAGAATAGTATGTTGATATTCTTGTTCTTGTTGGCAAAGAATGCGAATGTAGAGAATATGTCGTCATAGTCTATGATTGATTGAGTGAACGAATGAACGAATGAATAAATGATTGATTGATTATACATATCATAACATACCTCTAGTATTGTTATAAAAGAGGTCGGATGCAAATAGATAATCGACGGATGGCAACTCAAAGGCTTGAGATGAGAACATTCCATATGATAGTTCAATGAATCGAGGTGATAGCTTGTTGATCAATGAGCCATTGTTTTGATTGTGTCTTATGATGTTGCGTACATTCTCAAAGATACCATTGGAGTCAGACCCCAGCCTGTCAGTGATGATTGTGTCTGCACCCAATGAGCATGCCACTAATGAAGGCAATGCAGTTCCAGCACCAAGTTCAAGTGTTGTCGTCATCAAGGGTATGTTCTTCTTGTTGTTGCTGCAGAACAATACATTGATCAAGTACCATGATAGTACTATACTACTATCCCATATGAGTGTGGCAAAGTCACTTCCTTGATTGGATTCTGGCAATATAACTTCAATATCAACGACAAGTGCATCATCATCATAATCTGCCTCTGCTTCATCAAACTCCACATCATCTTCCGAGTCTTGAGTTGATGGCCGCCGTGATGAGTTGAAGTTGTTTGCTGAGGTGAGCTTGCCAATGCCACTGGTACCTCCATTAGTGATGCGGAATGACTTTAACATATGGGACGTTATTTGTCAGACGTTGTTGATCGAGGGTGATTCTAAATTCATTGCAGTCAATCATGAATGATTGGTTTAGTGTCAAAATTGATTGGTGTGTGTTTGTCGTTCTAGTCTTTTTTATTGATATTAATTTAGGTTTATTAATTAACGAGTCGTCCACAATTGTTTTCCAAAGAGGAAGTTATTTGGATGACATCACACTTTAACAGCAATCTATTAATAGATAAGGGACGGGTAGAATGAATACATTATCGATTTATGTTTCTATTCAAGAACGGTGTCACCTAACAATCACTTAACAACCCTCTCTCATTAGTATTTGGATCGACGATGGTATCTAGGGAAATTCTCCCGACTCAACCTCCTAAATGAACCCTCAAACATTGTCTAGGGATATTTTTGTGATGATTCTTGAACAAGTGTCCAGCAGTAAAGGAAGTAACATAACATTAACTGGAAAATATCTTCATCAATTGAGAGACCGAGTGATCCTTTTCGGATCTTCTAACCCTCAATGTAATCGATTTGTTTAAACTCTTGAATTAATGAGTGTGAGAGTTAATGAACGTATACTTTCATTATGAATTGATTGTTTGATGAATCATTGTCCAGACCTGTAGGCGATACGATAATATCTTCCAGAGTTTAACAATCCTAATCATTCACTACACTCCTAAAAAGTAAAAGGTAAATATTATTGTAGTACTACTTCTTAATTATCCTCTTTGTATTACAATTGCACATCAACCACAACCGTAACCATAACCGTAACCATAACCATGACCATAACAATAATCATGAACATACATGAACATAAATCACTTAATATCCAAAGTTAATATCGTCATTTTTATGTTAATTTTAGAATTGTTCATATTGTTGTTGTCATTGTTGTATCTTTTACACCTCGTTGTAAATCAAAATCAAAGAGTGACCGGTCATCAGTACCGTTTGACATCCCACCCACTAATCACTTAAAGGGTGCCCCCATTCCTTAATGAATTAAGCTACAACAATCAGTTCCATCCGCTCTCTTTTTGATCATTATTTTTTGTTCCCCTATCACCTGCTCACTTACACACAAACACAATACTTGATCGATATCTACGGGGTGCCAATGCAAAGAAAGAACCAGTGGGTCGGGCAAGGCCTCGTCCAACTTCGAAAGCAAAGGAAGTCACGTGAGACACTTCTCTATTGTGTGAGAGCGAGGGGGGTCCAGAGAAATAGTCTCAATCTAATTGTTGGACGTGATCAACAAGTTTGTTGTTGCTATTGTATGTGCGATCAATACAACTCTCTCTACATTCTGTCTTACAAATTCGCAACATACACATTCATATTTATCACCTTTATGCGAGATGGCGAGAAAGTCAACACCCTGCCTTAGGCCTTGCCCCTCCCCCCAATCAATGAATAACAAAGAATGAATGAACAAATGCGATGATCAATGATGTATGAATGAATTATCATTGCTTACCCAAATTTCCATTCATTATCAAACCTCTATAACTATAGTTAGTACATTACTATTTATATAAACTTGAACAAGGACGAAACGACATTTGGACCTGGCTCAAGTCAGTTCAGTTCAGTTCAGTCATTCTGTCAGCCCACACCTCACTCACTCCACTCACTCAATCAATCACGACCCTTGCAACTTGCAAACACACTCACACGTTGTTGATAAACTTGGTATTCAAACCAACCAATCAAACTAATCAATCCAAACCATTTCAAACCGATTAGATCGATCAACACACCTCCCCACTCACCACACACTTCATATATCATATTAATATATCTCAATATAGATATATCATTTATATTGTTCCCTTCCAGTTTGTGTGTTGACTTACCGCCGACTGACACCCCCCAGTAGTTCAAGCGTCGTCAGCAAGCACCCAAACCATCAATGCTCTGTATCAAGCATGAAACCATTCTGGAGTGATGGGGATGAGACTCACAAAAGTCAACATAGTCAAAGTCAGGTGCCACCACCAACAACACCACCAACACCCACATTTAAACAGCATCAGCAACAACAACATCCTCAGCAACAACATCAATTTGTCCATCACTCATACATTCATCAGCCACCGCCATTCCGATCAGACTCATTTCCACCATTCTATACACAGAACAGACAACAGCAGTTTAATCAGCATCAACAACAATCTATAGCAACTTCATCTGAAGCAGACACTGAGACAACGCAAACTCCTCCTCCAGCAGCACCAACAACAACATCAACAACAACAACAACTACATCATCTAATATATTTTATAATGCGCCTCCATCTCCTTTGCAACAACAACAACAACAACACAGACAATTAATAACACCCCAACAACAACAATATAGTCATTATCCACCACCTAGATTTATACCAATACCAACCACAACTACAACAAGTAACTCAAATGTAACTCAACAACACCAACAACAAACTCAGCAGCAACACCACCACCAACACAGCCAACATAGCCAATACGGCCAATACCACCAAAGATTGTCATCCTTTACTGCTGGCAACACTTCATATTTCGATAATAATAACAACAATATCATCAACAACTTTGAAGAAGAAGAAGAAGAAGATATGGATAACCCACAACAACAACAACATCAACAACAACAACAACAACAACAGCAACAACATCAACCTCAGTTCGGAACACTGGAATCTCTCCGGTTTCGTAAATCATCTTCTTCCTTTGCTCAACATCAACAACATAGACAACAACAACAACAACTATTACAACAAAAACAACAACATCAACATAATCAATATCAACATCTAAGAGATCAATTACAAAGACAACAAGAACAACAAGAGAGACAACAGCAGCAGTTCTTTGACTACCTGTCGCCAAACTCCTCGTCATTTCATTCATCACCACCACCAAGCTCACCTCTGCCGCCAGATGATTCGCTGAGTCCTGACACCACAATCAATGTTGGTGTCACAGGTGGCAGCAGCAACAACTTCAACAACGACAACAACGACATTATACCGATGACTACTACTGGCTCTCTAAACATATCATTACCGACCGATGTCAATTTAACTAACTCCTCGACGACATCGACCACATCGACCACATCGACCACATCGACATCGACAACATCAACGACCACCAACAGCTCAACAAACACATCATCACCGCCAGTCTTCCCCAGCAGCCACAGCCAGAGCCCAAACAGTGGTAGCGCGACAACATCAAAGCCATCTGCATCGTCACTGCCACAACAACAATCATCAGGCGATGCAGTCACCTCGTCCACATCTCATCATCTCTACAGCGTCATGCCCAATGAACAAGAGACGTGGATAGAGATCAGAGACATCAGCTCAGAGATATCAAAGATGGCAAAGACTGGTTTGGCCAACGGCATCACCGAGGAGACGCTAGAGACTCTAAAGGAGAAGGGCACAGACTTGATGAGGATGATTGACACGGTCACCCAACAATTGGAAAGAAACACAGTGGAGGAGAGGACGCGCATCAGCGTCCCTCTGATGCGGCCCCGACGGTTCAGGAAGAAGAAGAAGACCAACGATTCTATTACTGCCCCCTCTCCACCACTACCTACACCTCACCAGGCAACAAACAGCACTACGTCCCCAGCCCTCATCAGTAGCAGCGGCACCAGTAGCAGTGGAAGCAACACCAGCAGCAACGCCAGCGGCGGTAGCAACACCAGCGCCAACAGCAGTACTACTAGCGGCGGCAGTGGTAGTGGCTCCAACACTGGCAGCGGAAACAGTGGTGCCACGACTAGCAGTGGTGGAAACTCTGGCACCAACAACAACATGGCATTGGTGTCTGCTGACATGACAACAATCACAATGTCAAGCCCAAACATTATCATACCCCTGGAAGCACCTTCAAAGCAACATGGACCAGTGGCACTGGGGACAGTGTCAATGGTGTCTCGAAAGACTGGACCAGGTGTTATTATGACCTCGTTCACCTCGTCCATCCCACCCGCGCTCCAGGACCAAGCAGGGCCTGGAGGCACAACCGATCATAACAAGAAGAGGGTGCTTTCTCCATTCTGCACATCTTGTGGTACGACACAAACGCCAGAATGGCGCAAAGGTCCAGCCGGAGGTAAAAGGTATTGTATTGGCATAGCCAGTCAGTTACTTGGACATGCATTCTAACCATGTACATCTGACCCATTTAGTTTATGTAATGCTTGTGGACTGCACTATGCCAAGTTGGTAAAGAAAGAGATAAAGACAGCAATGAAGGCTGCAGCCGAAGTACCTCCAAGCGAACGTGTTGGACCTGGAAGGAACAAGAAACTAAGCTTCACTCAAACAAACAATCCAAACAAAAAAAACAACAACAATAATAATAACAACAACGGCGGAGGAAGCGGCGGTGGCGGAGGAAGCGGGAACAACAACAGCAGCAGCTCAAGCTCCACAACATCGATGAATGTGGAGAACCTCCTAAATTGAACGAACGGCTATCCCAACTCATAAACAATGTGAAGAGCTCACTGGAGATGGTCTATCCTCACCTCAACCTACTAGTATACGTATTTGGTATCATTCCATGATAGATTTATTTATTCGATTGAAGGGAAGGGGAGGGGAGTGGAGGGTGGATGTGATCCTTAGTTGCTAGCGATGGTTGACTTGTTCTTCTGGAAGCGTGACTTGATGTATCTCACAAGGGAGAAGTTGGACTCGCGGTCCTTAAGTTTGAATGATGCAACGATCAGAAGGAAGACGGCCCAGGCGGTAACGATCAGATATGCCTGCCACACTTTGCGGAAAGACATACCAGCGCCTCGGATCATGATATCACGCAGAGCCTCTGCAGCCCATGTCGTGGGCAGGGCGTAACTGATCCAGGAGAACCATGGGGGAATCGCTTGCACTGGCCACATCACACCGGACAGCAGCAAACTTGGGAAGAATGACGCAAGGCTTAGTTGGATTGCCTCGGTTTCAATGACGGCGACGGATGATATCACCAGTCCCATGTTCATACCGACAATGCCCAACAGGATGAGCATTAAGATGACTAGGGCTACATCGCCTTCGATACTAATCTTGAATCCAAACACTGTGATCAGCATGAGCAATGTGGTTTGAATGAGCAAGAGGAGGATGTGTGCACAGAATGATCCGGCGAGACACACGGGGACATTGACACCAACGGCGAACAGACGATCCAGAGAGCCATCTATCTTCTCTCTCACGAATGACACTGATGAGATACCAATGGCATGAGCAAATGTGATCAACGCAATCATTCCAGGTGCAAGGAAACTGAGGAATGTAGTCGATGTCTTTCCATAGATTGGCGGCTGTACCTGTACTGGATTGATTGATATATTGAAGCTATTGGCAATGTCTTTTGTTGATTGGGTTAGGGTAAGGGTGAGGGTGAGGGGATGAGTGAGTGAACATACTCTCAAAGGCTACGGATATCTGTTGCTCAATGATCAAGGTGATTTGATAACTGGTAAAGTCGAGATATAGGTCAACGTTTGATTGATTGACCCAATATGGATTGGTAAGGTTCTCAAATCTCTGTGGAAGTGCCATTGTAAAGTTCTCTGGTATATATAATGCTCCCCAACCTTAAGATATTTGATTGTTTGAGGTTAGTATGGTCGCCAGTCTTGGAGGTTGAACGCAACATACTATTGCCATTCTTGATTTGGTCCAATGCTTGTTGAGTTGTGTTGAAGTAGTGGAAGTCAAAGACACCGGATTTGCCAAGTTGTTGAATGATGTCATCTCCAATGTTGATGTTGAATGGTGGTCCGATACCAACATCCTTATTCACAATGCCAAATGACAAGTTCTTTGGTGTAGCTCCAATGGCAATGAAGAACAAGAAGATTTGGATGGCAGGTGTCTGTGTAACATGGAGTTGGAGATCAAAGTTAGTATCCAATCACTACATCACTCATTCATCAATCAATCAGATCAACTTACCAACACTTCAAAGAACAAGACCACCTTGTTCCTGTAGATTTGAGTTATCTTTCTCCTTGCGATGGCAAAGACTTGTTGGAATCTTCTCTTGAAGCTCACTGTTCCTTGAAGACCAGCAACAGAGGTAGTCATGTTTCCATTGTTGCCAGCTTGTGAGAGTAGTGGTGTGTTCTCAATGTTTGAGTCGCTTGCATAGTAGAGTTTAGCCGCGTCCACTTTTGATTGATAGACATCGGGAACAGCCTCCTCGTCCTCTTGGGCGGCCGCCGGAGTGTTGATCACTCCATCTTCACTGTTGCCTCCATCGGGATCATTGTCAAGATGCTGATCGCCCGAGAGACAAAGCTTCAGGAACACCTCCTCCAAGTTGTCACAGGCATACTTGGTGATGAGGCGGTCAGGCACGCCCTGCGCAAGGATCTTACCGTAGCGCATCATGCTGACCCTGTCGGCCATCCTGGCCTCCTCGATGTAGTGCGTGGTGACAATGACAGTGACACCAACCTTGGCAATCTCACGAAGATGTTGCCAGATTCTTGATCGCAGCAATGGGTCCACACCAACAGTTGGCTCATCGAGAATCAGCAGTTTGGGATTGTGCAGCAGGGCCACAGCCAGAGATACTCTTCTCTTCTGGCCACCAGACAGTGTGCCAACGATACGAGAGTCGCGTGGCAACTCGAGGAAGGAACACAACCATGTCTTTCGCTCCTGGAATGATTCCTTTGACATACCATGCACTGCTTGATGGAAGTTGAATGTCTCACCGATCGACAAGTCATCATACAGTGCAGTCTCTTGTGGGGCATATCCAATGTCCGATCCAGGTACATTATGACCCCTAGTATGTGGCTGTGATCCAAACACAAACACCTTTCCAGAGTCTGGTATCAATCTGCCAAGTATAATCTTGAGCAATGTAGTCTTACCTTTATGTTTGTTTGATTGAGTTAGTGAGTGAGAGTGATCATGTGATTGAATGTAACAACATGATACATACCACAACCAGATGGACCGATTAGACCATTGATTGAACCTCGTTTGACACATAGGTTCATACCAGTGATGACCTTTGTGTTGCCATAACCTCTATGAACATCATTGACAATGATTGCCAAGTCTTCATTGTTATTGTTATTGTTGTTATCCATAATTAGTAGTAATATATACTATTATAACAATAAAAAATGAACATGATGTTTATATAATGACAACACAACTTAGATCTGTAGGAGTGAAGGTCCTTTCTGTCTCATTAGTGACAACCAAGAACATCTTGTTGATGTCTGTCAATAGGCTGGTGAGTGTGAGGGGGTGTGTTTGTTGTAAGTTTGATTCCAGTTCCGAAACGAAACACACAATGTGGGCAAGCAGTATGTAATGGGTGATGTTGTTATGGTGAGCCGATCACTTTAAAATATCTTGTTGTTGAACCTTGTCTAGATAAGTAATGACTCATTGATGTCAATGTCATTCACAGTATTTCGTTTCATCATCCAAAGAACATATTTAGAGATAACTATCGTCATTTATAACGTCGTATGTAGTTCATTCATTCATCACTTTGATTCAAACAAGACTGTTTGAGTGATTGTATGTTTCAGATATTTTTTATTCCTTTACTTATTAAACTAAGATTGATTGGTTGTGTGGTGTGTCTGATCTGAGATTGATGAATCATTAGTGAACTTTCTTTGGAATAAGATCGTGGTCCTGAAGTCCGTACCCATCACACCCCACAGATACCCAGGATTGATTGATGCTATTCCTGGTTGACAGACACAGATCAAAACACACACCTTTCAGTCATCCAGTCCAGTCAGTTGTTGTGTTTGTTTGAATTGAATTGTTGTTGTTTTGTTTTCCAACAGAGGTTGGGTTTTGCGCAAGATTTTTTTGCTTTTGACAAAGTTAGAGGTTGTAAGAATAGAGATAAATATCAAGAAGATAATTTAATATAATAATGATAAATGGGGACTACGACCAAGATGATGAATCAATACCAATCTTGAACAATAATAATAATAACAATACTTATAGTTATACAGATGGAAACACTTACACTGTAGACTCAAACACATCAAGTAGCAATGCAAGCTTCTACAACTCATCATTGCCTGGTCCATGGCCTGGTCATTCAATCAACATGGCACCACAACCTAATCCACTAATACTACATGATCAAGACAAGCAAGATAAACATGGCAAGCAACAACAACAAGACAATCAACAGACATTCACAACTTATAAACGAAGATGGTGGGTATTGTCCATCTTCACATTGTTGTCACTCAATCAATGTAACTTCTGGATCACATTCCCTACGATTGCAAAGCTGGCCTCACAATACTATAACGTTCCCATCAAGGACATTGACTATTTGACGGCGATCGCTGCCATCATCTTTGCGCCATTCTTGCTGATCTTTATGTGGTCGATCAATCAAGTTGGCATTCGTCGCAATCTTCTCATTGCCTCATTCCTCGTGACGATGTGTGGCGTGATCCGCTCGATACCCGGCCAGGGCGAGAACCTGTTCAGTCTGATCATCGTGGCGCAGGCGCTCAACGCAGCGGGCGGCCCATGCATTATGATCGTGCCGACCAAGCTGTCCAACGTCTGGTTCAGCCCCAGCGAGCGCACGTTCTCCACTGCCATCGGCACGCTGGCCAACTTTAGTGGCAGCGCCATCGGCTTCCTCCTCTCACTATACGCGACCACTGGCGAGAGGATGCGATACTTGTTGCTGGCCGAGGCTGTCTCGGGCCTGCTGATATTCATCGCCATATGTATCTACTTCCCCGAGCAGCCGCCCACCCCGCCCAGCGCCTCTGCGATGCTGGCGGCCAACGAGCCAAAGCCACAGACTACACTGTTGCAGAGCTGGAAGGAGCTGTGGAACATGTCGCTCAAGGTGCTTCGCGAGCCATCGGCCACTCTAATGATTGCGTCCGTGGCCATCACGTCGGGCACCTATGGATCGTGGTCCACCGTGCTCACACAGATTGTCGCGCCAGTGTTTGACGCTTCCGATGCCAAATGGCTTGGCTTCTGGGGTATCCTTGCCGGACTCTTTGGAGGCATAATCTGTGGCATCATTCACGACAAAGTGCACAACTACAAGATACTCATCATCACAATCCTCACACTCAATACCATAACATTTGTAATGTAAGTAGTCTCATTCATTCAATCATTCGTTGGAATCATTCCAATCACTCACTCACTCACTCAATCAATCAATCACAATTATATAGATTCTCTTTGATATGCTCAGGTGTACTACCTGGGTGGTACTGGCTGGGCCAGTTGGTGAACATTATTGGTGGCTGTCTGATCAATGGCTACTATCCGATAATATATGAAGCAGTGGTGGAGGTGTCCTACCCGGTGCCCGAGTCGATTGGCACCGCCATCATTTCATTCCTGATCAACATCTTCACATTGGTATCCATCCTACTAGGCTCTGCCATCCCGCCACTCTACATGAATTGGATACTCGTCGGCTGTTCGGCCACCTCCACACTACTTATATTCTTTGCCAAAGAAGAGTACAAACGATCCAAAGATGATCAACTCAAGATCAAGTAGTTGTAGTGCACTGGCCATCAGTCCTCACCTTTCTTTATTAATTTATGTGTATCATCAATAACATCCGTTAACTTCTAAAGTTAACCGTTGACCCTCCCCCCACACACACTCACACACATTCAATCACTTGATCAACTTCTGAGTGCACTAGTGCACTCAATCAATCACAATCAATCAATCAATCAATCAATCAAGATATATATACATATAATATAACATAGAGATGAGGATAAAAGAGACAAATAAGGAAAGATTGGTCATTGTACATAGTGATAGAAAGAAGGAATGGACGATGGGATTCGGTATTAGTTTGATTGGATTGATACCGTTCTTCTTGCACACGGAGGATTGGTTCCTATGGGTGGGCAAGTTTGTGTTCTGGATGATGTTCGCACTGATAGGTCTACTCAATTGTCGCGATGAGTACACGATCAGCTTTGACAAGGCCGACGGCAACGCGATCATAGCCTACCGCAACATTATCGACATCATCAGACGCGCAGTCGGCAACAAGATCGTGCTGCCACTCGAGCGCTGCAGCCACGTGTTTGTCAAGGAGGAGGTGCACGAGAAGAAGAAGATGCATCGTGTGATGCTGTACCTCGACGGCATCAGCATCCCGCTGACCGACACACTCTACTTCCACACGCAGTTCCCAGAGGAGTTGGCCAAGGGCATCAACCAATGGCTCAAGACCAATCAAGTTGGCCGCAAGTTTGGTGCCATCGGTGGTCAAGACGCAGACGATGACGATGACAACAATGGTGCAGGCAGGACCCTGCCAGATACACTAAAGAAGCGTGGAGTTGCATCCGTCAACAAGTAATATGATCATGCAAGTTTGGTCGAGTCTCGGGTTCGGAAGTCCAGCCTCTGGCTGGCTGGCCTGGGGGTTGGTCCATGGACATGCCCTACCTCCCTGGGGATCGAACATCAAATATTTGCAGGACATACAACAAGACTAATAAATAATGTAGATATATTAAGGAATAGCCCATTGTTGTAATCATCATACATCGATGAAACGACTTGATCGGTGGTGTGTGAGCTGATCAAATCTCGTGCAAAACACACTTCATTCCAAATCATTGTTTTGTGCAAGGTTGGGATCAAAGGGGTCCAATCGCTCTGGACCACCCATTATGCAATCGGTTGCAAGTCACAGCTGATCGCGCTTCATTAAGTTTTGGTGATTGATCAAAGTATGTACCAACATAACTTCGGCAGCCCTTCATTTGACAATTAATTGGTTCGGTATCAATTCTTGCCTCCAAGTCCATTGTTTGATTGACTGAATCAAATGTCCCGACCTTGGTGTTTGAAAATGTCAATCATTCATTCAAACATCAAAGCAAACGATCAATCACATACATATATATTAACTAAACAGACCAACAATATAATGAATACATTATATATCTCCATCATATTATTAGTTACTCTAGTTACATTTGGACATACTCAATCATTGCCTCAGAGTGAATGTAGGTTTGATCACATGATGAGGACAAGACGATCACTCAAACACACACAACACTCGAACAAATATAACTAACGATGTTATATAAAACGAATCATAACAGATAATGGTCTGGTGGAAATAGTGAATCTATTCAAACTTCAATCGATATACCCAGAGCCATCAGATCATGGTGCCATAGTATTTTGTGGAGTCAATCCAATTATTAATTGTGATAGTGGATTCATCAATTCAATGTAATTATTCAATCAATCAATCATCAATAACTATCAACACAATCATTAACTAACTAATCCTTATCATTTCCATCAATAGTACCTTGGATGGAAAAGGTGTAACACAGGTCAACGACACATTATTCAATAGTTTCTCCAAGTTGAAAACAATGTAATCATTATCAATCAATGATCCGGTCCATCCTCGAGGACACATTCTAACATTCCAACTCAATCAACTTTAGTCAACTTACCAATACACTTCTATCAACCAACTTCTTGTCAACAGTGGCTAACTCCACTCGTCCGTTGGTTTCATTGTATGTAGATCGCTGGATTATCCATTCACTCAATCAATCAATCAATACTAACAATCATCCAATAATATTATATATAGAACATGTAACAACTGTAGTATAACTACATTGGATAGCACAACAATATATGCCAATAAGTTGATACTACAAGATAATCCAATCACTGGAACTATAATATATGATTCAATCAGCTTGGTCACTTATTTGTATGTTTTAACATACTCATTGGAAGGAACAAATCTAACTCACTCATATCGATCACATGACATGATATAATAGGGACTTCACTGCCATTGACCCAAAGAACTTGAAGGATGTATATCTCGAGACATCGATGACCACCTTCCCAAACACATTCAATGGACATCTATCAAGCCTGGACTTTACATCTTGTAACTCACTTAGTTTATTGTATGTTTGACAATGATCAGTCTCAAGCTCAAGATGTCTAACAATCAACAATACAGGAATATACAACTTGGACCAAGCTTTGCAACAGCTGATCTATCAGTATTGGCCAAATGTAAACAGTTGGCACATTGCAACATTACAGACAATCATAAACAGGGTATTAGAGCACTGATGACATTCCCATTTGAGACAATGCAATCTGGATCAATGAGACTGTAAGTCATCCATCAATCAATCTCTAATGGAATCCAACACATCACTAACTTTACTCATTCCAAAAGTAACTTGGAACAGCTTGATCTTGTTGTACCAACTGCTCCAATCAACATGAGCAAGTACTCTCAAGTGTAGGTATCCACTCACTCCCACTCAATCAATCAATAATTCCAGGATGCTAACAATACAAACAGTACGATCAAGAACATGCCTGGATTCAATCTTAATGGAGCACAATGCCATTCTCATACTTCTCATCTTTTGTTGGAATCATGTATGTACAACCTGGCAATCACTCATTCATTCATGTTTGATCACTGACCATCCATCCATCATTCACATAAACATAGTAAACATTAATAATATATCAATGACATCATTTAACTTTTCATTGCTGAATGGTTTGTCAAAGACAATCGTTATCAACTTGGCCAATAACCAGTTGACTGGTCCATTGCCAACAAATTTGGTTCAATCCAATGTAAGACTGGACAACAACAAGTTCACTGGATCAGTACCCCTGGAATATTGTAGCAAATCAGTATCATTCAAGAACAATCAACTACAAGGTGATCTACCAAGTTGCTTCACCTGTCATCTTAAAGATCCCCTGACCCTATCCTACCTCACTGGCAATCAATTCCAAAACTTCCAAGACAACATGCCTCCATCAAACTATCCCAAGTGCAGTATGTACTTACTTACATACCTTCCATTCAATCAATCAATCTACTTACACATCCACTCATCCATTCAATCAACTACTCAGCGACAATGAACATCACATCAGTATCTACACTCACATCCACCATGCCTTTGGTGTTCAATGGAACTGATCTTGGCTTCAACAACTCAAACATATACTGTCCCAAGTACAACTTGGACTTCTTTATTCAAGTCAAGTCTTCACAGTTCCTGTATGTTACCCTCAACCCTCGCCTAACCCTTGCCCTCGCCCTAACCCTCGCCCTAACCCTTGCCTCACATGACTTAGTCTCCCGATTACACAGATGAACGAAACAATGTTGAACCTGTTTACAAAGGATGGATACATTGATATAGCATTCCATGACTCTGATACAAAGTTCCGTATACGCTTCGATGTTGGTATATCGATCAACAATGTGACATACTTCAACTTGCCACAGTTAAGTTATGAGTTCCAGATACTAGGTGCAGGCTTTGGTCAAAACATCTCCAATGTATTAGTACTCATTGGTTCATACAATTGTATAGTATACTCTGCTATGGAGTACTCACTATCATGTAACCTCTATCAACTTGACCTGCCCATCACCAACTACACCGTCACCGTCTATGTCAACTCCACCCGAGGTCAATTCCAAGCAACATACTCCTATGAGTACACCAGACGTATGTACTTACCCTACCCTCAACCCTCGCCCTTGCCCTCGCTAACCCTCGACCCTCAACCATCGACAATACAGCAACACCTTATGTGACCGCCATCATCCCATGCTCGGTAAAGGGAGGCGTAGTAACATTGTTTGGAGGCTTTGGAACAGCTGATACAAAGGATACTATTGTTGTTATTGGTGACTTGACTTGCCAGGTCACAATGGTCAACAGTAGCTTGCTGTTGTGTACCCTGCCAGAGGGTACACCAGGTGTCAAGAACATTACAGTGACGATCAAGAATGTGGTCTGGAGCGGTCTAAGATCATTCAACTACTTGGAGAACACGCTGCCATGTCCACTTGATTGCAGCGGTCGCGGATCCTGCATACAAGGACACTGCTACTGCAATGACTATTGGGGCGGACCCAGTTGTCTCGACTTCCACAATGGCACAATACAGGTCGTGCCCAGCCCCAGCGGTACAACACTCACCAACACCAACAACATCACATTTGACTTCTCAATCTACAAGGTGGTCGAGCGCGACAGCGATGGCAAGCCAGTCAACACTTGGCTGATCTCCAACTGGACGCTGGTCAACTCGACGGCCGACATGTGGGTGTACAGCGCGTCGTACGACACTGCCACGTTCACATACAGTGTCAGGCAGTTCAGCCAGTTGACCAACGTGTCGTTCGCCGGCATCAACATGGTGATGGACCCCAACAGCATCAAGCTGTCGGCAAAGATGGAGAACTGGCGCTACCTTGGCAGGATGAACACGTTGCAGGTCGTGATCCGGTCGTCAGTCCACCTGGACGAGAAGAAGCAACAGGAGTGCGAGACGACACGTATCAGCAGCGATGCTGTGGACACTGGCTCACTCAACTATCTGACAATGGAGAGATATGGTGCAATGCTGTATGGCCGGTTCATCGACCGCGTGCTCTCGGACGGCCGTCCAACATTCTCCCAAGTTTCGATACTCAATCAAACAGACGATGGCATTGAGGTGGGCATCAGTCTGCCTGTGTGTACCGTGTGCGAGCTGGATCCAGACTTTAGTGTGTTGGTGAGCAGTCGGCCGCCCACAGCATGTCCAGGCTCATCATCTGAACGTGCCTGGCTCATACCAACCATTGTGGTAGTATCAGTTGTAGGATCAATAGCAGTCATTGTCACAGTAGTACTTGTCACCAAGAGAATGTTTATCTTTTACTACTCCAAAGATCATGGAGTTGTGATTCGTCTGAAAGCTCACAGGAGATCAAAGAGTTAAGTTATGGTCATTCCACATCAACCCTGGTACTGTATTTATAATTATATCGATCGATCACAACAATAAAGGAGGCTTGGTCCAACTAATGTTGGAAATGTCATTCATTCATTGGACATTGATTTGATTGAGTGAGTGAGAAAGTGATGGATTGGTTTGTGTGTGTGTGTGTGTATGTGTGAGGGTGAATGAGTGTGATTGGAATGATTCCAATGTTGTTGATTGAATACATGATTGGGAATGCATGATGTATCAAGTGATGAGCGGAACTCTAGACATTGTAAACCCCTTCGGACCGATGATTTGAACCAATCGGGAACAACTTGGTATCCACAGTGTGGTGAAAGGGGATTAAACAAAAAAAAACGAACGAATTGTGTCTTCATGAGCACTCTCCGACACCTTGCGAAAACACATCACTTTAGAATTAAACATACATTCATTCATTCATTCAATCTCCTACATACGTACATACATACATATATATATTACATTATAATAATGCAAGCCTTGTTGAGTGTTTTTAATAAGAGTGGAATTGTTGACTTTGCCAAGGTGTTGGCTGACGCTGGCTTCTCAGTGATCTCAACTGGTGGCACTGCAAAGTCATTGGTGGAGGCTGGTCTGAAGGTGGTCCAAGTGTCCGATATCACAGAGTACCCAGAGATGCTTGACGGTCGTGTCAAGACCCTGCACCCACGCGTGCACGGTGCCCTGCTTGCCAGGACCGACCTGCCCGAGCATCAGGCCGACCTCAAGAAGCACAACATCAACCCAATCCAGTTGGTCGCTGTCAACCTCTACCCATTCGTCGAGACCATCTCCAAGCCCAACACAACCTTGGCTGATGCCCTCGAGAACGTCGACATTGGTGGTCACACCCTTATTAGGTATGTCTTGTCATTCATTCATTCATTCGTTCATCGGACATCACTCACTCACTCAATCATACTCAATCAATCAGAGCTTCATCAAAGAACTTCAAGCACGTGATCATTGTCGTCGACCCAACAGACTATGCATGGATCGGAGAGAGAATTAAGACCAGCGGAATCGATTCGATCTCGTTGGAGGAGCGCAGAAAGCTGGCCTTGGAWAGGCATTCCAGCATGGTGCCGCTTACGACGCCGCCGTCTCCCAATACTTGTCCACTGTGTGCGTCGAGGGCAAGACTCTCGAGACCGCCACCGGCGCCAACAACGTCGAGTTCCCACAGACATTCGTGCCAATCTACGAGAAGCAGGCTGATCTCCGTTACGGTGAGAACCCCCATCAAAAGGCCGCACTCTACACCATGCCAGGCATGGGCGGCATTGCCAACGCTCAGCTCCTGCACGGACCAGCTCTCTCATACAACAACATCCTCGACGCCGACGCAGCCCTCAAGGCCGTTCGCGAGTTTAGCGGTGGCGCCTGCTGTGTGATCAAGCACACCAACCCATGTGGACTGTCGATGCACGAGAACCAGACTGAGGCCTACACTCGCGCCTTCAACGGCGACCCCAAGTCTGCCTACGGTGGCATTCTGGGATTCAACCGCACATTGACCTTTGAGACTGCCAAGGCCTTCAAGGGTACCTTCTACGAGGTGATCATCGCCCCAGACTACGAGCAGGAGGCCCTCGATCATCTCAAGAAGAGAGAGAAGCTGAGAGTTCTCAGAATCCCAGAGGCCGCCACCCAAGTGGCCTTCTCCCAGCCAGACGTCAGAACCATCACTGGAGGCGCTCTGCTGCAGCAGCCCAACCCCATCATCATTGGCGACGTCGAGACTGCCACCAAGAACTGGAAGGTCGTCACCAAGGTTGCCCCAACCCCGGAGCAGATGCGCGACCTCCTCTTTGCCTGGAGAGTCAGCAAGCATGTCAAGTCCAACGCCATTGTCGTCGCCCACGAGGAGACCATCGTGGCCATTGGCGCCGGCCAGCCCAACCGTGTGCAGTCCGTGCACATCTGTATGCGTGTCGGTGGCGACAAGGTCAAGGGATCAGTGCTCGCCTCTGATGCCTTCTTCCCATTCGCTGACAGCATTGACACTGCCCACGAGGCTCAGATCAGCTGCATCGTCCAGCCAGGTGGTAGCATTCGTGACCAAGAGGTCATCGATGCCGCCGACAAGGTTGGAATCCCAATGGTGTTCACTGGAAACAGAAACTTCCTGCATTAAATTGTCTGATGCTGAGTGGCGTCGACACCGCTATTATTATTCCATTATTCCATTTATGTTAACATATATATATATATCAAGATGACGGATATAGATATATATGAGTAGTCATCATGTGATTGTGTTTGTGTGTGCGTGTGTGATGGTGATTGAGGTGAGTGTGTGGGTCAATCACATTTCCAGACTTTGTCAAGTGAGTGTAAGACTGGATATCATTGTAGTCCAACCCTATTCATTCATTGTATTCATTGTAGTCAGGTCAGATATATCAATCCGACTACAATATATTAAGAATTATATTATAATAATAACAAGGGAATAATGGAACCTTTTAGTTTGGATGATATTAATAATAATAATATTGGAAGTAATGTAATCAGAGTGGATACTGCTAGCTGTAACAGGCTATCAGTTCCTAATAATAATAATAGTATTAATAATAATAAGGAGTACTTGTCACCAAACTCAAAATCATATAAAGATAGTACAACTATATCAGTTGGACAATCAAGTACAACACCTAGACTTCTTGCTAGTGGTGTTGGAATAGTATCACCACGTCTACATAAAGGTCAATCAGTATTATCACCATTAATACATGCTATTGATATATCAGGTAATGGTCAAGATAATCATAAATCAAACACCAACTCTTCAACAAATAATATAGTATCAGGATGTCTTTATGAAGACAGTAGTGGATCTGGGTCATCTTTGATCAATATCTTATGGAGAACATTTAAAAATAGCCTATTAATCCATTGGATGTTCTTAAATGTCCTCGGATTAATTGTAAACAGGTATGTAAATAACTGGAATGATTCAATCACCTCATACTAACTTTAACTATAATATATTATATTTAGGAAATTGGAGGTTGATTATGGATTGGACAACTTACCTTTATCAATGATGACTTTACAGATGACGATATGTACAATTATATCATTGATATGTGTATACTTCAATACCAATGCAAATCCAGCGGCTCTAAAGATGTCCGATATCCTTAGCAAAATGATACCCTACGCCATCCTCTACTCAATCCACAACATCGTCCTAGTAGTCACGCCCAACAACTCATCAGGTCTCACTCGAGTAAGTCCAAACACATCCATGTCCATGTCCATAACTTACTAACATTAATTCTCTCATAGACTATTACACCAATGGTTACAGTATTCCTTCAATATATGATATTACATGTTACGTTTGAAGGCGCGGTGTATATGTCAGTGTTGATATTCACTCTAGGTATATCATTCGTGTATATAGCATCGATTAATATATTGGTATCGGCCAATATTGTATCGACATCCATAGCATTGGCCAGTATATTAGCATTGCATACAGTATACTCACATCATCTATTCTCTACATGGTTAAGACCAATTGATCCAATGATCATTACATTCTACTTCTCACCAATAAGTCTATTAGTACTATTCCCATTCGCTGTAATATATGAACAAGATACTCTAGTACATCGTATAAACTCCACCTCCTCCACACCATTATTAAGTATACAACTAATATCTGTATTATTAATAGGTGGTATATGTACATTCTTATCATGTAAGTATCTCTCATCATATCATTCATACATATACTAACTCTATCTCTATCTCTATCTCTATATATTTATCACTATACTTACTAGTATATGTTACATTTAGTATTAATAAGAAGTATGATATATTGACAATGTCATTGGCGAGGAATTCCAAGTATATGTTGTTGAAGGTTCATACACAAGGTATGCTTCCATTCCTCCAACGATGGAGTAATATTATGGGTGTTCTATTATTCATTTATGGTGTGACATGTTATCGCAAAGTATCACTTGAACCTCTTGTCAAATCAAACAAATAAACTACTTTCTACCTCAAACATATAACACCTGTTATCTTATTATTATTATCTGTTTCATTAATGATCGATGAACTTGAAGTGAAGTATCTCTTTTTTTTTTTGAAAAGGTTTGCAAAACAACCTCTGTCTTTGCTTCATTCAATGAACTGGTTGTGCAAAACTGACACATGGTTGTGTGAGGTTGCTTTTGATGATCAAAGGGTGTTGAACAATAAGGATATTAATTTATTAATAATAATTATAATTTGTGTGAACTTGTTAATAAATACAATAATATCACTCACCCACTTATTGTCCTCCAGCAACTATGATGCCCCTGATTTGAATGATTGAGTGAGTGACCCTCTTATTAAACATTACATTTAGTTTGACAAGTCTTGATAAAATCAACATCAATCAAACAAATCAATCATTTAACAATATACATACATACATAATTATAATTATATATTATTATATATTTTAATTTAAGAAGAATAAGAAGAAGAAATGGCAGAGACCGCACCACAATACCAACCAACTGAATTGGACCCATTCTACGCTTTGTTTGCTAATATCGATCCAGTTCAGACTCACACATACAATCTGTCAGAGTTCAAGGCTGCCTTCCAGGCACAGCTTGGATTCTCTGACTCTACTCTCGAGGGTATGTTCAAGGCTTGTGATGTTGACCGCGATGGAAGAATCGACCTCCACGAGTTCCTCTCCTTGATCTGCATCGTCGTCACTGCCCCAGCTGATCAGAAGCTCGTCTTCTTGGTATGTACCCTATGTCCTGTCAAGCGTCACGCTCACGACTAGAACAACACATACTAATGATCTCTCTATCTCTTCTCCCTTTCTATCTCTCTCTCTCTCACTTGAACTTTATACAGTTCCATCTGTTCGATAAGGACAGAAGTGGATCTTTGGAGAACAAGGAGGTCATCCACATTGTTGACAGCCTTGCTAATGTTGCCAAGGCTGGCGGTAAGACTGATGCCGTCAACTTGAGCGCTGATGACCTCATCAAGGCCGACACCAACAACGACGGTGTCATCTCTTTGGATGAGTTTGTCAACTTTGGTCTTTCCAACGCAATCGTTATGAATCTCCTCAAGGGATACTAAACGGATGTCCTCTTCCTCATGTACCTCACCCCATCCCTAACATCATTGTTCCGTTGCCTTGGCTAGTTACAATAGTATAGTATATCCCTCTTATCTGTATCCATGTATGCCATTCAATAAAGGTTCATTCATTCATTGTAATCTCTCTTTATCTATCTCTCTCATTGAGTTAAGCTCAACTTTGGAAATTGTTCTTTCTTTGATTGATTCATTTCAAAGGGTACCCCCTTGGCTAATTCTTTCGTTTCACGAGAACATTTTAGACATCCAAGCGAACAAATACAATGATGGATAAACAAACAGATAACAATAATGTTGTTGACAACACAATAACAACATCAGTGAATAATATATCATTGAATGAAGATACTACAACTACCACTACTGCCACAACTGCCAATGCCACGACTACGACTACATCGACTTCGACAAATAACAAGGAAACAGAGTATCATCAAGAGTATGATGTTGACTTTAGGATAAAAGAGAATAGGACAAATGCATCGAGGATACAAAAGAGAGTTATGAGAGATATTACTTGTCAAGATGCTGTACAATGGTTGAAGGATAATACAGTTGCATCTGGTACCTCTGTCATCACCTCATTGCCAGACATTGTCGAGATGACTGGATACTCATTACAACAATATAGAGATTGGTTCGTTGACACTGTCGAGCTCATCACATCTAAAGTATGCATACTATACTCTCTGCTTGACTTCCACTCAAATGTACTCATTCATCACGTTCATTCAAGTTGAGTGATAATAATGTAGCAATATTCTATCAAACAGATATAAGAAGAAAGGTCAAGGGCAATAAGGGTATTGTGGATGAGTACTTGGACAAGGGTTATCTGTGCGCAAAGGGTGCAGAGCGATCTGGATGCAAGATGGTATGGCATAAACTGATGTACTCTGTGGCACCAGAGCTGGGCAAGGTATCTCGTGGACAAACACCTGGATTCTCTCATATGTTGTGCTTTGCCAAGAAGCCAGGTCTGTTGACATATCAGGAGCAGACACCAGACATTGCGCCACGAGGCGGTATGGTCTGGAAGAAGGCAATGGGACTGAATGCCTGCATGGTTGCGCTGCGGTACATCAGAGGAGTGGGATGCAACACAGTGCTGGACACATTCTGTGGCAAAGGAAGTGTGTTGGCAGCGGCCAACATGCTTGGTCTACACGCAATTGGAGTGGATCTTTCAATTTCCAAGACCAGACATTCATCCAACCTTGTACTAACCATGGAGATGGTGGAGTCATTCTCTGCCAGCAATTGGAACAACATGGACAACAAGGATAACAAAGACAACAACAACAGCAACAATAACAACAACGATGAAGATGTAGATGAAGATGAGCAAACATAAACTTGGTCATCAATCAATCAAACAATCATTCGTTCATTCAATCAATCAATCAATGGGTGGGTGCACCAAAGACTCCATCCAAAGGAATTGATCATTCATTTATTATACTCCAATCAATCCAATCAATAACAAGAGTATAAAGCAATGCTGTCAATTGGAATGGGATCCATTGTCCCTGTAGATTCACTTGATAGATCAGTTTCAGTGATGACTGGCAATATGAGAATGTTGTTCTTGAATTGATCTGAAGTGAGCCGGCTCACAAGGAGACCGATGACCTCGTCAAGTACATCCTTGTCCAGGGATAGCAATCCCTCCAGGTGGAGAAGAAAGACCATTGGAGACTGAGCAGTGACCGCCCTCTTGGTATCCTTGATGTAAGCACATACATCATTAAAGCCAAACAATTTGGCGTTTGGGTAGAGGTCGGAAGCGGTTTGGGACAGTGGTTGCTTAAAGAAGAAGTGCGAGGCGAATCGAAGGCCAATGAATTGTGACACTGTGTAGTAGTTTGTCGCTCTGGGTCGGACGGTCCCCTTCATAGAAGTTGATGCACACCCTATTAAGCCAACATTCGTTTGCAATGCTACGGAATGTGTGGATCACCTCTTTGGCTCGGTGATCAATCATTACTTCAGAGTAACTAAACCTCCCAACTCCAGCACCACCCCTGACAAATAAGGCATCGTAGTCGCTACTGTTCGTATTCTTGTCAAAGTAATTGCCAATGTTCTTCTTGACAAGATCCATCACCATTTTGCTTGATGCTGGTGTCTTATCAACATATTGTTTGGTGTAATCATAAGAGGATACATGAGATTTGGGGTGTAATTCTTTAATCCTATCAATACAATCTTTCTGAGATTTAACCATTCCTTTACATATGGTAAGTATAAGTAGGTTTAATTCAAGATACTAATATATATAATGCCTAACTATTTAGTTTGAAATGCGGCCCAATCTGGATTGGCCACAACTTGATGTTGTTGCTGTTGTTGTTGTGGAAGAGACATGAATAAGGAGTGGAGTGGATATGAATAAATATTATTAGTATGGATGTTATAGAGATGACTGATTAAAGTGCGACTGGAAGTATTAATCGTTTTGATTGAGTGAGCTTGGTGCAACTTTGAAAATCGAGTTTGGGAATCAATAATAATGTGATACAATTACAAGGACGAGGGCCAGGATGAGGCATGAAGATGTGTTGATGATTGTTGGTATGAATCCAGAGGAGGTTTTGGAAGAATCACCACTTGAACTTGTAGTCTGACTTTGAATATGAGTTGTCCCTTTCTTGAGATTTGAAGTCATTGATGATGTTGATGATGATGATGATTCATCTCCATTATATCTGTATATTTGTATCCTTGATTTTTTGTCGATTAAGAGTATATTACTAGAGTCAATGACTCGATTGACTTGGTTGTTTTGATCGATTATAAGGTTTGGTATTCCAGTTGCTAACCAAATATTGATAGAACTCTGGGTGAACCCTGTGTAATCCTCTGCTATGTCGAATTGATCTGGCCTGACATCCTCAATATCTTGACATTATGTCCATCTTCGAACAATAAGTTTTCCAGTGTTCTCAGATAATAATAATGACTATTAAGCTTAATTGTAATATCATTGATATTACAATGTTTGAATGTGTCATATGATAGTTTCAGAGTGTTCTGAGCTCTGACAAACAATCCGAGTGATGTCAGGGATGAGGGCATCATGTCGCTGGTCAGCACCTGATTGAACTTGCGGCCAAAGAATAGGTGAGTGAGGGATTGAGGCAGCAACTGTGTGTCCAGGGGATGGTTGTATTCACTGCCCATATCGAATGACAGGAGGTTCCTTGGGAGTGCGCCTGGCATCAGTGGCTGATTGAACTTGTGGCTCAATACAAGACTGGTCAAAGAGTCGGGAAGTGCATGTGGTCTTAATGGTCTGTTGAATAGATTTCCAAGGTATAAAGTGGACAGCCGTGATGGTAGTGCGCCTGGCTCAATGTCTGAGTCAAAGGTCACAAGCTCCAGAGTGGTGAGTGACTCGGGGAATGTGTTTGGAGCATCTATAGGTCGATCATAAGATTCACAGTTCAAGTACGTCAGTGATGAAGGTAGTGAATCGGCCCTAAATCTTTGATTATAGCCATTAGAGTACAGTGTTGTGATTGAGTCTGGTAGTGCGCCAACTACAAACTCATGATTGAACTTGTTGCTCAAATTAAGTGTCTTCATCTTGGGAGGGATGACACCTGGTTGCAATGGGTGATTGAACATGTGACAGAAGGTAARGCTCGGTGACTGAGCTAGGGATGGAGCCTGGCTTCAGAGGTTGATTGAAATCAAAGTTCAGATATAGTTTGGTAATGCTGTCTGGTATGTCACCAATCTCAATGGGCACGTTGAACATTGTATGAAATGAGAGGAATAAGTCATTGACATGTGAGGGTAATCGCAGTCCAGACAAAGGTCCAACAATCTTTCTGAGAACATTTGCACGGTAGTTCCCGTTGTGATATGTTATCAACTCGTAAGGCAATAGATTGTCGAAATGTCTCGAGGATTTACGGTCTGTTTGAGTATGTATATGGTTGTTAGATATAATGTTGGAGTTGGAGATAGGTATCGAAAGGATATCAAAGGGTACCTACACTCTGGATAACAACGATGAAAGATTGTTAAGTTGTTGAAGTTTAGATCACATCTATATCCTACATCACAGAGACATGTATTTGGTGTTCTAGCAAGTATTAATCTAAGTTGATACAATCTATTACATGATAATATAAGACAACATGCATCCATTATCTCTATATGATCAATAACATTTTGAAGAACAATCACTGGAAGTTGTATTAATGTCATCATCCCCACTACCTATTTATAATACACGTACATTATATATCTATCTATCTATCTATCTATTTATCTATCTTGTTTATTTACTACAATTATTGATGATGTGCAAACAAGTAAGACACGGTGATGTCGGCATGAGGATATGGATCGAAACTGCTCACTTCCAGTGGAATGATCAATCAAAAGTGGGCGAGGGCGAGGGTTGATTTGGACCACTTTCAAAGACAAAGACTGAATGTGGGGTTGATGAAGATGAATGATAGTTGTTCCCAAAGACAGACAGAGATAAACAGGATATATATTTAGAGAGATGTCAGAGGATGAATATATGAATGATCAAGAGGAGTTGAAGGAGGAACCTTTACTTATACCTCCATTGAACTTCTCGATGGTGTCAAGGGGTGTGTATCGCAGTGGCTATCCCAACAAGAAGAATCATCCCTTCCTCAAGAAACTAGGTCTCAAGTCTATACTCTATCTCTGTCCAGAGGAGTACAGTGAGACCAACACAAACTTTATACGCAAGCATGGTATCAAGTTGTTTCATTACAGAATCGTTGGTAATAAGGTATGTCCTCCTGATTGATTGATCAAATCACATCACTCAATCATTCTAACATCATGATTGATGATATTATAGGAACCATTTGTAGATATACCTGATGAATATATTAGAGATGCTCTAGTTGATCTGTTGGATGTGAGGAATCATCCCATACTCATTCATTGTAATAAAGGAAAGGTAAGTAATGACATGATCAACTCAATCATGTACTCATCATACTCACAATCAATCAATCAATGTCAATGTCAATCACAATATAGCATCGTACTGGTTGTTTAGTAGGCTGTCTAAGGAAGCTACAGAAGTGGTCGTTCACTTATATCTTTGATGAGTATAGACGATTCGCTGGTAGCAAGGTAAGAGTGTTGGATCAACAGTTCATCGAGCTCTTCAACCTGGAGGTACCATTCAATAAGAAGAATAAACCCGACTGGCTGTAGACATACATATAGCATGTAGGAAGGATGAATGAACAATGTACAACACAAACTAGATATCAATCAATCAATCAATCAATCAATCAAGCAGCAGGCATGTCTACACAACACAGTCACAGGGCTCGCGAGAGCAACAGCGATAGAGACAGAAGAAGGAAGTACATTGGAGATGTGATGGAGTTGATGGATGGATGAATGAATGCGATGGAGATTACGGTGATTGATTGATTGATACACCTACACTCAACTCAATTGATTGATTGATTGATGTTACCGCTGAACCCGAACACACTGCCCAACATCTGTCAGGTCATGTCATGTTAAGTCATGTTAGCATGACTCTTCTACCTTACTACTAAGAGTCTGGCAATCTTTAAAGATTGTATCACTTACTCACTTCACTCACTCACATCATTCACTCACTACTTCATTCACTCTTAGTCACTAAATCAACATAGGTGTCCTATGTCCCGAGCCCATGGAATCCAGAGCGATTGGATTGGGTCTACTTCCATCCATCCACTCTAACTACAAACTAATGGAACAACGATGTCTCCTTTAGACAATCCCCAAACTCAAGATTGGTACACTACAACTACCCACCAAATGGACCGACACATCGTCATCTTCATCTCCATCCAACACACCTCAACACATGCACCACATCAACATCAACATCATCATCGTGTTGTGGAACTCGCAGAGTGTGTGTGTGTGTGTGTGTTTGAATGCACTATCCATCAATCAATCACACCTACCGACACCCACCCAACCCGACACTTCTTACATCCAAGATATACACAACACAAGCATTCAAAACATACCTGATCACATATATCTTAGTTGTCCAGCGCACAACACTTGATCATCAACACTGAGGAGGAGAAAGAGACAAAAATAAGTACGTTGTTGTTTGTTTGTTTGTAATATAATATTATATTCAGTTCATTCATTGTAGACTATTACATACTCACTAGCTCACTCACCGATCACTGGACGGCCAATCCTGTCATCCTGTCCACCATCCACTCCACTCCACCTCATTCATCCACTTCACTCACATCTCACTCACTCTTGGACAATCAATCAAACAAACACATCGACATCTCTACTCACTAATTAATATTATATTATATTATATTGGTGTCTGGATCTCTGTTGACCACTACTACTCTCTCCCCTACCATCCAACCATCCATCCAACCAAACGACATTCCAACCAGTGAGACAATAACATTAATATTATTATTCCAAAGTCTTTAATTTCCTTCACTCACTCTCTCACTAATTCCAGTTTGTTTGTTTGTATCCCATCTCAATCAATGGCAACAACAACTACAACTACACCAACTCCAACAACAACAACAACAACAAATCCATTGTCTAGTGTCAATAGATGCACAGCCTGTGGATTGTTGTGCGGTGGAAAGACCTTTGAAGCATTTGGAAACACCTACCATCCTCGTTGCTTCGTCTGCACCAGTTGCCACAGAGCATTCCCCAGTGGAAAGTTCCTAAACATTCATAGCAAGCCTTATTGGTATGTCTTTCTACCCTGCTGGACCTCGCTTGGCAGTCACTAACATACCAACAACATAATTAATTAGCGAGGGATGTGGAAGATCAGCATTCATCAAGTCACAAATCAATGGTGCTGACACTACGGTGATCACAAAGAAGACATCGGCATCGATCATTCCAGAGATATTCAAACAAGATAAACCAAAACTTCCACCTCGTGTATCCAATCAGAAATCAAGGACACTTCCCAAACCATCATCATCTTCCTCAACCTTTGCCTCTGCCGCCATCCAAACTCCAACCTCAACGACAACAACTACACAATCACAACAACCAAAGTTGATCTTTAACAAGTTCAACCCATATGGTCAATCAAACAACAATGTAGTCAACAACTCAACTGATAAGACCAAGTCATGGAGCTCACCTACTCCTGTTGTAAACCATAGACGTGCAGAGAGTGTAGTCGTACCTCCTGTGAGTGTGGCCCAGAGCTCCACTACTCAAGCGCCTATCAGCCCTTGTATCTCTGGTGGAACGGTTAATTCGATCTCAAAGAGGTTCGAGAGTGCCGCTCCAGGCAAGCCATCATCGCTGCCCGCTCAGCCACAGACATCCACAAGAACTACTGTCTCCAAGATTGACAAGAACAGATTCAGCTTCCTACAAAGTAGCAGTAGTTGTCCCAACGTGAGCACGATCATCAACAACAACAACAGACCAAGCTTCCAAAGTCCAGCATCAAACAAGATAGAGGTTCCAAAGCCAGCTCCGACTACCACAACTACTCAATCAAATATCCAACAACAGAGTGCACAACTTGTTACTCTTCCACCAAAAATGGACATTGCCAGCAACAATGCTACCACGATCAAGAAGGAGGAGAAGCCGCTCACCAAACCAGTGTTTGAGCCAACAAACAACAACTCTGTCCGAGGCAAACCATCTGGCATCTCCTCGTTGGTCAGTAGATTCGAGGAGACTGATCGCAAGGCTGCAAGAGAGTCCATAAGTGTTGGAAAGATCAGTCAGAGCAAGCTTGACATCCTAAAGACTTCTGCCTCGCCAAACAAGACAGGTATATCATTTGGTCACTCCTACCTCGACTCGCCAAACAACCGTGGCGTCAATAGACACTCTGTCGCCGCCACTGAGAACGACTGGAAGGAGCGTGAGAGGCTTGAGCGTGAGAGAGCCGACAAGGAGAGACTGGATGCCATCAGATTGGAGCGTGAACGTCTGGAGCAGGCCGAGATTAACAGGGAGAAGGCGAGACAAGAGGCTGAGCGCATTGAGAGAGATAGGAAGGCCAAGGAGTTCCAAGAGAAGCAGAGGTTGGAAAAGGATCGTATTGAGAATGAGAAGATGATCAAGGAGAAGGAGAGATTGGAAAGAGCCATTAACAAGGATAAAGGTGACTCTCTAAAGGACAGACAAATCAAACAACAAATAGAGTTGGAGAGAGAGAAAGAGAAGGAGAGGGAGATGGAGGTGGAGAGAGAGAGACAAAGACAACAACAAGAGAAGGAGAAGAAGGAGATTGAGCAACAGAAGCAAGCTGAGAAGCAAGCTGAGAAGCAAAGGCAAATGGAGAAGGAGAGGAAGGACAAGATGGAAGAGGATAGAAGGAGAAAGGATGAGATCAGGAGACAGCTGGAGATTGAGGACAAGCTGACCGAGTCACTCAGGAAGGCCAACACTCCCCAACATCAACCAATTCGTCAAGAGGTCCCTGTTGTTGCCATTGCGCCAGCTTCACCCCAAGAGCGCGCTCCAGGTTTGAGCAGAGCTCTCTCCATCATATCTACATACAGTGATTCCGCTGCCTTGCTCTCGCCAAGAAGTGGTGAGCCAGTGGATACTGATCAATCAGCCTTCTCTCCACGCAATGACATCCCCATCTCTCCATCATTGAGATTCGAGGGCATCCTGTCCCCATCAGTCCTGAACGGAATCAAGTCGCCACACTACAGCAACCTCAACTCAATGATGAGTGAGGAGGATTTGATGCAACAGTTCAAGGTCAAGGAGCAGGAGGTGGTGCGCGGCAGACTGGATGATGGCGCCTCAGAACCCGAGGTCGACTACACTGTCAACAGAGAGAAGCTGGAGGAGGAGGAGCATGCTGAGGACATGGACAGTATGATGCGTGCTGAGGAGCGACTCAGACAGCGTGTCGAGATGATGAAGGAGCTCGAGGAGAAGGAGCGATGGATACTGCAGCAGCGTGAGGAGAGGATGTCCTACTTCATTGGAAAGATGTACACCAACAGTGCCTAAGTCCAAAGTCTACCTACTTGTATTTATTAACAGTCGTCGCTTCGCCACCTCCGCATGATGGAGGGGGACATTGACAATAAACCATACTGGAACTATTCCACTTCAATCAATCGATCAATCATTCAATCATTCATTGAATGGCAACATCTTTTGTGAAAGGATGGACTGGATCATCCACTCGGGATTGACGATTGGTATGCCAAGGGTCTCTGTATGCTTCTTGGTGTGTCGATCAAGTGACTCGCCATCAGAGAGCACCAAGTCAATCCTGTCCTTAACACTGATCAGACGCTTGACATACTTTCCGCCAAGCATCCTAACAATCACAGACCACTGTTCTCTAAACTCCTCATTCTTGCTCACAATCTCCACTCGTTGATCAGACAGAATCAAGAATGATGATAGTCTCCTAGTTTGGTTTGAATGAATGAGTGAGCGAGTGAGTTTCAAGTCCGCAACCAACTAGTTGATCGATCACTTTAACTTACAGATGGACGAATGACTCTTTGGACAAGGAGTATCCAGCTGGTAGTATGTAACTGTTGTTGGGGATTATGCTCTGTTTGGAACAACAATCTAGTAGCCATTTGAAGTTGATACATGGTACACCGGCGATTATGGCTCTGATGTACTTGATGGTGGTCTCTGATTGTTTGGCAATCAACATGAACTTGGTTGTATCCTTTGACTTGGAGTGTCGATTGAAGAAGTCATGTATCTCATAAATGCCTCCACCATTGTCCTTTATCAATGAAGTGATGTTTGTGTTGGCTACCAAGGTGGATGGATTGGAGTGGTCAGTACATTGGATGGATTGATTGAATGATGTGATCAACTTACGGTTATCAGTATCCTTTAGTCCTGTCACCATGAATAGGTAACCTTTGAATAGATTAGATGTTTGACTCTTGGTTTGAGTTCTTTGTGAGCCTCGAGATTGAGTTTGTGATTGAGTTTGAGTTTGAGATTGAGTTCTCTTTGATTGTCCAGACTTCTTATTCTTCTTCTTTGGCTCTTCCTCCTCCTCCTCTTTATCACTCTCATCGCTGCTGTCTGCCGCCTTTTTAACTATCTTCTTTTGACTCTGGCTCTTGCCTGATGCAACCTTTGATGTCTTGTTGGATGCATTCGAACTCCTCTGAGTCAGTACAGTTGATGGCTTCTTCTTTGTTCGTTTTTGTTGCACCTGCTCCACCTCTTCCTCCTCCTCTTCCTCTTCTTCTTCCTTCTCCTCTGATGACTCTTGTCCTTCATCCTCTGTCATCTCAACATAATCCTCTTCCTCCTCCTTCTCCTCTTCTTCCTCAACTTCATCTTGCTGAACCTCCTCGTCCTCATCCTCTTCCTCATTAACCTTGGCCGTGGTTTCAATCTCTGTATCTTCGTCTGTACACTCTTGGGCGACATCAACCATGTCATCATCCTCCTCTTGCCCCTCCTCCTGTTCTTCCTCTTGCTCCACTTGTTCCTCTTCCTCTTCATCCTCCTCGATCTCAACTGATTCGCTCACTCTTGGGCTCCTCTTCTTGCTCTTTGACTTTGACTTTGACTTTGATTGTTGAGCAGCAGGAGGTGTTGGTCTAGTTCCTTGCAGTCTCTTTGTGGTCTGCTTATCCTTTGCCTTCAATGTGTCCAAGATAGCTCTTCGATTGGTGACCTCTGGTACTGGCTCCAACATCTCACTATCCTCCAAGTCCAAACCCTTCATTGGTGGAGCCTGAGTTGGAGGGGTGGGCTTTGTCAAAGATCGCCTGCTGCCACCACTACCACTCTTCTTGATGCGTGACCTCATTGGAATGGTTGGCGCAATTGATGACGATGTAGATGTTGTTGAGGTTGATGTTGATGAAGTAGAGTGCTCAAGTTTGGACTTCTTCTCGATGAATCCATCTTGGTTCTCATCATCGTTGCCGTCTTGATCAACACTGGAGCACACCTCTTCCAACACACGCTTGTTGGATGGCTTGCTCTTGGCAATCTGTTGATTGAGCTCATGGTACGAGTAGAACAATGCTGGATCCTTCGGCTCCTCCTGCTTGGCAGTGTGATGACTCTGTATGAATGGCTCACCAACGCTGCTTCCAAAGCTGGCACTCTCCATTTCCACGCCCTGAGTGGCCTCAGGCTCCTCAATCAACCTGTCAATCAAGTCATCTCCTGTTGCTGATGTTGATGATGTTGTTACTGTTGCTGTTGGTGGTGATGGAGTATTGATTATATCCACTCCACTGTCTGTTACACTATTGTTGGCATTGCTACTACCATGTGATGGTGGTGTCTCTGGGATGACAACATTATCACCTCGATCAAACTTGACATCATCAGACTCTGTACTATTCACAGTCCATTGTACAGTTGCATTTATCGTTGGTTCCAACACATGTTCCCCTGCACCTGCATCACCCTCCTGTTGATCAATTACTTTATCATCCACCTCTTCTTTATCATCATCGCCATCATCTTCCTCGTCATCCTGGATTGATTGATTGAGTGTGAGTGGGATGGGGTGGGGTTGGAATCATTCCAGTGAGTGATGGAATGAGTACTTACTGACAGGTTCGTAGGCTCTTTGAAGAGCTGGGTGGGCGCCAGGGTGGGCGTGTCAGACTTGGGATATAGGGAAGGCTCGACTGAGAGGATGGGCTCGTGGAGTATTGGAGGTGGACGATTGTGGCTGTTGTTGTAGACTCTGTTGTTCTTTGGTGTGGGTGGAAGGAATGATAGTCTACGTCTGGGATGTACATTTGATAGTTCAGGTGTCTCTGGACAACTGTCTGATGATATAGATTCCACTCTTGATGGATCAGATGTTGTCATTATTGACATTGCTGCAGATGATGACGACGATGATGTCATCATTGATGTTGATGTTGTTGATGTAGTTGTATTGTTGACACTAAAATCAAGTGTCTTTGGTATTGTATCCATGTTATTATTGGGTGAAGTGTTTGACGACAACTAATCATTCCTGTGTGATTCATCGATTGGTTTGTTGTTTGATTACAGTGTGTAACGGACATAGCTTCCAAATTCAAATTCAAACTTGAAGTTGATTTCTTGGTAACGGTGAGTTTGGGAAGTTCGTCAAAAACACTTGTAAAAATAACAAAGATTTAATTTCAATTAAGTTTTGATTGTGTTTGGAATGTGTGTGAGTATTCTCTCGCGAATGCCTGGTGTGTCTCTCGCTGTGGACGAGCAACACAATGAATGGATTGCACGACTTATGTTTGACATCATCCCCTGTTGATCCATCCATACATCTATTGAGGTAGGTAAACAGATTATTATGACAGAGCATTACGATTCATCATCAGGAGCGATCATCCATCATCTATCATTCATTCATTCATTCATGCGATCAATCATCCGTCCAAGCGACCCACCAATCAATCATTCGTCCCAACAAACGACATACATCCAGCCATCAAACAAACAATCACAGCAGTAACAGCACGTGCGATATCAGATGACAGGATAATAGAAAGACAGACAAGACACACTTTTGGGCGGACAGATGATTAGAACAATGAGGATGAATGCATGAACGATGAATGATGGATGAATGAACGAATGATGGTGTTGTTCGATGATACTGAGGACTCAGCTCAATCTAACACATCATGATAAACAACAAACAAACAAACAATAACAGTTAAAATGCCACGTGGAAACAAAGTCCTTAACAACACTCATCTGCGCAAGCACTGGCAGATGCGCGTCCGCACTTGGTTCAACCAAGCCGGACGTAAGGAGAGAAGAAGAGAGACCAGAGCTGAGAAGGCTGCCGCCATCTTCCCACGCCCACTGCGCTCACTCAAGCCAATCGTCCGCCCACCCACCCAGAAGTACAACATCAAGACTCGCGAGGGACGTGGATTCACCCTGGAGGAGCTCAAGGCCGCCAAGCTGAGCGTGCGTTATGCCCGTTCGATCGGCATCGCCGTCGACACTCGTCGCACCAACCTCTCACAACAGTCACTCTCTCTCAACGCTCAGCGTTTGAAGGAGTACCAGAGCAAGCTGGTCTTGTTCCCACGCAAGGCCGCCTCCCCCAAGAAGGGCGACGCCACCAAGGCCGAGATCGACAGCGCTGTCCAGAACCTCAACGTTCTGCCATTCAACCAGACCAAGATCTCTGTGTTCACCCCACGCAAGGTCACCGACGCCGAGAAGAAGTTCCAGGCCTACTCCACCATCAGAGCCGCCGCCGCCAAGGTCAAGAACTCTGGTTTGAGAAAGAAGGCTGCCGAGAAGAAGGCTGCCGAGTCCAAGGACAAATAAACAGTCCGGGCCGCTTCATTCAGCGATCTTGTAGACAACAGGTTATACTCAATAGTAGGATCAATAAACGACCATGTTGGTTTATTGAAATCAAATCATTCTTTAGTTTGTCGATCTTCCCAGTCAATCGATATCGATGTGTGACGTGCATGTGGATGTCATCCCAACTTCCAGCATTAGTCCCATTGATTGATCACGCGCGATTCGTGGGTGGTAATGTGCGGAGAATGATTTAATGAAGGGGGTATCACATTTTTTTGAACATCAACAACAAACTTTGTGAAGATGATGAGCTGGGATTGTTCAGTCGACTAAGTGTTGTCGTACATAAACATACACATACATATATATATAAAGATATAAGATATAGAATAGATATTATATATAACAACAATGTTTGAAGGATTTGTTGCAGATCTCTTGACAAGATACCTTGGCAAATACATCAAGACATTAAACACTGAGAACTTAAAGATTGGAATATGGAGCGGTATGATTGATTGGATCGATTGATGATAACATCGAACAAGTTGATTGATTTACATGTATCATTATATTAGGCAATGTATCATTGGAGAACCTTGAACTAAAGAAGAGAGCTTTACAGAACTTTAATAACTTACCATTCTCGGTGAAGGAGGGATTCTTGGGAAAGTTGTCGATAAAGATACCTTGGAATAATCTAAAGACAGAGCCTGTGATTATTATAATCGATCGTTTATATGTTGTGGCAACGCCAAAGTCACAGGACGAATGGGATGAGGAGGACGACGCACTGAAACAAAAGAAGAAGTTGGACAGGCTGCGAATATACGAGTCGTTGAAGGATGAGAAGAAGCAGGCCATGCAGAAGCAGATGTTGCAGACTTCATCATCGTCGTTGCAGACGTCCCGCAATGGCGGACAGGATGCTTCACACGTCGGCTCATCTCAGCCGACATTCACAGAGTCACTGAGGAACAAGATAGTGGACAACATACAGATATCAATTTACAACGTACACATTCGTTTCGAGGACACCCTTACCAACCCTGAGCGACCATACTGCTTCGGTGTGACACTCGAGCATCTCAAGGCGCAGTCCACCAACGAGGACTGGCTGCCAACCTTCCTGCACACTCCGCACACGCTAGTACACAAGGTAAGTGAATGATTGAATGAGTGACAATATCCTGATCAATCATGGACTCACTCAATCAATCAAACATAGTTGATCACATTGCAGAACTTGTCAGTATATTGGGACACTCATTTGGAATCACCTCTGCTACAGTGTGGCAATATCAATGAGTTGGTGACGAGGATGTCTAGTCTGATTCACTCCAAGTCAATACCCAACTTGGTACACAACTATCTGTTGCGACCAGTGTGTGGCTCACTCAAACTGATCATCAACAAGTCTGTAATACCCAACAAGATGATACCGGCCTACACGTTCAACTTTGAGTTCAGCGAGATCAATCTGGAGCTCGACTCTAATCAGTACTGCGGCATCATGGCGCTGGTCGAGTACTTCTCCATCCTGAAGAAGGGCGAGAAGTATCGCCGGTTCAAGCCAAAGAATGGCCTGTCCGACAGCAAGGACCGCTGGCGCTTTGCCATCGACTCTGTACTCAGCGACATCCGCGAACGACTATCCACCTGGAAGCGTGGATTCATCGAGAGTCGCAGGAAGCATCGACTAGAGTACATCACATTGTATAAACAAAAGAAGAAGAAGAAGATTGTAAGTCCCATCCACTCAATCAATCACTCATTCACTCAATCAATCAATCTAACATCTTGCACCAATCACAATCAATCAGCTGTCCACAGACACGAATAGACTACATCGATTGGAGGCATTGGAGAAGGAGTTCTCATTTGAGGATCTGGTGTACTTTAGATCATTGGCAGATGCAGAGTTAAAGGGTGAAGAGTCCTTCTCGAAGGAGAAGGCGCCAATGTCACCATCTGTTGGACCAACATCACCACCTCCAGTTCACCATGGTGCATCCAACGTCAATGCCAACGCCACTGGCACCACAACCACCACTGGTACAACATCCACATCCACCACATCCACATCCTCAACTTCCACAACCATTGCCAATAGTGCTGGCGGGGGTGGTGGATGGTTTAGTTGGCTAGGCTGGGGAGGCCAGCCAAAGCATGGTGAGCCACAAGAAGACGACATACTCAACAACCTCGAGCTGACTGATGAGCAGCGCCGTGCACTCTACTCCACGATCGACTATGACGAGCACCAGACCACGGCCAACATTGTTTATCCCAAAGACGTATGCTCAACCATCCGTCCATCAATCCATGACCAGGCAGATGCACTAACACTCACCCAATCACACTAGTATGTCAAGACGAGGATGAACTTCTCAATGAGCAAAGGATCAATCGCTCAGAGATTGGTCAATGGCAATCAGATTGGACAACAGCAGCAGCAGCAACAACAACATTCCAAATCAGATGTTGTTATTGTACTCACCAATGTGACACTCAAGTTGGACAAGTTTGTAGAGTCATTGTACTTTCAAACGATACTCGAGACTATACACGTGGAGGACCGCTTCACAGAGAACACAGTGTTCCCCATCCTTATGGGTCCACTCAAGAACTCACTCCTTACATCATGCCATCAAGACCACAATAACAACATCAACAATAGTCCAAACTCATATATCGATCAAACCCTGACAACTACAACAACAACGAACAACACCGATCTTGACACTGACCTATCATCGCATATCGAGCACACTGACGACACGACATCGACTCTCAGCGAGTACCATGACACCAATGACACGCAACCACTCTTTGAGATGACCATCCAAGAGAATCCACTCAACTCTGACGCCAACTACTACATCTTCATCGAGACCTTACCCCTTGAGGTAGTCTACAGCAAGTCAATCCTGGACTCTGTTTGTAAGTTAACATCAACATCACCATCACCATCAATCAACTGACTTACTGACTCACTGAATGAATATAGTGGAGTTCTTTGGCAATGCACCATCCAACACACTCAAGGATATTGAGGAGGCGGCAAGGAACCAGATTAAGGTCTTCAAGGACAAGACAACCTTGAGGATACAGTATGAGTTACAAAATCACAAGTCCATTGATTTGGACATCAATATCAATGTATGTCCAATTGTGCCAGGATAATGGATACCAACCGACCTAACAATCGACATCATGACCTTACCTTAGGCACCACATATATTGGTTCCACAAAGCTTCACAGATCAGAGTGCACCTATATTGGTGCTTGACCTTGGATCATTCTCATTGAACAGTTCCACTACCAACAAATCGACAATCATCGATCCCAATGACAGTGGTGAGGACAGCGATGACTACATACATGAGGATCTCAACAGTCTGAGCTCAAGTACAATCCTTAGTCGTGACTATGGTGAGATCAATGAGAGTGTGCCCAAGTACCTCTACGACCTATATGAACTACAACTCAAGAACATCCAGTTCTTCATCCTCTCCAACGTAAGTAGTCGTGGTCTTGGCGCGCCACTCCTGGCAGTATTCATCAGCTGACTAACCAACCTTGCGGCCGATCAAACAGAAACAATACCTACCCCTTGTAAATAGATTCGACATCAACTTCTCTATATTTAAGTGTATACTACAATCACAGACATTATTGACCAAACTAAAGTATGATTGAATGGATGGCTGGTTGAAGGATGGATGGATACTAACTAACATCCACACCATGGTAATATTAGATTGTTTGGCGACCTACCATCACTCAATATCCAACTTTCACAACAGACCATCGAGATGCTCATTCGTATATTGGACTCGATAGCACCTGATGACTTGCCTCCACCACCATCTTCATCCAATAATTACAACAACAACAACAATAGCAACAACAACAACAATGGCATCAACAATATGGAGAGTAATACAACACATCGAAGACAACCTAGTCAAGATATGCCGCAGTACATGCATCATCATCATTCCAGCGAGGATGAGACACAGAACCTGATCAACACGATCGAGCAACTGGAGCTGGCGCCACAAGATCAACTCCCAATCCTCATGATCTACAACACAATGTTTGAAGTCATCTTCTCCGTGCCTACGGTCAACGTCGTCGTCCTCGATCAAGACAAACCATTTGTCAGCTGTTCCTTTCAGACATTGGTGCCAAGGTACATAAGAGGACATATGACTTGTCGATCCTGCTCTCGCTGAAGCATCTGTACATAGAGGACATGTATCAGGAGTTTGAGACGAATGAGGACTTTAAGTACTTGGCAAACTCATCACCTGGCAATGAGTTGCAGGAGGACTCTGAGCATTTGATAACAGTGTCCTTGTCGGCTGTGCAGAAGAACTCACCTCAGTACAATGGCATATCACAACAGTTTGATATTACATTCAACACTCTGCTATTCAATTGCAACAAGAAGATCGTCGTCAAGCTACTCAACATGATACAGTCCATTGAGACAACGATCAAGGAGACGATATCCAAGCCCAAACCATCACGTAACCAACAGCATGGAGGCAAGGAGACGTTCAAGGCCGATAAGAACAACCCAAAGATCGTCATTGCCATCAAGATGCGCTCGCTCAACGTGCACTTGAACGAGGACGACGAGGCCTACTTTGCATTCGAGGTCAAGAACCTCCAGCTCAACTTTGACATTGACATTGAGTCGTCGATGATGCGATTCAAGCTGGGCAACCTGCTGGTCACGGACATCAGTCGTGACGCGTCCAAGGATCTCGGACCACTGTTTGGCACGGATGGTGAGCATATTGTCGAAGTGTATGTCATGTCCTATTCATCGATTGAGAAGGACACTACCATCAGTGTAAGAATGTCATCCGTCAAGCTTATAGTCATCCGGCCACTCGTCGACCGTCTTGCCAAGTACTTTGAGGACTTTGATCTCAACAAGATGTCCACCTCACTCTCTGAGAGCGCCAAGGGTGCCGTGGAAAGGATGCACGAGAGTCACAAGAAGTCACGTAAGTTACTCCACTTGGAATCATTCCAACCACCCACCGATCACTAACTCACTTCACAACAGGTGTACTGTTTGAGATTGATGTCAGCTCCCCAAGGATCATACTTCCAAAGAACTTGGTGTCACCTTATGTTCTCATTGCTGATCTTGGCCACATATCTGTGTTCAACAGCTACTCCAACTCTTTGGAGGATCCATCGATACAGCTGGAGGAGATATACATTTATGCATCGTCGATGAACTTCCAATCTTGTAAGTTCCAGTCGGGCAAGGTCATGGAGGACACGATCGAGAAGCTGTCCAACCTCGTCAACATGTATGTCTGCATCGAGACGTTCATCGAGAGCTGTCCCACATCCGACTCGCCCAAGCAAAAGGTGCTGGGTGAGCTGAGTCCCGTGTCCATCAAGATCACCGACCAGCAGTACATCCTGCTGATCTCGATCATCAAGTCGCTGGTGGAGCCCACCGTCAAGCGTAGGAAGAAAAAGATACGCACGTTCCAGCGACTGGAGAAGCACAACCTCGACGCACAGCAAGGCACGCCCGACATCAAGGACCAGATTTCGTTCCGGCTGCCCCTCATCCAGCTGGAGATCTATCGCAAGAACAACAGGGAGTCGGTCGTATCGTTTGAGATCGATCAGCTGGACTTCTCCATGATCGAGTACGTCAATGACAGCGAGTACACAACACTCTCGATGAACTCGATCGAGCTGATCGACACGCGCAAGTCATCCAACAACAACTTCAAGAAGTTACTCTATCACTCCAAGGAGCACAAGAAGAAGGAGTTGACCGTCTACATCTGCGAGAAGAAGAATGGCAACACAGAGCTCAAGATCACACTCGACCACTTGCGAGCCAACATCGTTCCCGAGTCAATCATCGCAATGATTGACTTCATCATGCCAGGCGTCAAACTACTGACATCATTGTCAGAGATTGAGACGCCTGTGCTGTCACCATTGGTCGTGCCAGATCCAGGTAGCACAGAGATGGTGATACCTCAGTTGTTGATGCGCAAGTCACCAGTCAAGTTGATATTGGATGAGGCCAAGGCCTCCAATGCAGTGATCAACAATCCACAGATAATGGTACATATCGAGGCAACAAAGATCGAGCTATGTCTCGTCGAGAATCCAACCAGGGTGGATAGCCGCGCGCTCATTGCCAAGGGTAACCTGCAGGGCAAGATCTCGATAATGACTGGCACGCTCGACTACACGGACATCCACATGTGCTTCGATCGTCTAGAGGTGTTCAAGTGTCGCATGGACCAGGCCCATCAGACGGCAGTGTCCATCATCGATCCAATGTCGATCACACTCACCATTGCCAAGGTGGAGGGCGAGGAGTCCAACCTGCCCCAGGACATCATCATCACAGCCGAGCCCCTACGCATCACCTTCTCCTTCCAAGACTACCAACTATGTCACGCCGTCTACAACAGCATCATGACACTATCTCAGTCACTGTCAACACTGACGGCGCAGAACCAAGAGCCAGAGAAGCCTCCAAAAGAGACCGCACTCACTCTGAACCTCTCACTTGCCGACGCATCTGTGACCCTAATCAACGACCATGGAGTTGGTTACCATGGCGTGGCCGATGTCAAGATCAAGAACCTTTTGATGGAGATCAAAGAGGTATGTCCCAGTCACTCATTCAATCAATCAAACATACTAACAACAGGATTACTCAATCACTCAACAACAATATAGAACAAGGTATTCTTGCTTGTATTCTTTGCAGCCAACTACTTTAACACATCGACATCGAGCTGGGAGCCACTGTGCGAGCAATGGGGATTCAAGATGTGCGTGGAGCACGTCAAGGACATCAACACAAAGACAAGCGTTGTTTTGACATCCAATAACACACTCAACATCAACGTGTCCAAGGCATTGCTGGACATCATGCAGTCATCGTATCGAACATTCAGCAAGATCTACAACGACCTGCAGATGCTCACCAATATCCAAGAGTTCAAATTGCCGGCAGCCTTGGCAACAGCCACTCCCACATCATCGCCACTTGTCACTCACACATCTCGCTCACTCAAGGCGTCAATGGAGTTGAATGGCAATGCTCTTTTGACGTTCGTACTCAAGAATGAGACGGGACTGCCTCTCACATGGTCAATCGATGCCACATCCAACGCCGCATCTCAGGATATGGGCGACATCAACAAGGCGACTGGCTCGGTAGAGACGGGCGCAGAGATCACATTCGCCCTGCAAGAGCCTTCCAAGAAGACGAGAGACGCAACATCGATATCGACGTACAAGATCAACTTTAAGCTACCTGGATTCAAACAGATCACTCATCTCCCAGTCGACAAGAATGTCTTCTATGTGCTCGACCTTCAATCAGAGACCGCGCCCGCCTTGGTCGACCCGGCCACCCGGCCCCCACCAGTGGTCACGGCCCCAGGCCAAGTGGATGACAGTGTGGGCGAGTACGATCAGAAGGTTGTCTATGAGATCATCTCGTCGCTGGGCAGTCGAGTGATCGTTCTGCGATCAAACTATCTCCTGGTCAACGAGACTGATCATGACCTGGATTTTGTGTGGCCCTCCCGTAAGGACATGCTGCACATCAACGCGCATCAATCCAAGGCGTTGCCACTGATCAATCAAGACCCGACCAGGGCCAAGTTTGAGTTCTGGGACTCCACGATGCGACACTACAGCGAGCAGATACCCTTCACAAAGGGACCGTCTGTGCGCATCATCCAGTTCCCCCCGATGCGCTACTACTGCATCCAGGTCGACAGCCACATGTTTGGCAAGTACCTGATGAAGGAGAGCGAGCCAGCCAGCGCAGGGGACCAGACCGCCGCCGCCGACAAGTATGAATACAACGACGACATACTCAAGGACCACATGATCAAGATCTCCGTGCCATTGGTGATTGAGAACGCGCTGGCGTCAACCATGTCCTTGCGCCTCCAGTACCAACGCGCGTCTAAGGTGCTGGAGGAGATGGTGGTCGAGAGCGGACACTCGGTCAACGTGCACACGATGAACACCGAGAGCATACTGATGATGCGCATCAAGACCGGCGCCTATGAGTGGTCCAACCTGTTCCAGATCAATCTGTCCACGAAGGAATCGATCGATCGCCAGCTGATCACCCTGGTCGACAAACAGGACAATAAGCTCGCGGTCAAGCTCGAGCACCGCACCATGGGAGGGTCGATCGTGCTGTCTCTCTACACTGACTTTTGGATCGTCAACCGTACGGGCATGAGCGTGTGCTACAACAACATCTCGAACGAGTCGTCCCAGTTGCTGCGCTGTGAGGGCACACCTGACGTTGTGGACATTAATCAGAACCCGCGTCTCTGGTACAAGGACCTGCACGCACCTATACCCCCGCCCATGATGTTCTCGACGGGCCACTACGAAGCCAAACAATCGATCACCTTGCGCATCGACAACTCTGAATGGTCCGAGCCCATCCAGCTCAACTCAAAGCAGCCGTCAGACATCAACATCGAGAAGAAGGTGTCTGGACAGTACGTGGGGCTGCAGTTTGCCGCGACAGTTTCCACGTCCAAGGAGTTCTTCCGCACACATCAGATCACACTCTCTCCCAAGTACATCATAATCAACAACTTGCCCGTTCGACTATACTATGGCCAAAATCAGTCCTCAATCTTCAACAATGGCGATGGCTACTTTGTGGAGCCCAATGAAAAGCTTCCATTCCACTTCCTGGACAGACATCAGCCACAGCAGCTCTCAGTCCGTCTCGCGCCCACATGTCCGTGGAGCGGTGCATTCACGATCACCAAGTCATCGATGCTACATCTGCGCCTGTCCACACAGGACAGCCCAGCGACAGGCGACCAAGTCTACCTGCCACTCGTCCAGATCTTCATGGAGAAGAACTACTTCTTCATTGTGTTCAATCCAGAGTCTCGCCAGTTCCCACCCTACCGCATCGAAAACCTCACGACACTGCCAATCAGCATCATGCAGAAGGACTCGCTGATCCAGCACCAAGTGGACAGCGGCAAGTCGATCAGATACACATGGGACTGTCCTATGCTGCCCGCATTGCTCGAGGTCAAGATCCCCACGACCAAGTATTCCAAGACATTCTCGTTGTCCAAGTTATACGAGTCCAGCTCGCCAGTGTCCATCAAGCTGCCCTCTGGCGACGTTGCCCACATCAAGTCGGTCATCTATGCAAATGGCACGTCCAATATCCTGCAGCTTATTGATGTAGATCAGGAGGTGAACAGTCCGAATGGACGACGATGGTACACTGCTACACCCGACATCAAGCCCCTGATCTCGTTCGAGGCACTGTTGGGCTGCGTAACGCTCTCGGTCATTGACGCCGACCCCAAGGAGCTGCTGTTTGGCACGTTCACAGGCATTCACCTGTCATTCGACCAGACTGCGCTGGCTGAGCAATCACTCAATCTATCGGTCAACACGGTCAAGATTGATAATCAACTTTACAACACACCTTACCCAGTGTTGTTGTGTGCACTAGTTGACAAGAACCACAAGTTTGTCGAGCCCATGGTATCCATTGCCTTCTCCAGATCCAACAGCCACGAGTACAAGAAGGAGGAGAAGTCTAGCATCGAGTACATCAAGCTACTCAAGTTTGATGTAGCACCTCTCAAGATCAAGATAGACGAGGCCCTCCTCTTCAACATCTACAACCTTGTCAACATGATTGAGTTCTCCTCACCACAAAGGAGTCAATCCGATACGTAAGTTTGATTGGTTGGGAGTGAGAGTGAGAGAGAGTGAGAGAGAGAGAGAGAGTGAGTGAGAGAGTGATTGGAATAGTTCCTTTGAGTGAGTGACTAACATACATCGATCACATCAGTGGATTCATTCCAACACCAGAGACAGTGGACTCTAAGCGATTATACTTTGAACACTTGTCATTGCCCCCAATCGACATTAGTATCAGCTACTGTTCGTCAGCATACTCTAGCGCGATGATGGGATCAAAGTACACTGCATTGGCCAACATTGAGAACGCCCAACTGCACCTTTTGGCATGGGACCTCGATCATCAGTTTGTGACACAGGCTGCCTTGTCAAACGCGTTGATCAATCATTTCTCGTGGAGCTTCCTGCGATTGGCCTTTTACTCGGACATCTTTGGCGCGCCCGTCTCACTCGGCTACAGCATCAGTCGTGGTCTCAATGACTTTTACAATGAGTCCTGTGCAGGACTCAACAAGAACCAGATCCGTCGCGGACTGGTGCAAGGAACGTCTTCACTGCTTAAGAATTCATTCTATGGAATCTTCAACTCGGCGGGCAGACTCACTGGCACGCTCGGCTCATTCATCGCGCCACTGTCAATGGACAACCATTACATTCAGTCAAGGAACAAGTCAGACCGCCATCTCAAGCCGAACGTGGGCTCAGGCCTCAAAGAGCTGCTCAATAGTTTCAGCTTTGCCCTCGCGGGAATCGTCAAGCCTGCACTGAATGGCGTCAAGCGGATGGACCCAACAGAACTCGTCAGCGTCACAAAGGGCACGTTGGGCGCCGGTGTGAAACTGGGCGTTGGCGTGATCGACCTGATGAGCCACACCAGCCAGGGCGTAAGGAACATGTTCCGCGACGTCGACGAGAACTCCTATCAACTTCGATCAAGGTCGCCGCGATTCATTGGTGCGGACCAAGTTGTGGACACATTCGACCCGCTCAAGTCATTCTGGCAGGAGCAGCTGTGCATACTCAATCAGAGCACGCCAATCGCCTCTGGTGAGTACTATCAGACGCACATGGAGTACTTTGATCCAACCAACCAGCAGCCTCACTATCTGTTGCTGTCCAACAAATGTCTGTATCTGCTGAACGAGCCGCTGCCCACGCTCGAGTGGTGGATATCACTGTCGTATCTTGGCATTCGACTCATACCCGAGGAGAAAAAGATCGTCATCGATGATCTCAAGACTGGTCAGTTCCGAGTGATTGGTGCACACAACATTGATGGCCAAGACATCTCTGCCGACATATTCACAACGATCAATGATCATTTGGACCTATTGTTGGCACCTTGATTGATTGATTTATTAATAAACTGTTTGACTGGCTTACCGACGAGGGGTACTTTAGTATGGCTTGGAGGGCCCTATTTCATTTTTAGAGTCACTATTAAACTTATATATACCTAACATTAACATGCTTCATCTCCAATCGTTACCTATTCTTATATTAAGAATCATTGTCTCACATCTTGATAGTGTTGTTGACATACTAAGTTTTCTGTTCGTAAACAGATTTATCTTCTTTCACCAAGAGACCATCGCCCCATCATTGAGACATCACTTTGGATATGTCTTTCCCTTGTCAACACTCACAGGTGCATCAAAACAACGTAAGACGAAAGTGAGCTTACGAACATTGAAACACTTGACAACAAGTGGCGATATCATTCCCAAACAAAGTCGTACATTTCAAATTCAATCATCAATCCCACTCCCACCAATTCCTTCGTCAGTCACAAGCGTGGAGCTTTACTGCCTTAATGGTCCTTTTTATCTTTGTATCAGCTCAATACCTTCAACTGTGACGCACATAGTATGTAGAAACTTTAATCAACCTCTTCAAGTCGGACATATCCCACAATCAGTGACACAACTATCACTTGCTCATTTCGACCAACCTCTTCAAGTTGGACAAATCCCACAGTCGGTGACACACTTGTTACTTGGTCATTTCGATCAACTTCTTCAAGTTGGACATATCCCACAGTCAGTGACAGAGTTGTCATTGGTATGTTTCAACCAGCCGCTCTATGTTGGACATATCCCACTGTCAGTGACACAACTATCATTTAATTCTCTTGACCAACCTCTTCAAGTCGGACATATCCCACAGTCAGTGACACAATTATCGCTTATTTATTTCAATCAACCTCTTCAAGTTGGACATATCCCACAGTCAGTGACACAGCTCACATTAGAGCTTTTCGATCAACCTCTTCAAGTCGGACATATCCCACAGTCAGTGACACAATTGTCATTTTATTCTCTTGACCAACCTCTTCATGTTGGACATATCCCACATTCAGTGACACAGCTCACTTTAGAGCTTTACGATCAACCTCTTCAAGTCGGACATATCCCACAGTCAGTGACACAATTGTCATTGCATTCTTTCAATCAATCTCTTCATGTTGGACATATCCCACAGTCAGTGACACAGCTCACTTTAGAGCTTTTCAATCAACCTCTTCAAGTCGGACATATCCCACAGTCAGTGACACAACTATCATTGGATGGTTTCAACCAACCTCTTCAAGTTGGACATATATCACATTCAGTGACACAGTTAGCTTTTGGAGATGTCTTTAACCAATTTCTCGCAACAGAATACATTCCATCGGTCACATCACTATCGATTCCATGCGCTGAGTTCTCTCCAAAGAATTTTAGTTTGCTTGACCATCAGTGTCTTGATCAGCTTACTGTTGTCCATTTTGTCAATTGCAAAAACTGGAACAAGAAGCCATGGACAAATGGATCATTTCTAGATCACAATATCTCTCTTATCAAAATGAACATACTTTCACATTTGGTCATCCAAGTTAAGCCAAGCAACCCACTCAACAGACTAAGTGAAGGGATGCCATCAAATCTTATGGCTTTACTGAGGTCCATCCCAACAATAACTCTTCAATTCTTCCACTCTGGCCCCAACGGAACCACATTGACTGACTTTAAAATTCTCGCCCGGCTAATTGATGAAACAACGACACTACTAGTGCCAGTATCAGATATGGATATGGATGGTGAAAGAGTGATATCACTTTTAATTAATAAATAACTCAAAGCTTTAATTATAAGTGAATGTGTTATCTAATAGTTCTTTGATTGATAGATTGAGTGATTGAGTGAGTTCAACAAAGAATGAAAGAATGAGCAGTTTTGAACAAAAACACAGACTTTCTCAATCATTATCATATTCAAAGTTATAATACATACATAATAATAACTAACTTAAGATGTTAAAGTATCTATTATCATCGGTTAAACCACAACCTGGTTATCAATCAGTTACAGTGCCAGCTGCAGCGTTGAAGAAGAAGAAGAAGAGTAGATTTGTAGTGGGATCTTCAAAGCATACGATGAGAAAGAGTTGGAAGCAGGGATTGTTGGGAGGCACTGTTATCAAAGAGAGTGTCAAGTGTCCCAAAGGCGAGAATCAGAACGATTGGCTAACCATTCATACAATCGAGATATATGAAACAATGGAGCACTGCTTCGATCTGTGCAAGGACTTTTGTACACCAGAGTCCTGTCCAAACATGATGGGAAGAAAGTATGTTTAGTTTGGTTCGCAATAGGACGAGACACAATCGTCCATGGTTGAACTTACACGTCATTCATTCATACTCAAGGGCATTATACTTATGGAGCGATCAAAAGGATAAGAAGCCTGTATCAATTCCTGCAAGAAAGGTACATATATTTCATTGATTGGCTGGTTCATTGTATCCACTAACATCATCTCCATCCATCAATCATTCATACATAGTACATTGAAAACCTCATTCGTTGGACAGGTGAACAAATAGATGACACTAATATATTCCCATTGGGAGATACCTATTCCAAAGAGTTCTTGCCAACTGTGAAGAAGATCATGGCAAGAGTTATAAGGTATTGTAACTTTATTATTACCCATACAAACCTCTTTGGTCAAGCTCTAACAATGGACCAACAACAACAATCACAACCTTACAGAGTATACGCACATATTTATTTCCATCACTGGGCAAATATCAAGTCTGCTGGAGCAGAGAAGCATGTCAATACCTCCCTCAATGTAAGTACCATTGGATAGAAGATACTAATGAATTGCTTACTGACTGCCCATCGCGGTATCCAACAGTACTATCTCAACTTTGTCAAAGAGTTCCAACTCATTAACGAAAGTGATTTGGAGGATATCAAGCCTGTCTTTGAGGGATTGGATTGATATGGCATCACAACAAATAATCATGTATAACAATAATAACAAAAAGAAGGATAGTTACAGAAAGGCTTGCTTGTGGCTACACATTGATCCAACTCCAATAAGCAGCTAATCAATTTGAGCATCCATATAAACTATCAGTCAAAGTATTAATACATGTCTGACAAGGAATCACTTCCAGGTCAAGTATTATATTTATATATTTAAGTTATAATAATACCCAATGGATGTTATTTGGAGAGTGATGCTACAAACTCTTGCAACCATTCAAATTTGTAGTACTTGGCTATGCTGGCGAATACCTTTAGACTGTTGATCATATAGAGTGTTATGTTAGTATTTGATTCGGTTGGTTGATGAGATTGATTGACATGATACATACTCTGACTCCTCACGGCATTGGTATTGTCCTGAACATGTTGGACATGTCTCGCTGAGATTATCTGTCTTGATCTGTCCACACTTGCCACACTTTAGGTCTTGCATGTGGTAGGCTATCGATCGTCTTTGGATGGTCTCCACCAGAGTCAGCTCGATCAATGTCTTGTTGTATTGATTGCCACACTTCTCGCAAAGGATCTTAGAGTCTTGGGTCTCTTCCTTGAGGAGGTCGTAGTCACGACACAGGTAGCAATGCGAGCAGATGAGGTCCGGCAGCACATAGGAAAGACATGGATCCTTGAAGCGAGCCTCCTCAGAGAACTCTCGCACGTTGATGATCTTCATGAGGTTCTTTCGCAGACGGTGCACCTGGTCCTGCATCGACTTGTCCAATGACAGCACGTGACACACTGACTTTACAAACTCCAGTGCAGGATTGGTGAATGTGAGATGGCTGCCAGGCAGCTGAGGGAACTCATCCTTCAGCTCAGAGTACTTCAGGCCTTGAAGTATCTGTACGATACGATTGCTGTCCACCACTTGTGACCACTTGTGTGATTGAGGCTTGTCCTCCTCCTCAGTCCAATTGCTGCTGACTGTTAGGTCTATACTCTTGTCACCTTTCTTGGACTTGTCGTTGTTGTCGTCTACATTGCTGTTGGTGCTGTCGACCACATCACCACTGCCACCATTCATCACGTCCTGTATCCTGTTCCTCTCTTTGTGAAGGTAGAGCTTGTGGATAAAGTCAGTGATGACCAATATGAATGAGCTCTGAATTGACTGTGGGAGGAACTTGGAGATGTTCCAATGTGAAACCAGTGTGCCATCGATTGCGTTGTTCACATCTGGAGAGGTGGAGCTGGACTGCTGCTGTTGGTTCGCGTTGCCTCCAGTGAGCTGATGGCATATTCCTCCATAGTTGGAGATGTCCATCCAGAGCAGGTTGTGCCAGAAGCGACTGGGCTTGATGGTGAGCCACGAGAACAGCTCCTTCTTCTTGATGACCGAGATCACGTAGTTGCAGTACTGTCTGGCGTCGTCGATTGATGTCTTTTGCGAGCATACGATGATCTTGTTGAAGCTGCCATAGATGATCTTGGAGCCTAGCTTCCTAAACTCAAACACCAGCTGCAGGAACACCTTGCGCATCAGTCCGTGCAGTGTGCGATGTAGCAGTGGGTCGTACATGCCACTGTAGGGCGATGAGATCCATCGGTAAAAGTGTGTCAGGAGCAAGTCTGGCGATTGATTGTTCTTCCGGTTGCCCATCACAAGGTCGAGCGACCAGCGCGACACAATCTTGCGCAGCAAGGCAAACTCCTTGTCACATGAGGCCAAGTGCTCCATTGCCGTTCGAACGGCCGCATCAGACGATGTTGTGACGCCAGATGCCGATGATGTCGTTGATGTCTGTGCGCCGGGCGTTTCAAAGTTGAGCGTGGCGTCGCCGCTGTTGAGCTCGCCGCCAATGATTCCTTCAATGTTGGCCAGATGCGCAGACTCGAGGATGGTGTTCACGGCGAGGCCCGCAATATCCAGCTCAAAGCACACGGTGTTGTAGCAGTCGGGTTGGTTGATCTCCATCTTGCCGAGCTCCTCGTGGAACTTGGCGTCGTCTTCCTCAGAGCCACCCAGGTCGGGGCAGTTGGAGGGTGACATCCAGAGCAGATGGTTCTTCTCTCGCAGCACTCTAGAGTATGAAATGTCCGACACCAATGAGGCGTAGTCACCGTTGAGGTTGCCGATGGGGATGTTAGAGTAGCGAGCCAGACCCATAAAGTACTTCCAGTAGGAGGCCACCTCGGCGTATCGTGTGATCAGTGGCTTGAGACAATGTACCTCCCAGTTGAATGGGGAGTACTGTGCGTCCAGCTCGTGGGACACCATCTGGAACTTGGCAAACTCGCGCAGCATTGGTATGTCGTGCATCAGATCGCCAATGTTGACCACCTGTGTGAGCAAGATGGAGGTGGCGCGGCTCAACGATGATTGATACTCTTGCAGCAGATGGTTCACCTGTCGCCTGGCCTTCTCCATTGATGGCTCGATCTCAAGATGGAACGTGATGTCAGGATACTTCTCCTTGAGTGGCGCCAATAGACGCTGTGCTGTGGACGATGTGCTGCTCTGTTGCTGGTAGGGGTTGGCCAGGATGATGGTGCCAGTGTTGTCGCGTGTTCTGATCAGGGCAAACACACCATCTCTGCCATCCTTGCTGTTGTGGTACAGATAGATCTGGTGGAAGTTGGCCTCGGCCAGATAGCTGGTAGACCTGTCTGAGCCGTAGGGTTGGATGTCCTCGAGGAGGTATCGACCACTCTTGGTCTGCTTGGCTGACCTCTTCAGACTGGCCATGGCACCCACCTGTATGATGGCCGAGATGTCCAGTGGAACGTGTGTCTCGTAGACACCCTCGATCTGTGGCTGTGTGAAGAGCGTGCTCAGCTCCTTGGCGTTCTTGATGTAGTCTTGCTCGGGCATTGTGTGGCTCGAGAGGAATAGTCTGGGCTTGGAGCGTGGTAGCGTGCCGAGCGAGAGCTCCATCTGGCCGCTGCCATAAGGGTCTCGCTGGAAGCTGTTGAGAAGGAACTTGCGTTGTATCTCCACCTTGATCGGGATGATCTGATCGCCAATCAACGACCAGAATGTATAGTAGCCGGGCACATTGGTCTGATCGATCGATATAATGTGCCACAGTCCCTTCTTGATCGACTCGCTCTGCGACGAGAAGAATCCATTGAAACCGGGCATGCCGGCGGATGGCTGTGCGGCCTTGCTTGTGGGGTGATGGTGGCGGTCATCATTGTCCTGTCCTGCCCTCTTTGCCTTTAGCTTGGCCCGAAGTGTCCTCCATATCACCTTGTGATGCTTGAGCCAGAGCTCAGGGTCGTCATCATAGGCTGGACACTCGCCGACCAACTTCTCCTCCTGGCCATTCCTCGTTGACGATCTCTTCTTCTTGGAGTCTTTGCCGCCTGATCCGGATCCATCGGCGAGTCTCTTGTGCTTGGTGAACATAGGCACGCCATTGGACTTGGCCTGGAAGCGGCTCTCAAAGAGGTCCTCAATGTCGCGACTGCCTGCACCACCGTCGTCGGCCTTGTTGTTGAGCTTGTCAAAGAAGGTGGTGATGTGTGACTGCTGCTTGGTCTCGTTCTGTTTGTTCAACTCCTTGATGATCCACTGTGGATGTGGCACTCGTGGCACGGGGTTGCTGATGTTCTGGAGTGCGGCGGGCAGCGTGATCATCTTCTGGATCACACCAGACAGACGTTGGCGGTAGTAGTCCCAGTCGATAATGTCACGCAGAGTGGCCTCCTTGCCCTTGGTCCACTTTCGGAGGAACATGATTCGTACGTCCTCGTCGGCGGCAAAGATCTCTGTGGGGATGGTACGCTCGGTGACTGGCGCGCCTGCGGGCTTGTTGGCAATGATGTACTGGCACTGCAGACCGGCCTCCTTGACAATGTCGGCGCCCAGGAACTCGGCCAGCTTCAAGGCCGTTCCAATGGCCGTGCTCTTTTGTTTATCGTACTCACTGAGACGTTTGCTCATCTTGCTCGACTCGGTGATCAGTCTGATCAACTCGCGGTCCTCGTAGCCCTCTGCGTGCGAGTCCAGCACGTCCAACCAATGATTGGCCACAGATGCAATGGCGTGGTAGCACTCCTCCATGGTGGAACCCTCGTTAAAGTTCTGGAAAAGCTCAGTCTGGAAGGACTTGATCAGCTCCAGCTCACCACGACGCTTGATCTCAAAGCCCTTGAGCTCCTGAACGCCGCCCTGCTTGTTAAACACGGCGTAACGCTTCTTGAGCTTGACGTCCTTCTCTTTGCCCGTTGGGATGAACATGCAGCCGTAGGGACCGTCCGACTCGAACTGGATAGAGCACTCCTCGCGTGTGACGTACACGCCGCGCTCGGCATCATATTCTTGGTACTGATGATTGGCAAACGACGCCTTCACCTTGGAGTTGAGCAGCGCGTTGAGGAAGTTGAACTTCCTCGTTTTGCCCGTGGCGGCGCTCTTTAGCGCGTACTCCTCGGGGAACTTGTCGGGCAGGATACACCAGATACCATCAGTGTCCAGCTCCAGCGGACGACCGAGCTGCTCGACAGACTCTCGGGCATTCTTGATGATGTTGCTGCCAGTGTGGGTGACGATACCGGCCATCTGCATGGAGTACCATCGAGAGCCCTTGCGCATCACATATCCGTAGAAGGAGTTGAGAATACACTTGTGTGCCAACTGCATCGACTCGTACATGATCACCATGTTCTGGCATTTGGTCGAGTCGTACTGACCCTGGCCTTTCTGGGCCTGATCGTAGTGGCCCTTCCACTGACTGTGCAAGTCCTTGTACACGTATCTTCTGTCACGGAACTGTTTGACCGTGTCCACATAGAATGAGTTCTCTCTCATGCACACTGTATCCGACTTGATCTCATTGGATACAATATGAGTCTTCTTGTAGACCTTCCTATAAATTGTGCGTGTTGGATGGATGTGTTAGTGATTGATTGATGTGAGCGCACCGAGTTGGATGACATACTTTGAGTAGTCCTTGAGTCTCTTCCTCAAATGCTCATTCTGCTCTTCCTCTGGCAACTCCGTAAAGGACGTTTGTTCAGGTCCAAATCCTTTTGATTGGAAAAGTACCAGTGTGTGATTGATTAGTGTTTGGACTTGATTGATTGATTGTTGCTTGGATAGTACATACTCTCAGACTCTAGTTGTTGAAGAATGAGTCGATACTCTGAGTAGTTGGATGGCGAGTAGTCACCTCTCCACTCCCAGTTGAGTGTCCTCTGACACTTGTTCTCGGGCTTGTTGAATGTACAGGTGGCACAGATCTCCTCGTTGACGATGGAGGTTGGCTGCAAACGGTTGGTCAAGATAATGTTGGGATACATCGCACTGACATCCAAATGGTAGATGAGTGGCTTGCTCTGTTGCTTGGGCTGATCCCTTAGCGAACTCAATCGTCTAATAATGTCGTCCTTGATCTCCTGGTAGTTGGCCACGGCCGAGGCCTCGTCCGATGTTGAGTATCCACACTCGCTCATAGCCTGCAGAATGATCGTGTCCACGTTGTCAATGTGTGTTTGCAGCGCCTCCTTATTGAGATCAAAGTGCGTGGGGATGTCATGGCGGAACACGCCAGACTCGAGACACTCGACGTGTCCACCAACGTATGTCTCTGACTCTATGAGATGACCCTTGTAATGCTTGCGCTTGTCCTCTAGATGCTTGTTTGGGAAGATGACGTTGACTCTGTAGGCTTGGCTCATGAGCAAGGCCTCGCACAGCGAGCCGGAGCCCTTGCGTAGCACATCGTCGGGGTTGAGCGGAATGATTGTGCACAGCGAGAAGATGAACGGATGGATGTAGGTCATGTAGAGATAGTAAGTGGCCACGGCATCAGACACTGAGTAGTTGGCCAGGCGCTCAGGGTCTTCGCGTGCAGAGCGCACCATCTCCTCGGGGTCGAGCTCCAGTGGATTGTACCGCAGCTTCTTCCTGACGACCTCTTTCAGACGATGTGAGCCGTGTGGCAGGTACGAGTCACGCTTGACCCAGCAGAAGGCGTCCATGTGCACGGCCGACCGGCCACGGTACTCATCGTCATTGACCAGTCTGAAGCCAATCTCGCGGTACAGGTCAAAGCCGTGATGCTTGGCGCGGGCGTCTACAAACGGCCAGTCAAAACCGTCACCGTGGTACGTGACGAATATGTGCGGACGTAGCTCTCGGATGTGCTCAAAGAAGCGACGCAGCAGTGCCGCCTCGTCTGGCTCGTTGAACACGGTGAAGGGACCCTCGTACTCGGGCTTGGGCGTGTACTCAAAGTCCTGGATGTCGGCCGCCACAATGTCTCGATTGACAATGAGGAATCCCTGGCGATCGAGCATGTAGGATATCATCATGATCGAGTCGATATTGGCGTCGGGGAACTTTTGAGGAAGATGCGTAGTCTCAATATCGAACGCAAACACCTTGGGATCGGGACGCTCCTCGCGGTCCAAGATGCGGTGCACAGTTGTGGGCATCGTTGGCATCTCGCGCTTCACCTCATACCACATACCGACTCTAATGTCCAAGTCGATGGCTGCTCTCTGGTAGTAGGTCACGTCGTACTCTCTGATATCCAGTATATACTCTGTGGCCATCTTTGTTGTCTTGCGCGATGTTGTCGAAGTGATTGAGTACTTTGCAAATGGGTCTTCATATGCCTCGCTAGTCGATGCCTTGAGTTGATTCCTCTTGATCACTGGCATAATATCGCTCCTAACCTCCAACAGCATCTGTACATTGAAGAAGTTGATCTTTAAATACTTCCTCTTGATGCCAGACAGATGGTTCTCCTGTTGTTGTCGTTGTCGAATGAATGAATGAGTACATGTCCCTTGCGCGATAACAATGATTGAATGATGCTTACCAGATCCAAGTCTTCCTTGTCAACGGTCTCGATGGTTGTTATCTTGCCCTCGTATCTTCGCTTGAGGTAGGTCTCGACTTCGGTGTGATGATTGTCCTTGACATAGATATAGAAGTATGGATTGTATGTTATCCATGCCCTGAACGATGTAGCATCATCTTGAATGAAGAATAGCTCCAGACTTGCTCTGTCCACTCCTTTCTCTTTATCCTTTGTTGAGCTCTATGTATCATATTGTGTCAGTGTCAGTGTTAGTTGTCATTGTCAACTTGGTTCTCGAAACATACCGGCTTCATGTTTAACAACCAACCAACTCTCAGTGGATGGAAGTTCTGCCTCTCATTCTTGTCTTCGTCGTCGTTGTTTCCAGATGTAGTGGCAGTGTCCATTGCACCAACGTCACTAAAGTCGAATTGATCCTTGTCCTTACGATCATCATCACTATCATCATCTGCATTATCCGATCTTGCTCCTCTATATTTGTTTGCATTCCTATTATAGTTATTATTATTATTATTATTGTTATTATTGTTGTTATTGTTATTGTTATTGTTCCACCTTGAACCACTCTGATAACCTGAGCCACTACCCTTCTTGAATGACCTTTGTGGCGGTCCCATCACTAGATGCTTGCTCTATCTATATATACAAATGAATATATATATATATATTTATAATGTAGTAATGTAATTGTTGTCGAATGAATCTCAAAAGAGAGCTATCTTGTATCTCTTTAATTTCAAAAAATGGCGCGAACCTGGAAACACCCAACCCTCGCCCTTACCCTCGCCCTTGCCCTTGACCTTGCCCTTGCCCTACCATGTTTGGAATCTGACAAAGACCATCGATTATTAAATGTTTACCAGATGAGTTAACTCATCCAAAGATCTTTATCTTCTTCTTAAACTCGGTTACTTGATGCTCGACAAACTCTCGACCAATTGCATCGATCTGCATCTCGAATGCTTCCTTGGCCTTGTTATACAATGCAATGTCCATTTGATTACGTCTCTTGATCTCCTCGACAATGTCTTCTGGTACATCGGCAACACTAACACGTTGAGTGCCAGAGTTAACCTTTGTGAATCTGATCGCCTGGAAACCTGCGTAATGTGTCAGCAATACCAAGCTCTCTGAGAACTTCTCAGTCAATCCAATGTATTTATATGTACTGGATGGCGGGAGAGTTGTTATTATGTTAGTCATACGTGTCCAAGTGGTGTCCAACTCTTGTACATATCATTACATACTATTTAAGATGATGATGTGCACATATCTCTGTTTCATTCTCCTTTCCATAATACTCGTGAGGGGAGATACCACAGAGCATTCTTGCTTGCTCGTTGTTGGCCGCTGCACTGCGCTCGATCCATTCGCGGAGGTCGTACTTCATGGCAAAGCCATGACCTGGGTCACGCTTGTTCTGACGATGATAGTAATAGTGAGAGATGACACGGTCCACTGGCTCGCGCAGCATCGTCATGTAGGAGTATGGGTTGAGACCATCTTCACGAGCGGGCAGACTGTTTGGCCTCTTCTCCTCGTAATAGAAGTGAAGTCCGTAGCGAATGTGTCCAAAGATCGTGGTGAGCTTGGTGGACATGTGTTCCAGTTCGTCGACGCCTGGATGAGCCCAGAAGTGGAAGAACTGGGCGCGTCGCTCGTTTCGTTTGAATATGTTGCCAAGAGATGAGCCGCCAGTCTTGGCAATGTGGATGAATATGTGTGGCTTGGGCAGCAGGAAGGGGTTCTTGAGCGGGTCCAGCTTCCAGGTTGACTCGAGCAGCAAGATGGTGTCCTGGCTGGGCTTGGGACGACGGTAGTCGCTGGGTAGTTTGGGAATAGCCACATAGTGCTGAGGCAACAGTTTAGATGTCTCGGTTTTTGATTGGAGCACGGCTATCATCGCTCGCTCCTTGTCCACCTCGCTCAGAACCTTTTCCAACAATATCGGACGTTCAATATCGTTTGCCTTTGACCGCAGTGCCTTTTCCCTATTCAGACGCAACTGTTCAGCCTCTGTCATTGGCTTTTCATTTGCCTCGCCCTTTATCAATTTCTGACCAATCCTTGCATAATATGATGGTTCATCCTCATTGTCCAATGCTATATCTACTTCATCTTCTCTATTCCTATTATTCTTATTATTCTTATTATTATTGTTATTATTATTATGATGTTGTCTTGCAGCTATTTGTACAGCTTCATCCTCTGTTAATACAGGATCTGTCTTTAACATTTGAACTGCCAACATAGTCGTAAGTACGACTGCTATTATACAACATAGTAATATCTTTCTAGGTGTCAATACACTATTATATGATCCTCTTGGCCTTGCCATATCTCTATATCTCTATCTATCTATTTGTGTCATGTCAAACAATAGACTATTCAATTGACTTCTCATTGTTGTTGTTGTTCTCCCATTCATTCATTCACCCCCCATTCCAACTTAAACAATATCTGTTGACGAACAAAAAAGAAATCGGGCTTAGCTAAGACGTGGTCGACGACAACCGTTACCCATTTTGATGATCGAATGAAGTATGTGTGGGGTGTCCTGAAGGTCTACGAAGAAGTCAAACATATTTACTTCTTTGTCTTTGATAGCTTTCCATGCATCTTTGTCAACTTTGTCTTGATCTCCTTGAACCTTGGTCTCTTCTTTGCCTTGTCCACCCAACATTCTCTGTTTGATTGACAAAAGAACTAATGTTAGAATATGATATCATTCATGTTGTGTTGGACTAATGAACTTACTTGATCAATTTACAATAGTCACTTGGACAGTCGGATGGGATTTGAGGTCGCTCACCTTTGGTCACCATAACTGGTATGGACCAACTGTTGACACCATCGTATGGATCCTTGCGACAGAATATCTCCCAGAGTACAATGCCAAAGGAGTAGACGTCACATAGTTCGGTGTAGGGTTCATTCCTAAACACTTCGGGTGCCATCCAACAACTAGTACCTAGATTCAGTGTCATTTGCTTCGATGGATCGATCGCTCTGCTGGTGCCAAAGTCAATGACCTTGGCTCTCATCTCCTCTGTGACCAATACATTTCCACTCTTTAAATCTCTGTGGATGACGCCCAGCGAATGAAGGTACTCCATGGCATTGGCCACATCCAGTGCCAATGACAACTTTTGTACAAAGGACAGTTGGACATCCTTGTTGAGTAGCAGGTCCCGCAGAGTACCTCCCTTTACAAACTCACTAAGATGCAACAGACACTTGCTATTCTCTGTGTTGGCTCCATAGAACTCGGTGAAGCATTCATGGTTCAGAAGACTAAGGTAGGTGTCACGTGATATATGTCAGCTGATATGTTCCAGGTCATGTGATATCGGTATTAAATGAACTTACCTCATGATTGATACCTCGCGATCAAACTCCTCTCGACTGAAGCAGAGATTGTCGACACTGTATACCTTGATTGCAACGTCTCTTCCTTTGTAGACTCCACGATGTACCTTTCCAGAGGCACCGGCGGCGATCACCTCATTCATTTGTAACTCCTCCATCTTGATCTCTTTGTGAACGATGATCTTGTTGGTGAGCACATTTGATAGAATATCATCGAAGGAGTATTGTCGCAGTAGTTCTGGCATGGACTTGCCATTGATCATCGGTACGAACTTCTCGATCGGCTGCAAAAGTTGTTGACTAGTTGGCCGCGAAGGTCTAGAAAGCTGCGGTGAAGCAGATGGTGAATTGTTTGTTGATGTTGATGTTGACGATGGTGTTGGTGGCTGTAGTTGTGTTGAAGTCGGTCTAGATGGTGCGGGTGATGAAGGTGCAGAACTTGCAGGTGAAGAAGTTGTAGATGATGTATATGGATATTCTGACAAAGTGTCTGTCGATGCTGATACAGATATTGTAACTGTAGGTGGAGTTGAAGGTGTCGATGTAGGTCTACTCAATGATGGACTACCCTCTACATGACTCGCGTCACATTTGTTGCAAACAAAGTTGCCTTCAATATATAGGAATCCTTTGCTAATGATTGATGTACACTGTTCCAGGTATGCGTAAGTAAGTATGAACAAGTCAAAGGTAGTTCACTTGATATACTACTACTTACTCTATGACATGTGAAACAATCTGGATGGTAGTTCTTTCCACGAACATTGACTACGGTGTTTTGTATAATGTTGGTACACTTGTCACAACGCTTGGCAAAGAGAGTGACCTCACATGTATCGCAGTAGAGTTTGCCATCCTTGTAAAAGAAGCAATCCAATGACACTTGACATTGTGTGCAAACAAAGCATTCCTCGTGGAATAACTTTCCCTTTGCTCTAATCCTCGACGAATTAATCGTCTTATTACATGTTGCACATAATTCTGACATTATTAAATATTATCTATATATCTGTATGTATGTATGTGTCTTATTGATTTGGTTGGTTGGTTGATTGGTTGATGACCAAGTCAACTAATTATTATGATGATGATGTTTATGTTTGTGTACAATAGAGAGAGACAAGGTGAGAATGTCTCTTCTTCAGAAACAACCAACAAAGACAAAACATGAGAGGTGTGTGTCATCATGAAAGAATCGGGTGGGAGGCGAGGCCGAATCAAATTTGGTGATTGTGCATTCACGATCGGGGGGTTAGTGGGTATCACAACCAACCAAATATCAACAATGTGTGATGCGGTGCACTCTCGTACAATTATAATTAGAATTTTAGAGGGCGAGTATGATCAAACAATGGGGGGGTAAAAGGGCTGATTCGAATCGTGATCACACTTTGTGGTGATTGTTGGTGAATGATTGAATGGGTAGGTAAAGGCGCGCACGTTCATTGTTCAACACATTCATTGTCTTTGTGTAGGCTTTGTACTGTTCACTGGTACTGGAGGGAAGTTCATCTCGATCTCCAAGACATCGAGTTGGGTGATGTCAGCTTCTGTTTGTAGGAGACTGCCCAGGGATGGTGTGGTGCGGCCAAGGTCACCGTGGACAAACTCCTTGATGTATGTTCCAGCTGATGCCCACACGTCCAGCAGTATAAAGTGTGGAGCGATACACTTCACTGCCAGTTTGGCAATAGTCTTCTTCCTCTCTGCCAATGATCTTCTGTGCAGTACTCTAACAGGTGTATTCTGTTTGAGTTCCATATTATTCACCTTATCCAATACATTATGCAAATACTCCTCAGTCATATCCTTTGCAGTCCAAACTACACATCTATACACCTTTTGTTTAGATGTCTCTCCATCCTTTAGAACTGATGTTTGTTTCCTATTTTGGATTGAGTTGGATTGGATTGTTAGTGGATTGTGATTGATTGATTGAGTGATTGGAATAGTTCCAGTGAACATACTTTGTGATGAATTGTAGTCTGGATACTCTGATATCAGCATTTGAATTGATTGTCTCTTCGATCTTTCTAAAGTCATCGTAGGTCAAGAGTATCTTGTGTGGATTGGTGATCTCCAAAAAGAATGGTCTACCCTCTCCAAGCATCCTAACATCAATATCCTCTCTTCCAGATGACACAAAGTTGGTGGCTATACAATGATTGTTAGTATGATGATTGAAGGTCCACCAACGCACTCATACACTGACATACCATCTGCTCCACATCTATCCTTGATGGGCTTGCTGATGAACTGCTCGACACAGTCCAGAGTGACAGGCTCATCGTTGAGTGACCATGGTGTTTGACTTAGGTTGCGTACATATTTGTTGTAACGTCCACAGATGAATACAGGTGCATGCTCATATTCCAAACGATATTGATATGTCGAGGTTACTCTTGTTGGTGGTATCTGTCCATGCATTCTAAAGTCCTTCTCTGACATATTGCCAAGTACCTCCATGATTTGATAATTGGAATCGACCTGTACTTGGTTCTGATTGAATGATTGAATGATTGATTGATTGGTTGTGTTAGTCAGGTGATGGGGATCATTCCATGATTGATCATAGACATACTCTCCTGTTGTTTGTTCTTCTCTTCTTCTTGTTCTGTGTCTTGATGTCAAAGAGGAATAGATGTTCGTCTTTGGTCTCCTCGTGGCTGTAGGTCATGTTCATTCTAAAGTCACTGGATGGCTGGAATTTGAAGTTGAACCTCTTGACAATCAGTGGTCCAAGTATCCATTTGACAGCCTCTTTGATATCGACGATCTTGGCATCCTCTGGTGATTCATTCTTGAACAATGGGTTGGCCTTCATTTTGTCCTTGTCATTGTCCCTGCCAAACAGTGAATGCAAATGGAACCAAATAGAGTACTCTCTGATGATCGTAGACTGTGGCATCCACAAAGCCAATGAGTAATCTATAAACTCATAGTTACACTTGCCAATCGAGTCCAAGAATGTATCCAAGAACTCATTGGCACTGTTTGTATTCTGGAGCATACCCAAGCATGACACGCACACTAAGTCATTCAAAGTTGTTAGCGAGTTACGGTCAACATGCGAGGAGTGAGTGATTGAGTGAGACAACATACCTTCATCGGTTGCCTTTAGTGAGTCCAAGTTGTATTCAAACTTGGTCGTGGTCGGAGTTGTAGTCGTAGTCGTGGTCGTTGTCGTTGTTGTCGCGTCGGCGACCTCAGGTTGCTGCTGTAGTTGTTGTGTATCATGTCGATCTCTCATAACGATATAGTTGATTAGATGTGATAGGAATGGCACTGGCTCTTGATATAGACCTATTTCTCTGATGTTGAAGTATCTTAGACAACATCTTGGACACACTCCAATGCTGACCAACTCTGCCAACGCCGGTGAATATAATGATTTAATCGTTCGTCCATAGAATGACTCTAGTCTCCATATCAAATTCTTTCGACCTATCTCATCATATGATGTACTACTACATGCACTACTATTGTTAATGCTCGTCGCTGTATTCAATGTAGTAGTAGGTGTAGGTGTAGGTGTAGGTGTAGTTGTAGTTGTAGTTGTTGTCATTCTATCTTTCTTCGTCTTCTTGAAATGAAAAACGAGAGTGCCCTTTGTGAAGTTAGCGTTGACAACGCGGATACGGACATCGTACACGCGCGTGAGATGATATTTATTGTTGTTGCGTAGTACTACTGGTAGTAGGCTGCTGCTGGAGCAACCAATTGATGAACAGGTTCCACTTTTCATTCCAGGCGTTGATGGCTAGTTCACGCTCTTGTGAATCGAAATAGGCACTCTGGTTCAGGGAGTTGAGGGCAAGTTGCTTGAGCTCGGCAATGCCAAGACCCCAGGCGGTAGTCACCTCGTAAAAGTCATAAGTTAGACCGCCGTAGCCAAAGATGGCGGGGTCGTCGGGCGAGATCGTCACGGGCAGGCCCTGGTTGAACAGGTCATAGCCGGGGTGGGCGCGGAAGTTGGCCACATACTCCAACACTTGGTTGCTGATGGGACAAACCTCGATACCGATGTTCTTGTCCTTGACCAACTGCATGAGGACCGGGTGCTTGGACAACTGTATTCCATGACCGATACGCTTGCTCTGGAGTAGGATGGCATCGTAAAGATTGGTGTTGTTGTACAACAATGTCTCGCCGGCGTGGAAGTAAAAGTCCAATGGATACTTGTATGTTTGGCCCAGTTTGTCAATGGTCATGAATTGATCGATAAAGTAGATCAATGGATATCCCTCATCCTCTGGTCCAACCAAATCATATCCAACAAACATCTGAGGATATTGATTCCTCAACTCCAATGCGTATACCATGTGATCCAACACGACACTGATCAGTAGATTGATTGAGTTAGTGATTGTTTGGTACCATTCCAGTGAATGAGTGATTTATCGGACTTACGTTTGATTCACATGTCTTGGATCACAACCAATTATTTTGATGTTGAACTCTGGCATTTTGTAGGTGGTCCTGGTGGCATCGACAAGTTGGATAGTCTGCTCAACGAACCAGGTCATGTTGTATTGGTTGCCAAGGAGGTCGTAGGTGTCACCAAACACCTTGCGTAACTCGATGTGCTGTACATTGTTGGCAATTGTTTGGTTGACCAAATGTTGCATGTATCCAATGGTGGCGGGCAAGTATGATACGAGGCCAGCAACACGGCCAAAGATGGCGTCAAACTTTCTCCAGAGTCCGACATAGTCACCAAAGTCGTCGGTCTCCAGTGTGAGGTTGGTGAGCAGCTGTTGATCAAACTGATTGACATTGTCAGAGTTTTGGCGCAATGTGGACAGGAGCACCCAGTTTGAGTTGGCCGGTTGTTGGGCAAAGAAATAGAATGAACCATAATAAATGCCAGACTGTTGTTGATCATTGCCAATGTACATATAACAATTTGGCAAGTAAGATGCCGTATCAATCAAGTAATCATATGTTGCCGACGAGTCTTGATGAGCATGTAATATCGAACCCTTTGGCATCTTGTCCAAAATGCCAAAGATCTCTGTAGTTTCAATAATACTCTTGGCCTTTAATATTTGATTAGGTAGGTGTCAGATGAATGAATGAGAGATGATGATGATGATGATGATTATAACAACATACACCAAAGAAGTTTAATGAAGATGGATCATTGTTGGAGAGTTGTAATTCTTCAGTTTGTAGGATTGTTGTGAAGATCTCATTGGCAGATTGTTCGGCGGCTGTTAGATGTATGAATGCACCATCCTTTATAGCATTCTCACTGTCTACCAACAATGCCCTCTCCTTCATATATTGTTTTAAATCTTGTGATTGAACACATTGTAATGTCAATGTCATAAATGACAATAACAACAATATAAATATCTGTTTTGTTGTTGTCATTGTCTTATATATAAATATTATACTTAATACTACAATTACTACTTATATCTTTTATCTAAAAATATGTGTGTGATTGTCTATGAGTTTGGATTGGGATCAAATGACCTTTCATCATCATCATGTGCTGTTAATGTGGTGGGGCACACACCAATCTTGAGATTGGAACAATGTGTTGCAAACAACTGGAATGGGGTGAATTGACCAATCTTGAGCACTTAAAAAAAGAAAATAAATAAAAATAATCGAATCGTCCCTTCACCCCAACAACACAACACAATCATCATTCATTCTTTCATTCGTTCGTTTTTTGGATGAATGTGTTCGATTTAATCATTTATTCATTCTTCATCACACTCTTCTACCCAATCCTATTCTTACACATACACATTCACATATATATACACACATTATAACAACGATGAAACAAAAGAGTAAATCAGATAGAGTGTTTAATGTGAAGAAGCAGAATGCACCTGCTGCTGCTGCCAATGCACCGGCTAATGGCGCCAGCAAGGTGGTCAACCCATTCGATCGAAAGACAAACAGGGTCAAGCATAGTGTCCTCGGAAAGAAGGTCATCGGTACATCCGGTAACAGAGGTCAATCAAGATATAATGATATTGAAAGGGTATGATTGATTGATGACCGATCTTTCAAACATTCGCTCACTCACTCAAACCAATCAATCAATCAATGACAACAGAGAAAGAAGACATTGTTGGTTGAGATGAACTTGGCCAACAAGAGTAATCAATTCAATGATTCTAGATTCGAAGAGACCAACACTGCCATGTCTGAGGAGGACAAGATGCTTGCTCGTTTCCAAAAAGAGAAGATGGTATGTTCTCGATCATTGATTGAATGATTGATTGGAGTGCACTAACATGAAGAGCCGAATGACAACACAACACAGAGAAACAAAAGCCTTTATAACTTGAATGATAATGATGATGAACAACTCACTCATTATGGTATGGCATTGGGTAATCATATGGCCGATGATTATGAAGCCGATGAGGATGATGAATTGTTGGAGGAGGAGAAGATGGTAGGAAGGAGACACTCTTCATCCGAGCAGGATAATGTTGGCGCGGATGGTATGCCAATGGAGAAGACAAGAGACGAGATATACAAGGAGATCATTGAGAAGTCTAAGCAGGGTCGTGCCGACAGGGCCAAGGAGAAGATGGCCAAGGAGGACATGACCAGACAGCTCGATGAGGACTTTGACGACATTCGCTCGAGCAACGTGCTCATCGAGAGGAGAAAGGTTGAGGGCGACCCCCTGCTCTCACTGTTCCCATCCGAGCAACAGAAGCAAGACCAGCAGAATCAGCAACAACAGAGTGGAATATTCGCGAGCAACAACAACAGCAACAACCCATATGATGATTATGAGAGTCTGGTCATGGAGTTGGCAAATGATGTCAAGGCCAAGGCTACCGATCGTATGAAGACGCCAGAGGAGTTGATGAAGGAGGAGAACGAGCGATTGGAAAAGTTGGAGGAGGACAGACTCAAGAGAATGAGGGGCGAGATCGTCGAGGATGATGTCGCGCCCAAGAAGCAGACCAGATGGGCAAAGAGACAGGAGAAGCTCACCAAAGACAAGGTCAACAAGCCAACCAGACCAACTGCCGACGACCTCAACGATGAGGACTTTGCCATGGATCTCGGTAACGAGAGTGCTCCATGGTATAATGATGGAGAGGCAGCCAAGAATGATGAAGAGGATGGCGAGGATAGTGACGAAGAGGAAGGTGATGAGGATGAGGACGATGAGGAGGCAGAGGCAGAGGAGGATGACGAGGACGCAGACCTGGACGACAGCGAGGATGATGAGAATGCCGAAGACGACGACGAAGAGGACGATGAGGACGACTTGGAGGAGCAAAGACTGGAGAGAGAGCTCAAGAAGCTACAGACACAGAAGAAGGCGAGTGAGGAGATACCATTCACATTCGACGTGCCAAAGAGTGTCGACGAGTTGAACCAATGGCTGGCGGGAAGGAATCAAGAAGAGAAGGAGTTGGTCTACACAAGAATCAGAGTGTGCAATCACATCTCATTGAAGCCACAGAACAAGGAGAAGATGAAGGTCTACCTGCCTGTGCTCTGGCGTCGATTCGAGCTGATCGCCATTGGGCACAACACCCTGGGCGGTCTGGACTGGAAGGAGCTGGACCTGTTGTCAAGATATATATTTGAGGTTGGAAAGGATGTGCCTGACATCCTGGCCTCGACGGCACTGGCCATGTTGGAGTCATGCTACCGACGAAGCATGTCTCGTGTGGACAAGGCATCGGACATGGTCAGTGCATGGCCATCAGTCAGTGAGATGTTGACCATGAAGCTCATTGGAAACATCTTCCCAACTTCTGACTACAGTCATCCAGTCATCACACCAACCACCGTCGTGATGGCACACTGCATCACTCAATGTCCAATCAAGTCTGGACACGACATCATCTCGTCCCTCTTCCTATCCACAGTATTCCAATTCGTAAGTATATCTTTGATTGATCATATGATGTTGACCCTAATATCAATCTATCAATCAATATAGTATTTGAAGAGTGCCAACAAGTACTCACCAGAGTTGTCAGCAATGTTGCTGAGTCTTCTCTCTGTGTTTGTCGAGCACCAGAAGAAGCCGGTAGCCGCAGCAGCCCTAGCCACAAAGGGCGCATCAAAGAATGCCTCCAAGACTGAGACCAAGCTAGCACCAGCACAGTCCAACGTCATGGATACTCACTGGACTACATTCAAGTCATCAATATTTGTCCCAACCATCATGTTACGTGATGGCGCACTCACCATAACCAACAAAGGAAAGAAGCTCAGCACAATGGAGCCATCAAAGGAGTTTGACTTTGCCAAGCTCACTCAATCAAAGCAGGACGACGTCCTGAAGCAATATTATGAATCCGATCAGTTCAGAGTGGACCTACTCTACCTGTTACTGTCCATGACCAGACAGTACGTGGAGCAGGGCAACAAGTCTGACCAACGCCAATCACTGCCATCAGTATTCACATTGTTCCTCGGTCTGTTGAAGGCAATCGACGCCAAGGACTTCCATCCAACGATCAAGGAGAAACTCAATCACGTGATTGAAACCATCACCAATAGAATAGCGTCCATCGTCGATGAGCGTGTGCCTCTGACACTGTTGGTCGGCAAGCCGATGGCACAGAAGCAGTTCGTGCCCAAGTTCWCAGCCAGGAGTTCCACGAGCATGGAGACGACCCCGATGCCGTGCGCCAGGAGACCAAGAAGCTAAAGGCACTGCACAAGAAGGAGACCAAGGGTGCCATCAGAGAGTTGATGAAGGACAACACCTTCATCCAGCAGGAGAAGTCAAAGAAGCGCGCAATCGAGCGACAGGAGATCGAGGCCAGCAGAAAGAAGATCATGTCAGAGCTGGAACAGGAGCAGAGCGAGGCCAAGCAATTCAAGAAGTTGAAGGACAGGCTAGACGGCAGAATATAATATCCTTTATTATTAAACTATACATTAACTTCAAAAGTGTGATTACTTCGCTTGCCCTTACCCTTGCCCTTGCCCTAACCCCAGGGTTTGGGACTTGCAAGCAAGGACAACCCTTTGGTCTTGTCATTTTCTCAAACAAACTCACAGATAGTATTTGTGTACATATACAGATACAAAGAATACACTACCTGATCTGTTGATACGAGCGATATACATCGAGTTGGCCAATGATGCGGACATCATATGCATGGGCTTATCATGCAAACAACTGTTTAGAATCTTGAACAATATGACACAGTTCTCATTGAACAAGACAATACTATGCAATTCACTCTGCAATGATATCTGTAAAGAATATCCTTTACCTGCCGATGGACTCAACTGGAAGAACTTCTATCTAGTATCCAGATTTTATTCTGATAACCCTATTCCACCTGAGGCTACTTGCGTCAGACTCTACTGCACACTCAGAGAAATACCTCTTGGAGCACTGCCACCAACAATCACATTCTTGGCCATTGACACTAACGACAACATGCCCATCCTCAATCTACCGCCATCACTCACACACCTCTATTATGGATTCTACCAACGTACACGTCTCCCATCAACTCTGCCTTCATTGAGACGACTCACACTTGGCTACTACTACAATGAACCTCTCCCAACATTGCCAGAGACGCTAACAGAACTAAAGCTTGGTGAATCCTTTGACCAACCAGTGTCCGAGGTCATTCTTCCACCTAATCTTCAATGTATCACCTTGGGATATCTCTTTCAGATCAAGTACCTAATTATGGCCCCTGCTTCACTGGAAACAGTGTGCATCAATCTGCCTCCAATGATGGAGGCATCGACCAAGTTCAAGGAGATTGGACATGGTTTGCGGCATTTAAAGACGTTGATATTGCCAACAATAGTGGATGATGATTCTTCCAAATTCTTGGCCAAACTCAAGAATATGATGAGTGTAGTACCCAACTTTGATACCTACGTTCAACTGCACACGATCAAATTAAGAGATATTAGAGCGATACTAAGGAAATTGGATGAGGATACCTTTCTATACATATATATGAAACAACCAATATATCGAATTGGTGGAGACAATCGAATTGAGTCTATTATTAAGCCCAAGAGAATGTTCATCATCAGAAAGAAATCATCAATTGCTCAGAGCATCATGAGCAAGCTAAGATCGATCGGTTTGTCATAATAACAATGTATCATTTTGTCATATCCAATGAGGTCAATCATTAGTCATTGTTAGGCAAGGGTAAGGGTAAGGGCGAGGGCGAGGGTATAGGTCAAAGTTTGTTATTCACATTAGTTTCTTCTTGGCAAGGATGATGTTGCCTCTCATATCGGTGTTGTCACTTATCTGATCGATGTTACCAATGAGTCTGATTGTGTCAATCACATCACCAAATACATCCTTGTTGATTAGTTCGGCCAAGGCATTGGCAAACAGCTCTCCATGTATCACTTTGAATGGTCGATCATGGAATGAGGACACATGTTCCGGTAACAACTTGGTCAATCCGAGTCTATTATGTTTCTTTGCCAAAAGTTCATAGGCAGTTGAAAGTGCCAACTCTCTCTCCTGCCATGTTTGAGCTGTAGCTGCCTGTTTAAGACATAGTTCAAACTCTGCAGCACATGATAATCGTTTGTATGCTGTACCAAACCACTTTGGATAAGGTGCATATCTCTTCTCCATTAGGAAGCAAAGGTTCATAATATCGCGTACTAGTCGTGACCCAATGATCGATGAACCAAGCTCATCACCAACGAATCCAGCACGAGGCATTAAGTGCTCCTCCTGACCAATGCGTTGCCAACCACATGCCATCATATAAAGCCATATGTCATGAGGGTACCATTCAAGTTGGGTTCGCAGATTTGTTAACTCTCTAATATCATCATGATAGACAGCACCAGCAGACAGACCCAGCAACTCTTGTGATGCGATTGATAACCAGTCCGACACTTTCAGAGGTTGATCAATCAGGTCTATATCATACCTCTGCTTCAACCATGTTGATAGGTTAGTGATCGTGATTCGATGATTGATTGTTGGTTCTGGAGTCGTGGGGGTCATCGTAGCATTGAAGTCCATATGTTGAGTCTGAGGCTCATGCTCAAAGTGTACCATGCCCACAGGGAATCCGTGTAGGGTTGGTGGCAGGTGCTCACGAAACAACTTGTCAATAGATGGTATTAGATGTGAATCATGTTTGTTGAATGAACAATATGAGTTGTGGACCCCAATCATGATCCATTGACATGGCTGTATCATAACCAAGTACTTCACTACCTGATCCAATACGTGCTGCAGCATACTTAAGATGAGGGTAGTGTTTTGTTAAGATTGGACGAACTGCTTCCTCAAAGAATATTCGACTGAGTTGTATACCAGGGATGAATTCCATCATCACTTTTAAATTTGTATTTGTATTATTATTACTAATTATTTAATAAGGTTAACATGATTGGATTAGAGAATCGGCATCTTCAAACTTGGTTTCGGCCTTTTGGATCACACTTGGGAAAAATGATCTAATTTGAGATGTTTTTTGTTGCCCCAGTGGGCCAAGACAAGGTCAAAAGGCACTTAGATTTTTGCTGTTTTTAACATTTATCTTTTTTAAGGGTCTTTGTGAGATTGATCAAACATTCAAATATCTTCCCAACACGGACAAAGAGTGAAAAAAGATAATAATACATACTTGTAATAACTTGGATACCATCATATAATATAACTTAGTCCGAGAGAAAGATAGAGAGAAATAGAGATGGAGTTTGGACCATCAAACTTTACATTATGGTCATCAAACAACAACAACATCTATGATGATGATATCCAATCCAATCAAACTATTGATATGTGTCATCTAGGTGTACAACATAGAATAGATATTAGTTATGGAATGCTTGCACCATCTATACTATCAGTGATTGGATCATTAACCACAATCATAATGATAATCATCAGTAATCGTAGACTTAGAATCAATATGCAGGCTGCTGCCGCTGCCGCCGAGGCCGCACAGACTCGTGGTGGTGTTTCGGGTGAGGGTGGACGTGATCGCGACCGATCATTGACCTCACCCAACTCATCCCAAGTGTACATAAACAACTATTCAATATCTCCGACTGCTTCACAGAACTACTCAACCAACAGATTGTCAATAGTTGAAGAGTACCAACATGGATCATGGTCATACATCAATGCCAGTGTGAACAACTCAATGGAGGGCAATGTAGATGGTTCGCCAATCTTGGAAACTAGTCTCAACAGCTTTGTCAATGAGCATGGACCCAATCCAGATGGATCAACACTTCGCCGAAAGAAGATACCTCGCAAGAATGAGGATAGGAAAGTGATCAGATTAGTTAGGAACCTCGCCATAAGTGATCTTCTGGCATCACTTTCAGTATTGGTATCACGTATACTATTCCTAAAGTATAACAATCACTTTGTAACATCAACTGGAGGATTCAAAGACGTATCACTATGTTCCATCTCAAGTGGCTTCATCGCATTCTCATTCCTAGCGTCATGTTGTTGGACAACAGTAATATCATTCCATATCTATCGTATAATAGTCAAGTCACGTACCAAGAAGTAAGTATAGTGATCATTATTTATACATACCTTGAATACTAATATTATTATTGATACTTTAGGAAATTCTTGATGATAATATATTATTTAATATGTTGGATATTACCATTATCACTTGGATTTGGTATAATGAGCACTGCGAATATTAGACAGATGAATGGAATGTCTTGGTGTACTATTGACAAGTACTTCCAATTGGCACTATTCTATATACCTATGATAGTAATGTTAGTAGTATCATTAATACTATCATACAAAGTGAAGAGACATCTTAATACACTTACAAGGTCTATTTCCAGTAAGTATCTTAAACTTCTTGGAACCCGTTACTACTCACTGTTGTCAACAATATCTAACAAACACCCATCTTAGGAATGAATGCACTACAAAGTAAGATTGTACTTAGACTCAATCTATTTGTTTCTGGATTGATTATATGTTGGACATTCAACATTATAGCGTTCTTTATTTATCTACTTGATAATGGTTGTCAGAACTATTACCTCCAAATGGTTTCATCAATATTATTCCCATTCCAAGGTAACTACGTTAACAATGATGATAACATCTAATTAAATTACTAACTACAACTCAAATAGGTTGTTGGAACTTTATATCATATATATATTCCAATCGAAACTCATTAAGAAGTTATTCATCATCTCAGAATATTGTATCACTCTCATTGACTTCTCCATCAATGTCAAGGGATCAGTCCTCCAGTCGATTCAAATGCTTCGATATCTTCCAGAGAGATTAATTGCGAAATATAAACAAACAAACCAGAACCGCATCGACAACATTTATTGTTCATTGAACCACAATCAAGATCAAGATCATCAACAAGATGGAATGTGGCACATGTATCCTGTTTCCTAGAGAGTTATACCATGATTGGTCTCCCCAGTCTGGGATGTTGACAGCCGGGGCAGATGTTGGAGCAACACCTCCTGGTGAAGTTGAACTGGCTGTTGGTGTTGCAGAACTGGCCGATGAGGCACCTGCTGCTGCTGAAGAAGCGGACATTCCACTGGACATGGAACTTGATTGTTGACCACCAGATCCCGAGGCACTTGCAGATTGTGATGATGCGGAGGCCATGGAAGAGGACTGAGTCTGACCAGATAGACCTCCACTTGCTGATGACGCCGAGACAGAGGAGCTTGTCAGCGGGAGATGTGACAATGTCACTAGCACTGCAGTCAATACATTACTGGTTGTATTGGTTGGCTTGGGTGTACCTCCAGTTGTTGACGGAGTAGTCGATGCTGATGATGTTGTTGTTCCTGGTCTGACTGTGGTTGTCGATGGCGAGGTGGTGGAAGCAGCAGCACCGGTGGTAGAGGGAGTGGCGGAAGTTGTAGATGGGGAAGCAGAGGTTGTGGATCCTGGTTTGACGGTAGTTGATGACGATGTAGTTGTAGCCCAGTAGGAGTTGGTACCACTCTGGAATTGAGCCAAAACCAATTGATCATTAATAACTAGTAGAGTTAATAATATCAATAAGAAAGAAATAGTCTTCATAATAGTTTAGATATTAAGTAGTGAATAAAAGGAAGATGATAAGGTACAAATGATTGACGAAAATGATGAATATTTTGGCTTCCAATATATCTATCACATTTGATGTAATCATCCATAAAAGTAATTGGTATCCAATCCAGGACATCAGTTCCAGTTCTCAAGATTAATAAAGAAATGTGGTTGCAGCACACACTGTTTCTTCACCTTGGTGGTGTTGTCTACTTGTTTGTGTGAACATCACATAAAGGTTCATTCATTCACACATTACAAGGATAATTATATAGATAGTTTGAGAGAAGAGATACAAACTAAACAATGTTATACTATATTCTTCAACATATCATTTGTAACCTTGATAATGTCGATAGAGTTTGCTTGGCATTGACCTGCAAGAACTTCTACAATGATCGACAGAAATATCTTTTGTTCGATACAAAGCTATTGCGATCCATGAACACTTCATTCTACCAGAGTGATAGTTTCAAACTTAGATCATTTGCAGATCAAGTCAAGTTGTCCTTAGAAAGAATGCCTGTCCCAACTGAACCTGACCTGAATGATGGTATGTACTTATCTCAGATTGGATCTAAGTTGATTGATTCCTAATTGATAGCCTATGAAACACAGAGGAACTGGGTGCACGTAATACCTTCCATATTATCATCACCAAGGAGAATCTAGAGAGTGGTGAGATCCCTTCGAATGCCTGGCACTGGGAGTTTGGAAAGAAGTTCAATCAACAATTGTACCCCAATCAGATTCCTGCCAATGTAACAAGGATTACCTTTGGAAGAGAGTACAACAAACCAATTCTCGAAGGGGTCATTCCAAACACTGTCACTGATATCCAGTTTGGAATGGATTTCAATCTTCCTCTTGACAATATTCATCTACCAGTGTCAATCAAACGATTGGTGTTTGGAAATTTATTCAATCAACCTATTCCTCCTTCTTCGTTACCATCCAACTTGACATACCTATCTTTTGGAATGAATTTCAATCAACCGTTAGCTGTTGGATCCCTACCATCTTCACTCAAGCATCTATCCTTTGGTCATGAGTTCAACAAACCTTTGGACCTAGGTGTACTTTCCAACAACATGCACACTCTGATCTTTGGTACCAAATTCAATCAACCATTGGCAGTTGATGTCATTCCTAGATCAGTCTCCAAGCTAGAGCTGGGTTGGAACTACAGCCAACCATTTCATGATACTAACATTCCACCGACCATCGAGACTTTAAAGTTGCACCAAGACTATTTCCAAAACAACTGGCGGTTGTTACCAAGGTCCCTGTCCATCATCCTTTCAATGTTCTACCATGACTACTGCATCAGAGTATTCAGTGATAATAGTATCCTAGCACTTACAGAGAGTCTAACTGGTGGATTCATAACAGGAAATCAAGCCGATAACTTGGAACAATTCTACAAGTCACAAACATTATAGTAAACATAATCATTGAGATATGAACTTGAAAGATTGATTATACTTTGCTATAGTTGATGATGTATGTATGTTTATTGATGATTTGGAAATGATGTATACAAGAAGAGTTTGTCTCAAAGTTATGAGATGAATGATTATTTAAGCTCCCTTGATCAAAAGGTGTCTGTTGGACAGAGAAACTGCAATACCAAAGATGCTACCCAGTAGCAATCCAATGTGGCATCCATGGGACAATGCCAAATGGATACATTTCTAAAGTATGTATATATGTTAGTATTGATCAACAAAAGAATAATTATTTTACTTACCATCCAACTACAATCCTTCTCTTTGTTGCAACAGTAGTTGCAGGAGAAGACCAGTCTAGAGAGTACCCATCCAAGACCAAGTCCAAGAGATGCCTTTGGACAAAGGAAGTAGGAACACAGGAATGAAGAGGCCAACACACTTGGAAGACCCTCTGTGGTATGTTGGTAGCTGACCAAGACCTTCTCAAACTCCTCATCTCCATTAACATTTGGTGCCTTGACCTATTATTTGTGTTACTAGTTAGAACCACCTTTCCAATCAATTTAATGTTGTTTGAATGACTTACGTTTGCCTTATCACGAGCCCTCTTTACCATGAATGCTTGGTATGTCCACATTGAGATGGCACTGGTAGCCACAATGGAGGGGAACACATGTCTGTCTGGAAGAACCCAATCTAACTTCATTTCTATAATGTTTGTTGATGTTTAATACTTGAACGGAAGAGATAAAACGAAGAGATAATACTATTATTGAATGAATAATGCAAATATGTTGAGAGGATGTTCAATGATGATGATTGATTGGGAGTGAGTCCAATCCAATACAATTTAAATTGTGAGTTGAAGAGAGAGGTGAGTGTTGTTGTTGTTGTTAGTATGTATGTATGTTCACCATCCACACATACACACGCCAAGCCCAAACAAGGGTTAATAGCATCTCTCTTTGAGCAGATACACACACTATATTCACCCCAATGGAGGAAGATGTTGTTGATTGAATGAATGGTGTGTGTTGTGATGTTCACATTGCAAGACCAGAAAGAGAGAATATTACAGTTACAAAGTATTGCAATAACCTAACTAATTAGGTAAAGGGTAGAGTTGATATAGTATTACTTTTCAACAACACCTGGATCTTTACGTATGTCAGTGGATGGTCCAACAACAAAAGGTAGTTTGGAGCCATTCCTTTGTCTGATTTTCCTTGCTTCTACTTCTTCATCGGTCAATGGCAAGTAGTAAATCTCTGGTTTTGTGACTGTCTTTCGATAAAGTTTATCCATATCCGCTAAAATCATTGATTGATTGTTTGATTGATTGGTAAGTAAATGTTCGAACTGATCGTTGGAATATAGGCGGAGGACTTGGACTTACCCTTTGATAGTGCTGGAGGTGGTGGTGTAGTTGTTGTAGTCGTTGTTGTTGAAGTTGTTGATGCCGATGAAGTCGTTGATTTGTTTGAAGATGTATCGGATTCATTCTGTTGTTGTTTCTTCTTTTGTTGCTTTTGTTTGCCTCCATTGCCAGCAGCCACTGGCTCTGGCGCCTCACTAATGACAGGCACACTTGATCGTGAATGCTTTTGAGCAATCTCAAACTCCTTCTCTGATGAGTACTCCACTGACAGCTTTGTTCTGTTGAGCTCAGGCCACACTAGTCCATGCAGACGATTGCGCGTGGCAATGGCCTCCTCCTCTGTGGCAAAGGTGACAAAGCAGTATGACCTTACATCGTTCATCCAGAACTGCTCCACGGTGCCAGTCTCTGACATCAATTGTTTCGCATGCTCCACTCTGAACGGTCTGATAAAGTTGACAATGAGCAATGTCCTGCTGACTGGCTTCTTTGCTGATGATACATCAACCTTTTCATCGACGTTGTTAGATGATGATGATGATGGACCATCCACACGTTGTCTCTTGTTATCAATGTCACTTGAATTGATGATGATATTAGTGCCACTTCCACTGCTCTCCAATTCCTTTCTCTTTCTATCATCACGATCTTTCCCCAACTGCTCCTTTAGCTTATCCTCTCGCTCTCTTGTCTCCTTCTCCAACTTCTCCTTTAACTTGTTCTTCTTTTCATCTTGAAGCTTGCTCTCATCATCATCATCATTGTTGTTATTGTTATTGTGCTGCTGGTTATCTGTCGCGACCACTGCATCATCACTCATTGTATCCTCTTTGATTGATGATGTTGTCTCCACCTGTTGTTGTCGATCATCTTTCATCTCGGTCTCTGTCTCTGCATCAATTTTGGTAGTAACATCTTCGTTGGGCTTTGGCGAATCCTCTTTAGGTACTGCTACCTCTTCTGATTGTTGTTGTTGCTGAGCCGAAGAAGAAGAAGAAGCTTGTTGTGCTTCCAAGTCCATTTGTTTCTTCAATGCCTCTACCAAGGCAGGCTTCAACATGCCAGAAGTACTCAAACCTCTCTTTGTCAACTCCTCCTTTAGCTCAGCTACCTTTAACTTTGATATATTGACATCAGACATTATAATTATCTTGATTATATTATTATTATTATTATTATTTATGTTATCTCTTCCCTTCTATGTGTGTGATTGATTGAAGAGAATGAATGAAACTGTGAACATACGCATTTGATAGTTTTTTTCATCAAAGCTTTCAAATAACTTCATAACAATCTGGATTTTCTTCTTCGGCAAAACAATCTTTGCAACATTGTGAGCCAAGCCTTGAATGCCAGCCACCCTATCTATCATTCAATCAACCATCTCAACACTTTAAACTTGACTTCATTATTAACAACAACTTATAAATACATATATATATAAGATACACACACACAAACTCAGTCAAAGGATGAAGTTGTCCGTTCAGTTCAATGACAAGACCAAGCAAATCACATATGAACCTGCGTCGGACCCTCTAGACTTGAGAGATCTCACACAGAGAATATGTATACAGTTTAGTATCACTTCATTCTCTGACTATGCTTTGACAACCTCTACAAATGGTACTCTAATCGAAGTATGTAGTAATCAATCATTCATTCAATCAATCAATCAATCATACTTATACAACAACCAACGCAACATCACAGAGATCAAACTTATTCCTAGTCACTGATGGATGTCACTTGATACTCAAGCCAAGGAGTACTATTCCTCAACCTGCTACAGGTCAATCAGTGTTTGTTAGAGCCGATAGAAATAGGACGGCAACTCAACATTCATTCCTTGGCGGARGCGCCATTGTCGCCTCCTTCTTCATTCCTTTCAACAAACAGACCAACCCTTGGTTCATCATCAGTTGCACCATCAGCAACAACACCAACACCGAAGCCAGCACCAATGCCATCAGCAGTACCAACGCCAGCACCATCAGTAACAACACCCAAGCCAGCACCAACGCCATCACCAGCACCAGCACCAGCACCAGCACCAGTTCACACATCAACATCACCATCACCAATGCCAACATCACCTCAATCACATACAACTAGCCCTGGAGTCACTGGAGCAACTTCACCAAACCCAATGTCCACCTCTGGTAGCACACCGACCTCGCCCGGAGCACAACAACAAACAACATCACCGATGCCAATCACATTCACCTCAGTCGAGTCGGCACTGTCCTCACTCAATGACCTGTCACTAAAGAAGAAGGCACTGTTCCATCTGAAGGACCTGCTCAAGGATGAGACCAGCACGCGTCGGTTCCTTGAGAAGGATGGTATACGTTTGATCGAGGAGCAGATGAATGATCTCACTGGAAACACAATGGCCTATGCGCTGATCGCCATTCACTCGGCATGTCAATATGACTTTGCCACCGTGTCGCTGCCCATGACCCTCGTCAAACGCCTGTTGGTCATGATTGCCGACCCCAACCTGATACCATCGATCACCAAGACCTGTCTCTCCATTCTCACACAGTACTGCACGGCCAAGCCAAATGGCCAGCGCGAGCTCTTTGATCAGTATCTCAAGCTGACGCCCGCCACCAGTGGTCAATATCAAACACTCTATGCCAACATACTGGCATTGCTCTCATCGTCCACGGTGGACATTCAACTCAATGCACTTGCCCTAATCAATGGAACATTGGCCAAGTCACAATCTGATGAGCTCATCACAGTCTTTTCCAAACTGGACGAACTCGATATCAACACCAAGCTCAGGCGACTCTATGAATCAAATGTATCACATGAGTTGAAGAAACAACTCTATGTTTACCAGGTATGTTGATTGATTGATTGATTGATTGATCGTTCATACTCACTCTCTTGGAATCATTCCAATCAATCATCAGAAACACAAACTATCATTGATCAAACAAAGAAAGAATGTATCTTATAGCAAGGAATCACAGGACCATGAAGCATTGCTGATGAAGTTGTGGACGACAACATTCCCAAGTGTCAAGTTGGAGAGTAGAGTGTCGGAGCAATGGAAGATATTGGGATTCCAGGGAACAGATCCGGCCACAGACTTTAGAGGCATGGGCGTGTTTGGTCTGGACAACCTGATCTACATCGCAGAGAATCACACCGAGCAGTTTAGAAAGTTGATCAGTAGTCAGGTCGAGAGGAAGGAGCGTGACTACCCAGTGGCGGTGGCCGGTATCAACCTCACACAGATGCATGTTCTTTGAACTCTTTAGCGTATCAGAGGATAGTAATCCAGACCTGCCAATATTCCCGATACTATTCTCACACAAGAATGCCTTTGAAGAGGTCTATTGTATCGCGTTCAAGCTTCTAGAGTATGTAGACACTAGGATACTAGTATGGACAATGGGGCTCAATCACTAACTCACTCACCCAATCAATCAATCATTCAGCCTGACATGGGATACGATGAACGCCAGTTACATGGAGTTCCCCAAAGTGATTGCCACTGTGAAGCAAGCTATTGTCACAGCACTGGAAACGAAGCCAACTACCCTGGAAGCTGTATGTTGTAACATTATCCATGACTTTACATTCATGACTAACACACATTACATCATCAGTTTAACTGGGCGACAGGATCATCAAAGAAGACCAACATGTTCCACAATGATGATGACAATATTGAGAATGAGGACATCAAGCAATTGAAGCTGGTGGTGCAGAATGACATGATGGAGGTGGTAAAGAATCAAAAGATTGCCATCATGACGGAGGGCATCTACTTTAAACTTCAGAAGCCTATCAAGGGCAAGACATCCACACAAACATTTACCAATATGTTTGTCCGACTGGCGCCAGGCACCCAGGACGAGATTCAATACTCGTATTGCAGCCAGGATCCAACGAGCCAAGCAAACACCCCCTCTGCCCAATCACAACCAGCGTCAACATCAAGCAATCGCCAAGAGCTCACTGGATCATCGAGTATGGTTCCACAGACGACACCTCAATCACCGACACTGGCGTCCACTCCCGCCAGTCCATTGTCTGCGGAAAAGAGCAATCCAATGTCCTACGTCAATGTCAGGCTCACCGATATAACGTTCAGCGCCACGGCTGCACCGACCGATGCATCAAGGGGTCGCCAGAAGCCAGACACCAAGGCACAGCAACAGCAACAACAGCAGCAACACTTCTTCCAAGTGACGCTGGGCAAGGAAGTGTTTGATTTGGTTGGCAACTCACGTGACGATCACTCCAACTTTGTCGACTGCATCCGAGCCATCACCAAGAAGCCCTTTGAATGTCCCGAGACAATTGAGGAGTACAAGACATTGGTCAACTTGAGTCTCAAGCTCAAACTGCTTGACCTCGAGGGCGTTGAACTACCAAAGACAGCACCAAAGGTACCACCTCCACCAGCAGACTTTAACTTCCTGACCAAAGAGGTGCATTCCATGCGTCAAATACTCCAACATCAGTTGAAATAACCTTATATATATATACATCCGTTCATCCGTCCGTCCATCCATCTATCCAACCATCCAACAATCAAACATAAATGAATGTATCTGTATCATTATCAACAACATCCAAGAGTCTATCTAAAGTTCATGATAATATCGCGCGTCAACAGCTGTGTGCGGTTGTTTATGTACATCGTCTGTATTCTGATCCAAAGTATGATTGATTGATTGATTGATGACCCTCTGTGATGTTTGATTGATCGCGCTCAGAGAATGAATGTATGAATGTTGTGTCATTGATCTAATATTCTCTGTTCAACCAAGCAGCAGCAATGTCGTTAATGTAATCGTAGTGGTAGTAGTCGTATATGTATGTATGTATATATAATAGAGTTGATCAAGTATGATTACTTCTTCTTTCTGCTAATCTTCTCTTCCTGTTATACGTTAAATCATTCATACAAGGTCAGTATTCTATCTGTATCACTACCGATCAATCAATGATAGCATTCATACCTTGAACAGAACATGTTGTTGTACGACAGGGTCATACTTTCGCAGCAACAGCTTTCTTGTGCTTAGCTTTGCACTCTTTGTTGTAGTATAGTAGAAGCCAGTGTTTGCCAGACTGACCATCTTTATCACCATTGTGTTGATTTTTGTTGCTGCTCCTCCTGCCATCTTGTCGTTGTCCTTGTCGTTATTGTTTATGAATGACCTTGACTTTGTCTATCTTCTTGTGATCATGTTAGCATTCACCATTGACTCGGTTTGATCAACTCACACTAAAGCATCAATTTTTCATCTGCAACGAACTACGATCGATCAGAAGTTGTTGCCTTCTGAAAGCCACTGATCATTTTGGGTCCAATTAATAAAAAATCATATGCTTTGGCTTCAATCCATTCATCAAACCAACAATATATATCGCCCAAAGCATCTTAAGTGTTGTCAGTATCATTGTAGTTATAATTGTAGTTATATTTGCCCCTATTTATTAAGAGAGAAAAGAATATAGAATGGTCCATTCAGAGATAGATGCCATCAAAAGTGTATGTTATATCACTCACTCTCAATGATCAATCATTCACTCACTCTATCTCTTATTGACCTCCTAAAATAGGAATTGTCAGCCATCACATTCACTGCAGGATTGATCAAGGAGTCAATTTCGATCAAGAAGGAGTTGGATAACATTAGAAGTGAGGCTCAAACAATCAAGGCTGAATTGGCCAAACAGAAGAGCACTCCAGCAGCAGCACCTGCGGCACCAGCTGTGACACCAACACCAGCTCCATCAAAACCCGCTGCACCAGTGGCCGTTCAAGCTCAAGTTTCACAAACAACACCTTCAGCTCACAAGGTGTCAACTCCAACTCTCGTCTCTGCTCCAGCAGCACCAGTAGTATCAAAGGCTGCTCCAGTCGTTTCAAAGGCTGCCCCAGTCGTATCAAAGGCTGCTCCAGTCGTCACCCCAGCCCCAGCACCAACTCCAGCACCAACTCCAGCTCCAGTTGCATCAAAGCCAGCAGCACCAGTTGCAGCAAAGCCATCAGCACCAGTTGTATCACAGGCTCAGGTTTCGCAGACAGCACCATCTCCAAAGGTTTCGACACCAACTCTTGTCTCTGCACCAGCACCAACACCAGCACCAGTGTCGTCTGCTCCAGTGGTCCACAAGACTGTTTCAACACCAGCAGCATCTGCATCACCAGCCAAGCCATCCACACCAGCAGCATCTGCATCACCAGTCAAGACAGCCACATCGCCCACTGTTGGTCCAAGACCAGGTGCCACACTCGTTGGTCCAAACCCACAGATTGTAAGTTTGTGCTATCATCCCAATCAAAATGACACTTTGGAACTAACAATATCGTCATCATCATCCGTCGCGATTAAATAGAGAATCCTTGTGGACGCTGTAAAAGAAAGAGCCAAGAAGGATAAGACTTTGGATCCAACAAAATTGGAGGTATGTTATAGACATGGCCAGCCATTCCGGCGGGCTTCCCAAACCCATGGGATCAAATACACTAACTCCAAGCTCAATCAAACAATTAACAGGACTACTTGGAGAATGCCGATTTCCAAACAGTCACTTCAATGTCCAGAGATGAGTTTAAGAAGATGCCAAAGGTATTTTATTGAAATTTTTGAATGAGCCTTATTCAAATTGATTGTTATTAACATAAATTACGTACCCTCATCATTCAATCAATCAATCAATCACAGTGGAAGCAAGACGCCAAGAAGAGAGAGGTTGGATTGTACTAATAGATAGATAGAGATAGAGATAAACAAACATGAACACAGTTATATTGATAGTCGTAATGGTACCATTAGAATAAGGTCCAAGACCAAGTCAATAAACATCAACCATCCAGACTTCCAGTGTTGATCAATCACACACACAAGGTTGCTTTGTGAAACACACGAAGTCCCTTTTTTTTTTTTTCAAACACCACCTTTGTGATGTTCGCAACCAACAGGTGAGTCACCGCTTCCTTCAGGTTTGAGCACATCACATTGCATTCAATTTATTCATTTATTTGTTTCAAGATAGTTTGTTATTTATATCATATAATATAATATATAGTTAGAATATAGATAGATAGATAGATAGATAGAATGAGATCAATAGTGATAGTTTGTTTGTTGGCAGTCATTGCCATCCAGGCAGCTCATTCATTCATGTTTGAGGTGCGTCCTGCTGAGGAGAAGTGTTTGGTCGAGGAGTTCAGAAGAGACACTCTGGTCAAGGGTTCATACGATATCTCTGATAAACTGTCAAAGAACATTGCCTATCCAACAGAGTTGATCATGCAAAGCATGCAGATGAAGGTCTATGTATGTGTCTATCAACCAACAAACAAGAGATTTAGCCATCATCATGTCATCTAACACAATCATTCATTCATACATTCATTCATACACAATATGACCATTATAGATTCGTGATGCACATGGATCATTGTTGCATGACAACCAAGATGCCAAGAGCAGCAACTTTGCCTTCACTGCCCATGAGGCCGGTGAATACCTCTTCTGTTTCTTGGACGCTTACAGACCACGTAAGTCCTATCATTGACACCCAACAGACAGACAGACAGACACCTAACATACATACATCAATCAACTCCAACAGATGCATCAGTTATGCCACTGAGCAGAACAGTTAGATTGGAGATCAAGAGTGGAGCAGAGGCACATGACTACACTGATCTGATCACCAAGGGTACACTCAAGCCATCAGAGGTTGAGTTGAAGAAGATTGAGGACTCTGTCGACTCTATCAAGAATGAGCTCATGTACATGAAGGGCAGAGAGGAGACCATGAGAAACACAAACGAATCGACAAACTCTAGAGTTGCATGGTTGGCCATCTTTTGTATCTTTGTCCTGATTGGCACTGCCACCTTCCAGATCACCTACCTGAAGAGATATTTCAAGCAGAGGAAGTTAATCTAAACAAGTAGTAGCTAGTTAGTTGGCTGTGGCTGGCTCATCACAGTGCGATCATCATCATTCAAATCCAACACCATCATCAATCAATCAATCTCTCCAAGCGTATCACTATAACTATATTCATTGATTGAATAATTGGTGGAGTGTTCTGCGCGATGGCATGGATGACAGAGGGGATCGCGCCAGATGAGCATCCCTCAAATAAACATTAATCTTCATAAGTGTGCATCCTTTCTTCATTCATTCATTCTTTCAAAGATGACAACGACAACAACTACTACAACTTCAACATCATCAATCGAAGGAATCATTAGACAATTGTTTACAATCAACTTACAACAACAACAACAAGTAGAATGGAGTACATTCTATAACCAATTAAAGATGTCGTTGTATTATATTAGACGATGTTGCCTAATGTTACCAATGTATATATGTTTGTTGTTTGAAGGATGATCCATCATCCATCCATTCGAGCGAGATAACTAACTTACTTACTTGCCTTGTACAAGTGACTCTGTAATATACTATCATGCAACCACCATCTTCCAGAGATACCTGCGGCATAGATCAATTGGACAATATAACAAATATGTACGTTGTTGTCATAGTGACAACATCCAATGACTGGCTGACTGGTTAACTGGCTGACTCATTTATTAAATCATTCAATACAATAGATAGTTGGAATGGCATCAATATTGGTAGCGACCAAACTCAACTACTCATCACCCATTGAACTACGCATTAGAGATATACTCAATGTTGGATACTATGTATTGACCAACAAGAAGTTACTCATTGATGAGGTAGGTTGGTTAGATCAATGAACTTGATTAGATTGACTAACTAATGAATTGTCCACCACCGCCAGACATATTATACATTGAAGGATAACATAATCAAGATGGAACAGGTATTGTTGAGAACATTGAGCTTCGATGTATCATTAAGTAGTAGTGTCAAAGTACCACATAACTATTTGTTACACTTTGTACATTTCCTGGATGATAGCATTGCACATGACAAACTACCAGTGATTGGACAGAGTGCATTGGATCTTTTGAACGACTGTGCATTGACTCCATTGCCACTTCTAATTGACAATCCATCATCATTGGCATTTATGTGTTTATCAACTGCAATCGATCTCTATGGCAAAAACAACAAAGACATTATTCCAATTACCAAGGATAGACTTGGACAAATACTTGGTGTAGTTGTTGTTACTTCAGAATCCAACAATAACAACGAGAAAGGTAATATATATAATACATTATAGACTACTATTCCTGTTACTGACATCGTCCTAATAATAACATTATAGTAGTATTTGAATGCCTAATAGATGAACTATACCAATGGATGAATGACTGCTCTCCGATCAACTTTGCCAATGACGTCCACAGCACAGACGCTATGCTTTTGCAAGGGGTCAACACCAACTAATTTGGTAGCAAACAAGGGTTGCACCAAAACAAGCCGAAAAAATCTAAATCAATGTGTAGAAGGTCTTCTCCTCCTCTTCTTCTTCTTAATCATATGATTGTTTGATTGTTTGATTGAATGACGAGTACAGAAATAGAGAGTGGTGTATTAATAGATAGGATAGATATAGATAAATAAATAAATAGATAGATAGATAGATAGATAGATAGATAGATAGATAGATAGATAGAATGAGCTCGATAAGTCTTAATCCTACAAACAGCAGCAAGATACTAAAGGCAAAGGAAGCCTATGAGAACAATGATCTCATTACATCAAAGGCTGTACACGATGAAGAGGACAGAAAGGAACCACATAAAGAGTATTGTGTCAATCGAATCAAGATTTCATTGTTATCATTAACTAACTATGAAATAGGGAGGCAGGTGAAGCATTAAAGTCTATTGTATTTGGTGGTTTGGATGGTATTATTACAACATTTGCCATTGTTGCTGCTGCTTCTGGTGCTGGTCTATCAAGAGTAGTGGTACTAGTACTTGGTTTCGCCAATCTTGTCGGTGATGCCTTCGGAATGGCTTTCGGAGATTATGTATCAGAGAAGGCTGAGGAGGATCATCTCATCAGACAATCAAAGATGCTCGAAAAGTATGAACCCATCAATCAAATCGATGTTGACTACTACATACTAACTCTCTTCGCATATTGGAATAAACAGGAAACTAGACTCTGAGCCAGAGATTGAGAAGGAGAACTTGAAACAATTATACATGACAAAGGGATTCGAAGAGGATGATGCTGCAAGAATCGTAGAGTTACTCTTCCCTTACAAGTCAACTGTCATGTCCATCATCATGATGGATCAACATGGTGGCAATCCAGATGCAGACGGTTCAAGTGGTGCAATCAAGAGTGGTACGTAGTGCAGATCACATGATCATGAATCACGTACATAATCTAACATTCACCMAACAACTCTGTAGCCATGGTAACATTTTTATCATTCATCGTTTGTGGAGGCATTCCATTGCTATCGTTCGTTGTTGCCGGTCACTACCAGACAAAGTCAGGGTTTGACACTGTCTTTGGTATCTCCATCTTACTGTTTGGCATCACATTGTTCCTGCTGGGCTCAGTCAAGGGATACATTTCAAACAAGAACTGGGTTGTATCTGGTCTCATCATGTTGATCAATGGTTCAATCACAACACTGGTTGCATTCTTCATTGGCTATGGAATCGAGTTGAAGGCCAATTAATTGACAGTACACATCGACACATTCAGCTCAACACATCACCGTCATATCACGTCACACTCTCTCTCTCCGCTACATGTAGCAGCTTGATATTTATTTACAATATTCGATTGATTCAACTCCATTGTAATAATACATCATGGAATCCAATCAATGTATCTATCTCTCTCACTCTCTTTTGATTGTTACTTGGTAGAAGAGTCCTGCTGCTCCTGATCAAGTTGCTTGTCTTTTGGATCGGCCTTGGCGAGGAATGAATCTCTGGCATCCTCCATCCATGATGTGTTGTTGACCAGACCCATGTTCTTGACCAAGTGCTGTGTGAGATTGGGACCTCTGGATGCTGCAGCTGTTGGCACTGACTTGTCTGGCTTGTTCAGATCCACCTTTGGCTTCTTAACCTTCTTGGTGTATGGATTAGTTTGTTTGAATTGGGGCAGTGCGAATGGTGTGATGATAGGTTTCTCTGGTACATAGTCTGCGGCATCCTTCTTCCTTGGTGCCTTTGATGCACACAGCTTGATGCCCTTCTCCGAGAGCAGGGGATCGTAGAATACTCTGACCTGTCCATCGGAGCATCCGACCATGATCTGATTCAACTTTTGATTCCACTGGATGCTGATCGCGCTGGCCGATGGTATTCTGATCTGTCTCATCTTGGTAAGTGTTTCCTTGTCATAGATCACCAGTGATCCATCGCCACCCTTGTCCAAAGACGATGTGCCTGTGACCAACAATCTGTCGTGTGATCCAAAGAGACAGTTTTGCTCGAGGTAGTCGCATTGGAGATCGTCAAACACGACGACTGGCGCAGTCAAGTTCCTTAGGTCCCAGAACCGCAGAGTGTGATCCAAACCTCGGGATACCATTGATATGCCATCCCTTGCTAGTTGGACACTTGATATCTCTGTGTTTAGTTTGTGCGCCTCTGGTATGGAGATGGTTGGTTTCGAAAGGTTCTTTCTCTTGTCCCATGTTGATATACATCCATCTTGTGCTCCACCTGCAATGACGTCGCCGCGAGCATCGTACGTGCAACATGTTACGCCAACTCTATTTCCCTTGGCACCCTTTGACTTGATGACCGATAGATTCTTCTTGGTATTGTTGATGTCCCATATTCTGATTGTACTATCGATTGAAGATGTGATTATCTCGTCCTTTGTCGATGGACTCCAACAACATGATGTCAAGATGGACACATGTCCCTTTGTATGATTCAAGTCTTGAATGTATCTATCACCTGCCACATACTCTGATCTAGATTGAATGGTCGATGTTAGTTGATTTGATTTATTGAAAGTGACATGTTTGAATACATACTTTGCAAAGCCATCCCTATCGTAGAGCTTCATTTGAGCTGTGCATGGGAGAACCATGAATCGATCGCCAGCGGGATTGAATGATACTGATCTAACTTGTGCACCATCAACTGGCTCAATCTCTCTGAATGACTTTAGTGAGGAGTCCATGCCATTGAAGTCCCAGAAACGAACCATGCAATCATAGCTTCCAGTGAGCATCCTAGCACCTGATGTCTCAATTGATATTGATGTGACTGCTCTTGAATGACTCTTCATGACGACCTCATGTGATATTGGTATAGTCTTGACAAGTGCCAGCCATCTTTCAACAGTTTCCTTCTCCTCATCCTCACTGTCATCACTATCACTGTCGCTATCGCTATCACTATCGCTGTCACTATCATCGTCATCCTTATTGCTCTTTGCTTGTGGTCTGGGTGGTCCAACCATTAGTGAACCATCATCTTGTCCATTGTCATCAATGACCTTCTTTGCAGGTTGTTGTGGTCTTGGTGGACCAACCATTGGTCCAATGTTTTTGTTGTTGTTGTCATCACTACTGTCACTATCGCTGTCACTGTCACTGTCACTGTCACTGTCACTGCCATTGCTTTGTTTGACAGCAGGTTTCATTGGACCAATTGAGACAGGAGGATGAATTGATGATACAACAGGGGACTGTTGTTTCAGCTTTGATGTCAAAGGAGTAGAGTCCACTGTTGTTGATTGTTTCTCGTTTGTAGATTTCAGATCATCGTCATCATAGTCACGATTATTAACAACAGATACGACTACAGGTGTTTGAGAAGTAGGCATGATCTTTGTAGATATGTTGAACTTTATACCTCCGCCACCGCCACCCAATCGATTAGGTGCACCAGTGACAGCATCAGACTTTGAAGTGGCTCTACCAATTTGAAGTGAATCATCATCATTGTTCGATATTACACTTGGCAATGCATCTATTCTCTCCTTATCTTCTAGCCTTAATGATTTCTTAGATGTATATGTTAGTATGTTCACATACTCTGACAGATCATTCAACTGAGGGGTGCTGTAGTACTCACATTTCCAGGTGTGTCGCCATCATCATTGTTATCATTCAGATTGTCATGTTCTCTTTCTCTTTTATTGTTACTCATTATTATTATTATTATCTTATTGTTGCTATCGAGTCGAACAAATAAACTTAAGTTCATTAATTGTGTGTGTTTGAATGAATGAATGTTTCTCTTAGTGAACTTACAACAATGATAACGTTACCAGTAGTTCTGAATGGTTTTTAGTTTGAGTGATGGGCTAGTCATTGGGACTCTGAAATTTCCAAAAGGGAAAAAAATCTGCAAAAATCATTCGTGCGAATGGAGAAGGAGTAAAAAAGATTGTCATCATCATAGGTTTCATAAAAAGTTGTTCATTTGTATTGTACATCACATTATATTTATATAACTAGTATTAGTATTAGTAGCAGAATATCAAGAAAGATATGATGATGATGTCAACTCGCCAACTTGCCAAGCGTCTGATAAACGCATCGACCAATCAAACATTCACCAGAGTTGCACCCTCCTCATCATCGGCACTCTTTTGTAACTCTACTACTTTATACAACAACAACAATAAGAAGGTCAACAACTACTCATCAAAGAATCATCAAGAGCCACATGAGGAGAAAGATCACTTTGAATACACCAACAAGTTGGAGCCACAAGTCCTAAAGGATTACATCCCATGCTATACTGTCATGGACCAGAATGGTGTTGTCAATCCTCCATCTGCTGATCCAAATGTATGTGACCAACAGACATTGTGATGATGTTGATGATGATGATGCTAACATCACTCATTCATACATCATCTTTAGTTCTCTCAAGAGATGGTCACCAAGATGTACTCGACAATGTTGATGTTGAACACAATGGATTCGATCTTTTATGATGTTCAAAGACAGGGACGTATCTCATTCTATATGACATCGTTTGGTGAGGAGGCTATTCATATTGGCAGTGCACAGGCGTTGACGTTGGAGGACACCATCTTTGCTCAGTACCGTGAGAGCGGTGTGCTGATGTGGAGAGGATTCACGCTGGACGAGATTGCCAACCAGTGCTGCTCCAACGAGCTGGACCCAGGCAAGGGCCGTCAGATGCCCGTGCACTTTGGCTCGAAGCGCATCAACGTCCAGACGATCTCCTCGCCACTGACCACCCAGCTCCCACAGGCTGTGGGCGCTGCCTACACCCAGAAGCTGCTGGGCCAAAAGGCGTGCACCGTTGTATATTTCGGCGAGGGCGCTGCCTCTGAGGGAGACTTCCACGCCGCCATGAACATTGCCGCCACGCTCTCGGCACCATGCATCTTCTTCTGTCGCAACAACAAGTGGGCTATCAGCACACCATCTCACGAGCAGTACCGTGGCGACGGCATTGCTGGCCGTGGACCAAACGGCTACGGCATGACCACGTTCCGTGTGGACGGCAACGATCTGTGGGCCGTGTACAACGTCACCAAGATGGCCAGAGAGATCGCCGTCGAGAAGGGCTTGCCCGTGCTGATCGAGGCCATGACCTACAGAGTCAGCCATCACTCGACGTCCGACGACTCTAGCAGATACCGCACGACCGAGGAGATCAACCATTGGAAGGAGAAGAAGAACCCCGTCAACAGACTCAAGAACTACATGGTCCGCAAGGGTTGGTGGTCTGAGGAGCTCGAGAAGACCACCGTCAAGGAGGCACGTGAGGCCGTCAAGAATGCCCTCATGAAGGCCGAGAAACAAAAGAAGCCAAAGATCTCTGAGCTGTTCACCGACGTCTACGATGACATCCCCGACCACCTCAAACTCCAGCAACAGGAACTGATCGAGCATTTGAAGTTGTACCCAGATGAGTATCCAGTGGACCAGTACGCAGCAGAGGACTCAGTACAAAAGTTTTAATTCACATTCAGTTCGTGAGCAATACAATAAAGACATAATATGATATTAACATTAGCCATGGCAACATACCAATTGTCGACGGTAGTACTACACACACACACCCACCAAGATAGATAGTGATAGACATCGGTTGGTTCCATGTCAAACCAAAGCCGATTGGCATTGCCAATTCATAGTCATAATAGGGTATGAATGTGTGTGAAACTAGAGTATCCAGATTCAACCACCCACCATCATTTCATCCCATAGATTCTTTCCATTGACAACGCTTCAGCGTACCCCATTTTATATGAATGAATAAAAAATTAATTAAAATCAAATCAAAAATAGAGCTATTTTGATATGTTTGTAGTGTGTTTATGTACAACTATCATACACACACACACACACACGCTCATACACATACACACAATCAATCAATAATCATCATCTCAATCACACTCACTCACTAACACACACAATCAACCAATCACAAATCACTCATCATCATTAACTACCTTTGCGCTCTCTCTTTCTTTTTCTCTCTATCTCTTACTCACTCTCTCAAACAAACAATCAAATCCATCATCATCATCATTCCATCTTCAATTACATTTATATCTGTATCTCTATATCATCCATCGTTGACAACGTCATTAGATCAATCACACAAACAATATCTATCTATTCTATTTATCACAGGGCGATACTAAAGCAGCGAGAACAAAAAAAAAAGTAGCAACCATTCTCGATCAATCAATCAAATCAATCAATCAATCAATCGATCAATCATAATAGTATAGTTGTACTACTTCAAGGTAGCTACCTCACTGACTGATCATGGCATCACTTACAAACTCAAAGTCATCACCATCATTCTATAAAGTGAGTGTACATCGATCAGATCGCTCAAAAGTCGACAACAAAACACAACTTACTCACACAATTTACTTTCAGGATGATATTGATTCAGGAGCAACAGCAGCAGCAGGAGCAGATAACATTGAAGGATTTGGAGATCTGAGTGATCTTATAATACCATCTTTGAACATACCAGAGTTGCTCGATGAATTGAATCAACACTCGACAGAGGAGAATGTAGCTGCACTCAATGCATTGCTATCATTCGACACGAGCAACATCGATCCAGATTTCAATCTATTGGATGATGGCGCCAACAACAACATAGTTGACCCAAACAACAACAATAGTACCAATAATAATAATGGTAGTTTGAATAGTAGTGGCAATAGTATCACAAAGAAGTGTGGCACTGGACCACGACTTGGCTATCAGATATACAGGACATTCCCCTACAGAGGCAGTCTGCCAAAGCCACTCATACAGATGATTGAGTTGGGTCTGCAGGGCGACCATCAGAACCTGTCAGCCACCAATGATGATGAGGGCGATGGATCGAGCTCAGCGGCAGTCGGTCTGGAGCAACAAAAGAAGAAGCCATTCTCGACCAATGGATTAAGACACTGCAAGCAGTACAGAGCGTTGTTCCAGGGCGAGATTGATATCAAGCAGGAAGCAGACAAGCAGACAAAGCAGCAGAGCAGTGACCTTGGCGAGAGCAGTGGTGTTGGTCAACCAAACAGCAATAACAACAATAATAATAACAATGTCAACAACATTAGTAGCGGCAGCTTCGATTTGATCGTTGCACAAGACCATCCATCGATCAGTGACGAATCATTCTTCCAACCACCTCCAATGATATCACCAAGATCATTACAACTACAACAACAGCAGGAGGAAGAGGAGAATGCCAAGACACTGCAACAACAACAACAATCAACAGAGGATCAATGCGATACATCAATGAATACATCAAGTCAGTACTCACAGTTGATTGAGAGCTTGGCCACTGTCGGTGGTGAGTCTGATTGCTTCAACACAAGCATTGACGACCTGGCCCTCGGACTCGATGATCTAAAGAGTTTCAACCTGGACGACATCTCGCTTAACCTCTCGGCAGATGGCAAGGATCTACTTGAGCCGCCAGCAGCGACTGAAGCCTCCCAACAAGCGCCAGGCTCCCCGATCGCAGCGGTACTGCCTCCCAGCCACCACACACTGTCGTCAACGTCGTCGCCTCCCAAGCGAGCAAGAGAACCAACGGCCTCTGCAACAGTCTCACCAATATTTATTGATTCCAACGCCCATCGCATCAAGGGCAATCCCGAGCAGCAACAGAGCGATAAAAAGCAACAACTCTCGAGGACCATCACATTCGCCGACCCATCATCCATCCAGAGCTTCTTTGGGGGTGGTGCCAACAACAACAGCGCTGACCTTTCAACCACCACCAACGCCACCGCCACACAACAAGCACCGCCACTGCTGGCACACGAGAAGACAAGCTCCACCGGCTACCGTGGCCTCTCATCAATCTTTCCAAAGCTCCAGATCAACAACTCCAATCCATCACCGTCCAAGTTCTGCTATCCACTACTGCAGCCACAACCGACTACTTTGATCCGCGAGTACGCAATCAAGGCCGACACCAACACCAAGGGCCTGAGACGAGCCAAGAAGTCCTCGATGGACATGGAGGACGAGTACGTCGTGCACTACCCCTTTGGCGACGATCCACAAATGGCACTCTTTGCCGTCTTTGACGGTCACTCTGGAAAGAATGTGGCGATGACTGCCAAAGAGATTTTACCAAATGTAAGTTTGATCAAACTCATTACCAATCCAACAATGCACTAACATGACATCACTTGCCACTTATAAAGATATTATTGAAGTATATACAGTCTGCAAAGAGCGAGTGCGGCAAGCATATATACGATATGAGTGGTGTATTTTTAGCAACGTTCAAGGAGACTGATGCCCAGCTCTCGAGGTTTGAGTACGAGGGCGCCACGGCAACCATTGTACTAATATGGAGAGTGGGTCAACAGAGATTCCTTCAGGCGGCCAACGTCGGTGATTCGTCTGCATTCCTTAGTTACGCCGGAGAGACATTGGTGCTGACCAAGGATCATCGTGTCACCGATCCCGACGAGCAACAGAGAATCAAGGACGAGGGTGTCCAACTGAGCGAGAACCAAACCAGAATCAATGGACTGATGGTCAGCAGAGCGTTGGGCGATCATTTTATCAAACATCTCAATTGTGGACTCTCTGGAGAGCCAACCATTTCACCGCCAATCTCTTTAACTCCCTTCCATTCACATCTAATAGTTGCATCTGATGGTGTATGTATCGATTGTTGAGATACATGTGTATAATCCAAGTTACTAATCAATCAATCCAATACAATCACAATAGCTATGGGATGTAATATCTGGAAATAGAGCAATGGAGATGATCAAGACAGAGAAGGAGGTAGACAAGATGGCGAACCTTCTTCTTCAGTGCTCACTTAAATCAATCAAGTCCAAGGATAATATATCAATTATCGTTGCCAAGTTGTAAACATTATATTTATATATACATAAACTATTACTATATCAAGTTATAGCCTCACTTAAGGGCTACTGCTAATGATCAAACATCCTTCCACCTTTCTTTGGGTTAACATCAATCACTTTCTTTGAATATGAATACTATTCATTCACTCTTTTCAATCAATCAATCGATCAAACACATACATGTATCAAAGTCGTCTGTCACTGTTACTTAGATCAACATCATTGACATGGATCAACTATAGTTTGTGTCGAGCTAAGGTCAAGACAAGCAGTATCGTGAAGGATACGATCAATAAGAAACGATTTGACACAAATGACAACAACATAGTTCACACAAGACTTGTTCCCTTGTCAAAGGGATCCAAGAAAGAAGTTACAACTAGTAGCAAAACCTCAACAGTAGACATCACCAATAATAGTAGTAGTCGAAATAAGAGTGTAGTTAACAATAGCAATAGCATTGATTCACAAAAGCCTAAACCAAAGTGGATGACAAAGGCATGGTTCAGTGCTGGTGATGATGATATAGCCCCACCAACGATTGTTGCTGTCGTGGATCAACAACCTAATGAAGTGCAACTAGAGGTGATGGATGATGTAGACGTGGAAGAGGAAGAGGAGGTACAATCATTGAGCAACGTCAAGGTTGGAACAGACTATGAACTGTTGACAATAGAGACATTGTCCAAGTATGGACTGTCACTAAAGCGTGTTGGTGGTGCTGGTGATAAAGGCATTGACTTTAGAGGTGAGTGGATGATAAACTCCAACAAGTACTCTGTCATTGGTCAGTGCAAGAAGGTCAAGAGAAAGACTGGTCCATCAGTGTTGCGAGAGTTTGAATCAACAATGAAACGATTTGCAGAGGTACCTTTACTCGATGCTGGAGGTCAACAACTGCAACTACAACAACAAAGGACGTTGATCGGTATCATGGCAAGTCATTCTAGATTCATGGACAGTGTACAAGTGGAGATGGACTCCTTTGATCTTCCAATGATCATGTGCCAGATCACGGATAATGGTATTCACTCATTCATGTTGAATAAGGCTGCCAGACAACTGTTACCATTCCTACGTGTTGCAATTAGGAGGGTAACAAAGTCAGAGAGTAGTAGTAGCAGTAGTGATCAATCAACTATTGAACTGTATAGCCATCATGAATAAATTATATTATTATATTATATTATTATTTATTTATTTATTATATTTATGACCAAACGTCCAACAAGTATCTCTTCTCCTTGGACCATGTGACCCAGACCTCTGCAGCGTCATTCTCATTCAAGTTCATTTGTTCCTGGATGATCTCCACAAACGTCTTCCTTACCCCAACTGCCATACCCTTGGCGTCACTATGAATGATTGATAGAATGAATGTTAGAATAGAGCCTGGATAATGATTGAGTTCACCACTTACCCGCAAATATAGACGTATCCCTTGTTTAACTGGATCATATCAAAGAGTTGTTTGGCATTGTCTTTGATCTTGTCTTGAATGTATCCTAATGCCTCGTTGGTTTGACTCTCTCGGGAGAATGCAGTGTGTAGATGATCAAGTATTCCATCATTGATGAATGATTGCAATGTATCCTTGAAGAGATAGTCACGCATCTCACTACGACATCCAAAGTACAATGATCGCACTCCCTTTAGTTGTTGATGACGTAGATGTTGGAGGAATCCAATGAATGGTGCAACACCAGTGCCAGGTCCAATCATAATCAATGGCTTTGTATGGTCCGTTGGTAAATGGAAGTGAGGTGTGGCCTTGAGTTGATATGATATCCAAGCACCATCGATTGATTTATCATCTTTGATTGATAGGTTTGAAAGTGATGATTCAATATCGTCGGCTTTAGAGTCCAATAGCTTATGTTGAGTGCAGAGTGATTCGAGATAGGAAGTGCACAGTCCCATCGTGTGGCCTTTGGTTAGAGGCACATCGACCACACTAAACACAATCGATGCCTCTGTTGGACATGTAAGAGGCGATGAGGAGATTGAATAGTCACGAGGCATCAGTGCTGATACAACGTCCAAGAGCAGATGCAGCGGCACTTCCTTGCACGAGGTGTAGGTCTCGAGGAGATCAACCAATGTGACGCGATCCTCCAGTAGTTTGGCATAGATGTCCTTGCCCTCAATTGTCGAGCACTTTGCCAATGTCTCCTTCTCCTGTGTATCTTGAGCGAGCTCAGACAGGAGCTTCAGTAGTCGTTTAGACACGACGCCACAGATGTCCAGCTCATGTGTGAGCAGGTGTCGCAGTGATTTGCCATTTGCACGAATCAAATGAGGTGGCAGCTGCTGAGTAGCATTGGTGCAGGTTATCTCTAGTAGTTCATCAGCTGACCTCTTCAACTTGGCAATGAGGCGATCAACAATGACCGTTGGATTGTGAGGATAAACTGCAATGTAGTCTCCAGGTTGATAATGAACACCTTCGCCCAAGTGAAGTTGCAGTTCAATCACCCTCTTGATAGGTGGTAATGTTGATGTTGATGTTGTTGTTGTCGTTTGACCGTCCACATCTTCTTGAAACTGTGTAAGGAATCTATTGTTCAATGCAATGCAATTCATTAGAGTTGTGCTGTTGGTGAAGGTAGGTTGGCGAGTGGACACTACTGAGTACATACCTTGCCTTGATGACCTTTGCCCTCCTGTGTTGGGCATTTGGCAAGTCCAGGGTACCTACTGAATTAACAGCATTGTGATCGGTTGTTGATGATGAGGTGGTGGTGGGAGTCCTTACATTGTACTTTGGTGGCTCACCCAAGATTGTTGATGATGCTGATGGAGCTGCCCTCTTCAAAACAATCTTCTTCTTTGCTGCTGTTGGTGGTGCTACTGTAGTAGTAGTAGTAGATGTAGTAGGTGCTGTAGTTGTTGGTGTTGACTCTGAATGTGGTAGTGGTAGTGGTGATTGTTGTGTGATGGTATCATGATGGACACTCGCCTCCGACTCACTAGTTAGTGGTGCAGGGTCTGTTATGGTATTGGTATTAGAATCAGACATGACTGACTGACCTTGTTTGTGAGGGGAGACCAATGAATGAGACCTTGTATCTCTTTTTTCGGTATCTGTTGTAAGGACTCCGAATGGGCTTTACGGCCTCCTTCTCATTTAGTCCAATTTTTATTGTCGACAACATCACCACCAAGTTCTTTATTTATGTGTTTTCCTTGTGTTGACAATCAATCAAACATTAAGAGACTCCTACCCTATATAAGGGTAGGGATAACATTGGTGCAATGTCGTCATAGAATAATGATGATGTGGTAGATAACAATAAATCTCCGCTTTGTGGTAATCCCCCCACATCTACAGATCACTTATATATATGTGTTCGCTATGCAACACACTCCCCTAATCTGATGGTATTGGCAACAAATTAATACACACTCACACACATATATATGTGGATTGGAATAGATATTGACCACAAAGGATGATGATGAAGTTGGGTCCAACCAAGCACCTTCCTTCAATCCACCCAACAATCAATTCATCCATCCAACTCACAACCAACCACTATAAAGATAAAGTTGTTCTTGTCGAATTGTTCAATTATCCATTACAACAGGACTACAACTAGTACACATATATATATACAAAAAAGTAGTTGATCTAATTAATATTATCAAACAACAACAATCAATATCCAACAGACAGACAGACAGACAGACAGACGTATGTCCTTTCATCTCCATCATCCACCAATCAATCAATCAATCTATCTTAATTGATCATCATCACCTACTTTAAATTTGTTTAAGTGAGTTGGTGTGCTGTGTGAGTGAGTGTGTTATTGGCAACAACTACTGTTTGATCACTTATAAACCATCTAAACCACCACACCACCGGTGGTGTCGATATTGATCACTGGATCACCATCATCATCAATAATTATTGTGAGGGGGGTATCAGAGCTCGTCGGTCATCATCACTATATGTCCATCCACCTCACCAACCAAAATAGTTAGAATAGATATTAGAGGAATCAATCAAACAACTCCTAATTGACATCATCATCATCACTATAATCATCACGAGTTGTTGTTGTTGTTGTTGTTGTTGGATGTGATTATGGCCGAACACCTACAGTATGCATAACATTAACAACGACTCTAAAGGGGAAGATGTCGTCGTTAGTGGCAACAAGATACCATGTTCCAAAATAATAATGATTTGTCCAGGATTCAATCTCAACACTTCTTAGCACGCTCAATGTCGGCACTAGCAACTAGTGTTGTTTAGTACAACGTCTAACATTAATATTACTCTCATTCCACTTATTATTTATTTATTTATTTATTTATTTATTTATTTATTTAAATATATAACCATCAACAGTCACTATTTGATTTATTGATTGATTGACGTCATCATTAAGATTATTATTATTATTATTATAAATATATAACATGTATATTAGATATAGATATGGAAATATTAGAAGATAGTGTTTACAGATTATTCACACATAACCAACTCGATGAAGAAGTATCAAGACCAACAACAACAATAGGCACTTCCAAGAATAATAATAGAGTTACAAATACAGATCAATCAATGATCTTTCACATGGACCTTCCACATTGTATAAATGATAGTCCAATCAATTATCGATATTATCAAGCAACCGATCATTATCCTAGACCATCGACACTATTAGATAATCATAATAATAATAATTATAGTCAACAGGATAAGTTAGAAATATATCTATGTCCTGCAAACAACAACTTATTATATAATAATTATAACAACAATAATAATAATAATAATAGTATAGAACAACCAATATTTGATTATACATACAGAGACTTGATAACATTGGTCATTGTAATTGCATTGATATTGTACAACTATTCGAAAAGAGAGAGAAAGATAATACAGTTTGCCAACACATTCAAAGAGATACTAAAGTTGACACCAACAATCACCATCATCGAGATATGCTACGATTCACGACGTCGCATTGTAAAGACATCAAACCCAATCAACACATGGCAGGACCGTAACGTCTTTGCTTCTTGTTCAAATCAACAACATGACGATTCATCAACGACATTGGCCGCCTATAAGTACAGTATAGAGAGGTTCTGTAAACACTTATGTATCAACCCAGACACTCTGGAGCAATCGATCAAGAGCTCAGACTCATCAAGGGACATCATTATAAAGGGCTGCTCTGACAAGATTTACAAGTTCTCTGGTCACTTTGACGCTGTAACAATGTCTTTCAGAGGCGCCGTAGTGGACATTAGCAAGGAGAGGTTGGAGATGAAGCGTCTCAAGTATAAGATCACTCACGATCACTTGACTGGTCTACAGAATCGTTATCAACTCAATCATAGAATCAAGAAGTTCTGCTCGGCCAGCACCTCTGGACTCTGTGCAATCTACTTCCTGGACATCAATCGATTCAAGTTGATCAACGACACTCATGGACATGAGAATGGCGACAAGGTTCTCAAGCATATGTCCAACATTCTTCAGAACACGCAAGGACCTGACTCACTGCCAATCCGTTTATCTGGTGATGAGTTCCTCATTGTCAAACGCAACGTACAGTCAATGGAGAACGCCCGCGCATTCATTGGTGAGAGCTTGGCTGTGGTATCATCGTCACCAGTCGAGCTCAGCAATGGCAAGAAGATATCAGTCACCATCAGCTATGGTGGCGTTGTCTTTAAGAGTCACCACTCCAACAGTGTGATGCCGGAGGAGATCATCAAACTCGCCGACGAGTACATGTATCATATGAAGAAGCATGGTCTACCTCTTGTCAAGTTCCACACTCGACCAAATGTATTGTCGGCATCTGTATAGGAGGTTGACAACTTTCCATCTTGTCGATTGAATAAACAGGAGGTTGTACGCTTAATGATAGGTTTGTTTGTAAGGGTATGAGAAAATGATAAAATTGAGAATGCACGAATGTTTTTCTTTATTGTACATTTGACCAACAGATACGACAATCAAATATATAAACAGATAAACCATGCCTTGCATTTACATTTGTGGAGGTACATATCAAATGATAACAATCTGACTAGTTTAGAATTTAATGAATTTATTGTACTAACTAACTTAACCATCGATGCAATTGCAGAGTGTGGATTTGAGAACGAGATCAAGCCAAAGGAGTCGATCAGATGTAAGGATTGCACTCATCGTATCGTATACAAGAAGAGAACCGATAAGAGTAAGTAATGCGATTTAACAATGATACTGATGTATCATGTATAGAAAGAGAGAGCTTAGACCTAACACATTTGTTATTATATATAGTGATTCAATTCGAGGCGAGATAAATGTATTGTGACAACTCGACATCCCAATACAGATAATCACACTTTCACAAGCAACAACAACAGTTCGGATTGCAACAACAACAGCTCTATAACAACAGCATCTTCTTCCCTCTAACACAAGCAATGTTGACATACAGCACCAACCGATCATTGTATATGACAACCAGATAGAACATACTCACTTGGGAGGGCAATAAACAATGATCATCATGGTGACAACAAGAAGCGTACAGCTATTATTGCAAAGTGGATGATATTTATATATGTTATAGTGAAATCGATATTTGATAGTGTAACATTGGTTACACCTTCCATGGCTTGGACAGGGGATCGTTAGCCAGATCTCTAATGAAGTTATACAAACAAACGGGACATGAGAGTGAAATCCACTTCTGGTTGTACTCCTCCATGATATACTTGAGTGTAGTTGCGCTTGGTATTCCCAGCTTCTGTACCTCCTCCTGGAAGTGAGGCAGAATCGTGCCAAAGTAGTGTCTCTTGGAGAAGAAGTGATTACAAGTAAAGGCGACGTCCTTCTCGAATGTAGACGCACCGGCTCCATGCAACAATGCATCCATACCAGTGTCTGGAAGCAGTGAGTGTATCTGAATCTTTGTTCTACTTGATATATCCTTCTCCAAGTTCTCCTTGATGTTTGTCAACAATACCTTCTCTGATGCTCTTTGTTGATCTAGATTAAGGTAAGATACGATATATGAGTGAGTTGATGGAACTGTCTGGTTGACTGATTGATGGATATATATGATACGTACCTCTTTCCTTGTCACTAAGATTCTTAACAAAGTGTAGGTAATACTTTACAACTATTAAATACAGACTTGGTGAGAAATCGAGGACAAGTGGACACTCCTTGGTCACATTCATCTGGAGGATGTTGGACAATGGCAATGAGAATGAGTCTATATTGCCAAGGATGAATGTCTCCAATGGTGACACTGGCAAGTCCTTCTCCCTCCAATAGTTGAGAATCTGTACAATGAGCGGCATGTTAGTTCAAGTGTTTAGAGTCTTCGATGTGCAACAACTTACCAATAGCAATAGTAGCTCCTTTGATTTCTCAGGTGACATTGGCTTCTTTGTGGTCTCGTTGCCAGTGGCTGACGGTGCTCCTCCTTGTTGTATGATCTGGCTGCCAGATGGATATATCTCTTGAGGACTGTTCAATTGTGGCGATGTTGAGAACAGTGGTGGTGACAACTGTACTGGTGAGGCGGTGGTAGTCGATGACGTTGAGATTAGAGGTGGACTGTCTATTCCGTAGATTGATCCCTTGATGATATAGTTCTGTAGTAACTGTATCAACACAGCAGTCTCCTTATCCTTATCCAGGTTCCTCAGCTTCAATCCAATTAGTCTACATTCCAATGTTGATTTGTAGTCTTCCATAACATCATATATCTATTGATTGATTGGATTGTTAGTATGTCTTTCGATCCTGTATGGACAAACATAAACAACATATTACATACAGTAGCAGCAGCATCCCAATTCTCATAGTGGATGGCCTTGTTGATGACAAAGAATGGACGATAGGAGGCAGAGTAGGCCTTGAGTATGTCCTCCAAACCTTCTTGAGTGAATCGTGCCTTGGCCATGCCTTTGGAGTTCTGACTGGACAGTGCAAGACGATTGTCATTCAGTGGTACCTTGGTTGGTATCCAAATGTCATCGGTCTTGCCATTTCCAATCTGACCATGATTGCCATGGCCCCAGAGATAGAGTGCACCGTTGCTCGTGATGATTGCAGAGAACTCGCCACCACTGGAGAAGGCGTGGATGTTCATCGAGTTGAGCGATGGGATCACCGCTGGACATGGCTTGTCCATTGATGGTGACCTCATGTCGCCACCGACTCCGAGCTTACCATGCTCGCCACCACCGCAAATATATACATTGCCTCGATCGCTACCACTCTCGGCAGCTGTCACTGTGGCAGTGTGGAAGAGACCGCACACTACTCTGTCAACCTTCTTGTTGACAAAGAACTCCACCAGCTTGGGTGACAGGACATTGTTGGTTGATCCAATGCCAAGACACATATGCTCTCCCTGTCCCCAGCAGAAGACACTGTTTAGCTCTGTGATGACAACTGTGTGGAAGTGACCACATGATATCTTGATGATGGGCTTGCCCTTGAGCTCCTCGATCTGTTTGGGACGGACCTGCTTCTCAGTGTTGCCATGACCCAGCTGGCCCTTGGTGTTGCTTCCCCAGCTGTAAATGTCTCCATTCTCCAGACACATTACAGAGTGCGAGTGTCCACATGCGATCTGTGTTATCTTTCCTCCGTGCACACCAACAATCTCTGAAGTCTCCACACGCATAGGGATGGCACGACTCTTGAGGTTGTTGACACCGAGCTGGCCAGCCTCGTTCCAACCAAAGCTAAACAGGTCACCAGACTTCTTGAGGATGAGTGTGTGGGCATAGCCAGCGGCGATGGCCGTCACCTTTTGGCCGTCCTGGAAGTGTTCGATCTTCTTGGGCAGGTTCTGTGGTGTCAGTACACCATGACCAAGTTGTCCATGTCTTGATGAGCCCCATGAGTATATTTGGAAGGACTGATCAACGGCGATACTGTGCTCTCCTCCACATGTAGCAATGATGATTGGTGATGACTTGAATGTCTCTACTCTTCTCGGTGTCGTTTGGAACTTGCCAACACTCAAACCGTGTCCGAGCTGACCCTGGCTGTTGTTTCCCCAGGTGAAGAGCTCGCCATCACTTGAGATGACTGCAACGTGTTCCCATCCACAGGACACACTGATTGCCTTCTTCTCATTCTTCATCAATGGAGGCATTTGGACCAAGAGCAAATCTGGATCCTCGGTGACTGCGGGAGGCTCCTCCTCCTGCTCCTCAATGACCTCTGCTTCGCTGTCAATGTTGAATATGTCGTAGCGAGTGTCCTCCACACTGTACTGGTGCTTGCGTTGATAGATAAGTGTGAGAATGGCGTTGATGTACAGCTCAAAGTACTCCTCGTTGCGAACTGGTATGCTCTCGGATGAGCGACCTGGCAGGTAGGAGGTGGTTTCGAACGAGTCGGCACTGGGTGGGAAGCCACCGCCGTTGACGGCAACAAGATTACCCATGTTGTTGTTGGAGTTGCCTGTTGAGTTCTTATGTGACAGCGATGGAGTGAGGTTGAAGGGCTCGAATGACATTGGGTCAAAGGTGGTGGCAATCTCCATCAGACTCTTCTCATTGAGCAATGGAAGCAGATGGAACAGTCGCTTAAGGTAGCGAGGGATGTTCTGTGTGTCCTCGAGGATCAGTTTGACCTGGATGTCTGGTGAGAGACAGTCAAAAACCATGCCACCAGAGTTACTCTTGAGCTCCAATGAGTAGGCACCATTGAGGAAGGAAATGGTCTGTGCATCCAGGTGAAGGATGTTGGACTCGAGGAGACTGGACAGTGCTTTGCCGATAAGTCTTCCACTGTGAGCCACCGAGAAGTAGTAGTCGAGTAGGCCATGTTGGAGCAACATCTGCAGTGCAGATTCACGATCATAGTCAGTGTTGGTGGAGAGGAAGTATGCAAACTCAGTGTCCAGTGCCTTGAACTCCTCGCGAGATGTCAACAACTTTTGAAGGTAGCATTGGAAGAGAATATTGGTCATCTTCTTCTTCTCCTGTGAGTTGAATGCCTCTGGTTGATGTAGAATGGCTTTGAGATGTGTCATAATGATGTCCATCCTTCCAATCTCTAGGAACTTATATACCAACTTGCTTGTCTTTACACCTGATAAGTAGTAGAGGCTGTGTTTGTGTGGGCGTTAGTATGGACCATGTATGATTGATGTGTGAATGAACTTACTCTAATGCTCTACCATAGTGACCTTGATCAAAGGCGTGGTCGGCAGCTGTCTCGTAGAGACTGAGGAGATCCATTCTGAAGGTCTTGCCAAGTGCTTCACCATCGCTCTTCTCGAGGTTCTTGGAGACCAACTCAAAGAATATCTCTTCGGGTGACTTCTTGGGTCTGAGCTCATAGATGGCAAAGTTGGTCATTAGGTAACATGATGGCATGATAATGTTGTTTCCACTATTGTTGTTGTTGTTGTTGCTGCGTTTGGCAATATCGTTATTGCTGCCTCCACTCTCCAACGAGTTGGTGATGGAGATCGCAGTCTCACCAGCCGCCAATTGGAATGTTTGAATGATCGATTGATTCTTCATGTACTCTGATAATACAAGATGAGTTAGATGATGATCCTATGTTCAATGTTGTGAATGATGATTGATACTTACTCGAGTTGGACACAGTGCCAGAGACAAGGTTAGAGATGATGGATACATTCATCTTTGCATTGTCGTTGTGTGGCTCAATCTCAGAGACAAAGGTCATATTCTTGGTGAAGTAGAATGAGCTGGTGCCTTGTGGAAGTTGATAGACAAACAAGGGGAACTTGTGGAGGTAGAGTGAATCGTAGATCTCGAGCTTCGCAGTGGACTTGATGAATGATGCCATGATCGAACCACTCTCCATGTTGTCCTGCTTATCCAGACTTCTCTCGGTGGTCGATCGATCATTTGTGAACAATGTAATCATCTGGAATGATTGTTGTTCAGTGTTCTTTGCATTGGGGTTCTGTGGCGATACAATCGACTCGTATTGATTGCTGTTGCCACGTTGTTGCTCAATCACCAATTGGTAGTGAACCATTGTCTTGGTTGATATGATTAGGAACTATTTGATTGGTTTGGATTGGATCAGTCAGCAATGGATGTTAATGGGTGATTGATTGATGGAGGATATACATACAGTCTCTGAGGAACCAGTGACAATCTCAATCTTTGTGACATGATTCTCCAACTTGATCTTGCGATGGACTTCGTTGGTGCTCAGATTGACAAAGAAGATGTTTCCAGAGGTAGTCGCAACGATTGCAATGTCCTCGCTATTGGATGTCTTCCACCAAAGACAATATGAACCAATCAATGTCTTCTTTGACAGAGGTGGTGTTGATACAATGTTATGAACTGGCTTCTTGGCTGCCTCTGGTTGGTTTGGTTTGTTGAACCTAGGAAGTGGAAGTTAGTTAGTCAACATGTTTGAATGATTGAATGAATGAATGACATCAACAACATACCTTGAAGTGAATGATGAGAATAAAGACTTCTCAGTAGTTTGTTGAGTGTTCTTGTCCTCTACTAGAGTAAGCTTCTTGCACATCATAAAGTAGATTGGTATGCGAACCAATGAAGTGTCATGTTGTAAACACAACAACCATTGTGCAGTTGGATCAAATGCCATTGACACTATCCTCTTGGCAGGCTCCTTAGACCACTGTATATACTTGTATTGTGGTACCTTGCTCTGACCAACATATCTAAGTATCAGATAGTCTATGTATGTTTGATTCATTCATTCGTTAATAGTCATTCAATCAAGTCCAAGTGATAAGATACAAACCATTTGAACAATAGAGTGCAAAGAAGAGGTGATCATCGTATCCACCGTGTGAAGCAAGCTGTATAGTGACACCTAGGTTGGAGACAGGCTTTGCTTGACCATCGGCACCAAGTTGCTCAGAGAGTGATCTCTCTTTGGCGTGAATGAATGTGTTGGCGGGATGACGCTTATCCTTTCCACCAAGAGTACCAGCGTTGGCCTTGTTGTTCGGTGTGGCCGTGTTGATACAGAACAGTTTGTTCAATGAGTAGAGCTCGTAGTTCTGAGTGAATGCGCCGATGTTTGGTGCAGAGTGGCCAATYCATGGGCACGCCGCTCAGTGACGATGGTGTGAATGAACTGCTGCTCATACTACTACCTGGTGTTGGTACTGTGTTGTTGTTGTTGTTCATCATCATATTGCTTATACTATTGTTACTGATGTTGATGTTGTTGTTTGTGTTGCCTTGACCATCATATGATGGAGTGACCATCATTAGAGTGGATGATAGCATGCCTAGCATTGAAGGTAGTGGAGGTAGATGTGACAGATTGTTTGCACTCTGATTCCTGTTCATATTGACAGGTGATGATGCCGATGACACATTGCTACTGTTTGTACCACTGGCGCTACCACTATTCTGATAGTTTGTTGAAGAGCTCGGTGATGTCTTCTTCCTGTCTGCCATCATTGACGATGAATGAACATATACACTTATATATGTATTGTATATGTATATGTATGTATGTATGTTTGTTTACGCAATGTTTAACTATCTGTTTGGTTTGCCCTACTCTTATTCCTTCACAAAAAATATCTTTGTTTGCCTTCAGGTCCAAATTTAATGATTTTTTTGAATGATTTTGTCATCAACTTTTCAATTGAAGTAGGACTGAAGACATGTCAGAGAGATATTATCTGTTACCTTGGATCATATGAATAAAGTATGGGAATGTCACACTTCTGATTGATGAAACAAAGTACTTAGATCAAATTATATAAATATAGTATATTGTTATGTTGACCTAGTGTTCTGAGATCCAAGTTACAAAAAAAAACAAACCAACTTCAACAACAACCCCTCCTCATTTATGATCTTTCAATTATTCCTTCATTCACTCACACAAACAAGTAAAGATAATACATTAGTAAAGTTAAACAATGACAAAGCTATTCATTGGACAGATACCAAAGTCATTCACCGAGGATGACTTGAGAGAAATGTTTAGTGAGTTTCAGGACAGCATTCAAGAGATCTCTGTCATAAAGAATAGACAGACTGGTGAGGCACAGGGTTGTGCATTCATCACACTGTCCAGTCAGGACGATGCAGAGAGGGCAATTGAAACATTGCACAACAATAAGAAGTTCCCAGGCGTATCAAACAGTCTTCAAGTCAAGTATGCTGATAGTGAACAAGAGAAACAATGTAAGTGTTTAATATTGATGACGTCAATCACAGTCAGTCACTAACGACAATACCTATGTATAGCGACAAAACTATTCGTTGGTATGCTACCTAGGTCATACACTGAGGAGGAGACAAGAGCATTGTTTGCAGATTATGGTGATGTCGATGATATATGTCTGTTGAGAGCTCCAAACAATGAGAGTAAAGGATGTGGATTCGTCAAGTTCAAGAATAGGGAGAGTTGTTTGAATGCCATTGCTGGTCTACATGGAATCAGTATACCTGTATGTGTCTGTTGCACTAATCAATCAATCAACTCACTCACTCACTCACCAACTCCATTACATTACATTCACAGCCAAGCCCAAACAACCTTGTTGTAAAGTTTGCAGACACAGAGAAGGATAAGAAGAAGAAACAAAAGATTCAACAGTTCCAGAATGTACGTGGTGGAAACTCTCCAGGGCAGATGCAACAACAACAACAACAGCAACAGCAACCGCCACAACAGCAGCCTCCAATGCCAAAGATGACACCCCAACCCAACTACATGGTCAATCCCTACAACATCAATCCTACAATGCCAAACCTTTCCAGTTACATGCCAGGTAGGTTAAACAACTTGACACAAGTAGATGATCGAACCCTTCATACTAACAACAAATCACTTTATTACACAGTTATGGAGGCACCTACACCTTCATTGCTAGGCACGCCTCCAATCATTGGCGATGGTATCTATGACATGTACCCTCAGACCTATGACCCCATGGCCGGTGGAATGGGTATGGGTATGGGCATGGGCATGGGCATGGGTATGCCAATGGGTATGGGCATGGGCATGGGCATGGGCGGCATGGGCATGGGAATGAACGGCATGGGCATGGGTGGAATGGGAGGCATGGGCGGCATGATGAACTATGGAGGCAACATGAAGCAAGGTGTCGTCGGCAGTGCCAACATGGGCAACAATGGCATGGGTGGCTACCAACCCTACAACGGTCGTCCCAACAACCAGATGGGCAATGGCAGCAACAACTATGGAGGCAACATGGGAGGAGGAAGCGACGGTGCAATCAACAATGGCGGTGGCGGTGGTGGTGGAGGTGGCTCTGGCAACGGAAGAAACCAGAACAAAGGAAGATCATCGCAACATCAACAGAGTGGTCCAGCCGGCTCCAACCTTTTTGTCTACAACATTCCAAACTTCTACGGTGACTCTGACATGTTCAGTCTCTTCCAACCATTTGGACAGGTAGTAAGTGCCAAGGTCTTCATTGACAAGAACACAGGTCTAAGCAAAGGATTCGGTATGTAACCCATCAGAGGTGGAGACTGGCTTCTCATAAACATCACTAACCAAATGCTTTGTGCGACGTTGATCGGTTGACTCTATAGGATTCGTAAGCTTTGATAATGCAGGATCAGCACAAGCAGCAATCTCCAACCTCAATGGATCGATGATCAATGGAAAGCAGTTGAAGGTTTCGCTCAAGAACAACACCCATGGATCGAACCCATACTGATCAGTCCATCAACTATATCCTCCAACCAACAACCAACCAGCCAACCAACCAACCAACATCAACTTGTAGCACGATCAGCATGGTCGTTGTCGTGGTCGTCGTCGTGGTCGTCGTCATCGTGGTCGTCTTCGCGTCGTGCTCACCACCCCCAGCTCGTAACGTTTGGCGCCATCACTATCATCGTTGTCATCGTAACTCCTATCGTCCGCGTATCCTTATGTAATTATTGTACTTGCCGTAACGTGCTACTCATATATCTATATGTACAAACTCTCTAGCCATCCCATCCATCCATTGTGACAATGCCTTTTGAACAACATGTCCATGTCCTTCAACAACAACAACAACTACTACTACCACCACTGACAACAACAACAACAACAACTGTATTGGCCTCTCTCTCTCTCATCATGATTGCATTACGTAGTAGGTGGTAGTAGTGTAGTGTGTGTTGTTTGTGCATGTATCCTGCTGGGATGTGTCCATTCTCTCCCTTTCATTCTCTTTAAATATACGAAGTAGTATCGTTCATAGTATATATACTCATGGCAACATTGTTGGTGTGTCTATCTCTGTCTCTGTTATTATCCATTGTACTCGCCCAATCAACCATTAGAGTATAGCTGTATTGTAAATTACCATGGATCGTTTCACTTGTTACTAACCATCTTTACCAAATGTGATTGATTGATTGATTGATTGATGCCATCCATCCCCATGTTCTTAAGACAAGTTGGTACCCTAAACATGTTATTGTAGCCAACCTAATGGTCATTTAGATATCCAGTTGTTTCCATCATTTATAGCAACAGATTTATTGGATGAGTCTCACCAATGCTCCAACTTGGTGACACACTTGTGATCATAGTCATAGCGTGTCCATCGACTGATGTTGTAGGTTTGATATCACTGTAACCAGACAATGAATAAACTGTTCCTATTTCCTTATTCTAAATCATTATTGGGCGAGTTAGAATGATGACTACCAACCAACATGATTGTATCATTTCAAACATACAGATAATGGCATGTCACCTGATGACAGTGATGATACGCTGTGATCGAGAAGAGTGATGAATGGATGACCAGGCTTTAACAACTTTGCAGCCTTGCCACAGAGTGTTAACAACTGAGTTACATTGCTCGGATAGCTACAGGCAAAGTAGACGACAGCAACAAAGCTACCTTTTGATGCGTTGTACTGATCGTAGTGTATGAACTCCTCCTTGGTGATACTATATACATTGACGATGTGCTTGAAGGCCTTGTTGCCTATCTCCTCTGCATAGGTCAATTGTTTGTAGAGTTGTTGTGCAACCTCGTCGACCTGCTCCAATTTGCTCTCGTCATTTGAGTCATGAACAATGATGATGTCTAACTGTTGACCTTTAATCTCTGATGATGATGATGATTCCTTATTTGATTGTTGTTGTTTATAATGATTGATCAAAGAGTTTATAACAGGTTTGATGTAAGGATTGTTGGCTATCTTGTTCTGTTTGTTCCTATATTGTAGTAAACTGTAGCCAATGTATAATGAAGATGAGACTAGCAGTACAGATGGCAGTGTGACTGCTCTTCCAAGTCTAAGTAGTGTATCTCCCATTCTTATATATATATATTTATGTTGTACAACCTCAATGATGTATTCAAACAGTCATTCATTCGTGCATCTCTTTTCAAGTGCAGAAGGTTGGCAAAGATCTGATTCATTCCGAATTAGGACATACTTCAAGACACACAATGACACATAATGGATGAACAGATTCATTGACCAAATGGTGACATACTTGGAAACAATGATAACATCCATGTTACTATCAACTAAACAGTTGGTTGTTCAAAGTCAGTCAACAACAACAAACAACAATAGAGAGCAAGGTGTTTGGTATATACAATGGCCACCAATTGGATTGACAAAGAGAGGCCAAGTGATGCCATTATATTGGAGAGTTTGAAGAGGTCTGGCAAACTGAATTTATCCGCTCCAAGTGCTGGTGTCACATCAACCTCACCTATCTTGGATGCTGCTGATGATACTGCAGAGGACATCCAAGATGCTGACCAAGAGTATCCTACACAGAATGTATGTTTATAGAAATTGAGACATACAGAGAGCATTAATGTTCTGGAACTAACTCTATATGAAGAATATACTATCATTGATTTACTTCAAATCTAGGATTGGTATTGCCTACTATGATACCAACCTGTCAATTCTATATGTCAGTGAGACGTGGGAGGATGACAACTTCTGTTGTCTAAAGATGGGTATGTTGTATCGTGCATACCTTACATTGATGACACTCCTTATACTAATTATATTGAATAGTGATACAACAGATCAATCCAAGAACATTGATTATACCATCAAGGATGCCAGAGAAGTTTGTTGAGTGTATACAGAAGTGCCAGTCCAACTCCACCTCCACTCACTTCTCAAAGTCAAGTGACTTTACCTATGATGTGGGACTCAACAAATTGGTAAACATGAAGCTTCCAGTCAGAATGGACTACAAGGACAAGTTGTCATATCTACAGAGAACACTTGATTTCGAAAAGAAGGAGATGGTATGGTTGTTGTGACAATATCAATGATCACCTGTTCATTTACCAACTCCAAATCACATTAGATGAAGGCTGTGGGTGGACTATTGAGCTATCTCTCCAAATACCTAGAGTTGGATGACTTTGAAACACTAGAGAACTTCCAAGTCAACGAGATCATATCATTCTCTTTGTATGTCCTTGTCATCTACTTTTATACTGTACTTACCTAACAACCTAATTCATTCATTTAGTGAGGGGTTCCTAAACATTGACTTGAACTCACTATATTCTCTCCAGATATTCGCCAACGAGAAGTAAGTATTACTGCTCCATTATTACTCCAATTACCATTAACTCACAAATTCCCAACTAAAGGCACCCAAGCTGCTACACAGTTGGAAACTCCAAAGAAGGTCTATCACTGTTTGGAATCATCAACAGAACCAAATCAATCATTGGAAAGAGGAAGCTTACATCATGGTTCATGAGACCACCCAGGACTCGTGATGTGATTGAAGAGAGACAATCAATCATCTCTTACCTGATTCAGAAGGAGAATAGTCATCTTGTCACTGAGATCCAACAGTGTCTAGCAAACATCAAGGACCTACATATGATCCTGAATAGACTCAAGTAAGTAATACTTGGAGTTTATATTGATTCACAGAATACTAAACAAGTTATCCTAGCCTATCACAATATCCATCAAACTACATATTACGAATATATAGTGTAAGTAATGTAAACAAACACAACAACATCCCAAACTAATCATCAACCTATAAAGACATTGAACTACTTTTATAGGATGGTAACACTATTAGAATCTCACAGTGATAGTGGCGTTGAATACTTCTCAAAGGTTAGGGCTACACTACCAACTTCAATGTATGGGAGCTCCCAGTTACTAACCTGTTGCTAACCTTGTTTTTCTTATTAGTCATATACACTCTCCACAGAGGAGGTAGTCAACATTTACAACATCATCGAACAAACATTCGAATTGGATCGATTCGAGAACAACAAACTACAGATCAAACATGGTGTAGATGAACAACTAGACCAATTGAAGGATATATTCTCCAACATGGGTGCTACTCTGGTATGTCAAACAGGTTCGTCGATGTGACACATGACTAACCACTCCAACTCGAACAGACCAAATGTGGAGAGGAGGAAAAGACCAAGTTTATCAAATACTCTTGGATCACTACCTTCCACTTTGTCTACTATCCTCAACTGGGTTGTTTGATATGTATTCCAATCAGCAATGATTTACCATTGGCCAAACAGAGAGATATCAATGGTCTCAAGTTTATGGTAATATGTCAATTGATACAAAGACCAAGACAATATCTATTGATGTTAACACGTATCATTTTAGTTTCAAACATCAGAATACCTATACTATCAGAATGAGAAGACTGTGGAGTTGGACAATCACTTTGGAGACATCCACAATGATATATTGGACATTGAATCGAGAATAGAGAGAAGGATCGTAGATGAGATATTGGCCAACATCAATCCATTCGTTACAATCTGCAACTATTGTGCCGAACTGGATGCACTTCAATCACTTGCGATTGCGTCAAGAGAGTTGGGATTTACCAAACCAACCATCAACTCTGACAATGTCATTGAGATTCTCAATGGAAGACACCCGCTACAAGAGATGTGTGTCCCAACATTCATACCAAACAACTGTTCAATGACGGGTAGGTCAATGAGTCAATCATATTTATTATTGATCACTAACCTCATGCTTGTCACAGATACTAGACCTATGATGGTCATTACAGGTCCAAACCAGAGTGGCAAATCAATATACTTGAAGCAAGTGGCATTGATCGTATTCCTTGCACACTTGGGTTGCTTTGTCCCAGCAGGTAACTCTATCCACCAGGTATAGATATCAATGATTACTAATATTACCATACTTCATAGAGCGAGCCAACATTAGTCTTTGTGATAGAATATTCACAAGAGTATCATCAAGAGAGAGCAACTCAATATCAGAGTCATCATTCATGGTAACTACCTATAATGGCTCCCTATAATATTATCAGTTATCTAATATCCTAGCCTACAATTTATAGATTGATTGCAAACAAATAGCCCAGATGACAAACTTCTCCACTCCAAACTCACTACTCATTATCGATGGTATGATTCAATCCACTCCCTTATATCCCTTGTAAACCATCATATCTAACAGTACCAATCAATCCTATGATGATCAAACAATAGAGTATGGAAAGGGTACTACACCTCAAGATGGAATATCATTGTTGTGTGGATTGATAATGTTCCTCATTCGTAGAGACAGACCGCCTCGTACCTTGCTCTGTACACACTTTTATGAGATATTCAATCTGCTCACGGATCGATACAGTGATCGAATCTCATTCAACTCCATGGAGTTCCTCATCAGTGAATCAGATCGCAAGGATACATTGCAGCTGAACATTCAACACTTTGTTCCATTGTATAGAGTCAAGGAGGCAAGGTCATTCACCAGCTTTGGACTGTCATGTGCCCTCAACGCTGGTGTCCCAGAAGATGTACTTCGTCGCGCACAAGAGATCATTGAGCATCAAAAAGAGCACAAGAGAATAGATTGTCTACAGCTATCATCGTACAATGGAACACTGGCCTCACTTGACAAGAAGACCTTGGAGAGATACAACAGTATCATTGAGGCATTCTTTAGTGCATTGACATCGGATTCGATTGGTCGTCTACTCAGAATGGTCAAGTGATTGATTGGTGTGTCCAATAAAGAAGGACCAACTTGTGTATGCAGACCTCTGATATCAGTCCTCGAGATGTATTGATTGTTCTGTCCAATTTATTGTTGAGCGAATGGATTCGACTGTGACTTTGCTGCAGGTGGCTTGGTGCCCAAGATCAGCTGGAGATTTGGTCTGACAAACATTGAGCAAAGAACATAGAGGAAGGTCATAGCACAGTCTGTTGGGTCATTGCCAGGCAGGTTCCTGTGACTGATGTTCTGAATGAATCCAATGGGCTCAAAGGGTAATTTACAGACTACCTTTCCGTCGAAGCTATGATGTGATGAATGTCAGTGACTGACTCCGAGTACCCGCATGATCACTGGAACTTACACAGTATTCAAATAACTGAACAATGCAATCATTGACACACCGACGGCAAACATTGACTTCATGTTTGACATTGAGAGATCCCTGTTGGCAGTCTTGAGAGACTCCTCAATCTTCTCGGCCTTTCTATCCTTTGCTTTAGACTTGATCTTTAAGGTTGACTCTGAAGCCTCCTCCTCTTTGAGTTTCTCAAGCTGAGACTGCATTTTGTCGATGTTAGCCTTTAGTGTCTTATAAGAGTCTGTTCTATATATGAGTAGCCATGAAATGCCTATTGTTGTAGTTGTTGTTGTTGTTGTCGTTGTTGTTGACGATCAAGTTTGATTAGCATCACAAGTCAATATGTCATCTGATTCGACTGAACTTGATTATCATACCCTCTGAAAGCAAAGCGCTTGCCAGTGAAATAGCAACTATATATGCTATGTCGAACAACATTCTATCTATATGTCAATCTTGTATATCTTTATCTACAAACTTCTTAACAATGTTTATGTCACACGACAATGCTTGACCCCTACATTCGAAGTTCAAAAACTACAACCTGTTGATTGCTTGTTATTGATGAACTCCTCCAAGAACAATAAATCGTGTAATCAATTCGAAACGACCTTCTATAATGGAAGCTTTGAGGTGATACTTGAGAAGTATAGGCTCATTGTTCAATGTGTTATAAAAGAACGATTCAATTATCGATCATCCAATTTCGACGACCAGTATTATCCACATTTCGTCTATAACGGGCCTCCAATGCCAGTCAAACTCCTAGAGTTAGCGAGAGGGATATTACCAATCAAACTTGTCTCGATTGTTTCAGCAACGGATACAGCAACAGTCTCAGAGATACACACACTACCCTTAGTCATCCAAAAGAAAATTATCGCGTTCCTCCTCTGTTATCAACAGCCGTGTCACCCCGCATTCTCCATTCAGTCTCATTGGTTTGCCGTCGATGGTTTCATATGATCTCCAAGGATCTCAACATCAACATTACCATCACCGCTCCGCATCGGTGGGCCTTCCTTCTGTCAGTTATTCGGGGACAAATGCTCCTGCGTAGAATCAACCTTCTTAGCATTGAGATGAATTTTCATCCTTTAACAGACTATATTAAGACCGCACCATCTGAATTATTTATTCTCGATAGATTCTTTGAGGCCCTCGCTACCGACCAGATACACGTCAGGCATCTCATATTTCAAGCATACTCTCAATTGGATCCCACAGAGCATCTCTCAGTTCTCTCATTTCCTTATCTGCAGTCACTCCAACTGACATGTGTCCGTTTCAATGCTGGACCCATCATTAAGCGACTATCCACCCTCACATCCATCACGTTGTGGATCGACGACACGTATTGGATAGATGACTTTCTGTCCCCAATCTGCAATCTCCTCAGAGACAATCCAACACTGACCTCTTACTCTATTATGCGTGTATGCATCTCCTCTGGAGCCATTCGTGATTGTGATGATGTGTGCATTGCTGCACTTCAAAGCCACACTGTCCAAGAATTAAGTCTGAATATCCCCACTACCAACTCCAGATCATTCAACAAACTACTTACAAATCACCCGTCTCTCACCAAGTTGGACATTCCATTTGCATTCTCACCAAGGCAATTTGATACAAGCATCAGTGACGGAGTCAACCTCGGGAAGATATCACCGTCAATTAGGCATCTTCGTCTTGCTGTCATGTCGAGAACGAGTACGATCACCAATACCCGCTGATAAAAGCCAGAACGCACACATGCATTTCGTTCACTGATCAACTTTCAAAGCTGCCCCTCATGTCACGTTTGACCTCACTGACTTTGGACTCACTACTTGGCATAGTAGACGCCAACTTTTTCAGGTCAATGTTCAACAATCTTACACAGGCTGGCATATGTACACTAGAGTCACTCTCGCTCGTTAAATCCATCGACCATACATTAATCGAGAGCCTTGCCGAGATGCTGGCTTCCAATCGCACCTACATCAAGTTTTTATTTCTTTGCCGAAATCAACTTGATGGTTTGGAGGTCACAACAGCAAAACACTTCTATGGCGCCCTATGTCGGAACAGAACATTGAGCACCTTGGAGTTGACCATGGACTACTTTGGCGATGTCCACGAGAAAATATTGAAACTGGATCACATATGTGTTTCCTACTCTCGTCATGGCTGATTCTTTATTGTAAGGATATTAATTTATATATATATATATATATATAAATCAAATAAATGTTATGGACATGGACTCTATGTCACAGCTCATACCTCTCCATAATATTCAATCAATTTGTCAGTTGGACGTGTTCACAGCAATTGAAACTGGATTCTGAACAAATTCAAGACTTTTATAGGTATTGCTTGATGTCAGGGACCTATAAACAAAATATATATATTCATGTACATTTATTTAATTTAATCCTGTCTATTTATTCAATCTATCATCACTCGCTTAATCCATAGATATTATGATTTATTTAGTGAGTGAGTGAATGATAACAGCAACTAGAAGAATGAATAAATGAATGTATGAATGAATAAATGATGCAGTAACTTACTTCTATCAATAATAATAATCATAGGGGAACAGAAACATCCAATCATGACCAATTTTGCTGTACTTATTTATTTGTAAAGAAGTTGATTGGAATAGCTCCTTCGACAATCTTATCAACTTTATCAAATACCACACCATCTGGGTCAATGGCAAATGCCTTGGTAATAGTTGGCTGTATCCTAATAATCCAAAGATGACTTTTGTTGTGACAAATATGTTAGTATGTTGTTGTTGTGTTGTAAGATTGATTATAACATACTTGGCTTGTGATCTTTGCTCTAGGAACCATGGGAGGTCACTAGTTTTACTTGGCTTGGAGCGTGAACCAATTCCAAATGCTCCATCTCCAACATATATTGTTCCCAAAGGATCAACCTCGCCACCTCGCAGTGGTTTTGATCGTTTGAACATGTGCTCATGATTCTCGAATGACATTGACACATTGTATCTGTCAAATAATGGTACCATGCTAGCTTGACCCAGTGCCGGTATTTTTTCGCCAAGTCCCTGCCCGCCAGCAGGGTAGATTGGTGAATGGTACAGAGTCAGCCTGTTGAGATAGCGGTCGGCACCAAGTGAGTCCCACTTGGACTGCAACCATTGAGTTTGCTCCGCCCAAGTGGACACGACACAACTGTCAAGTACAGACAGTGAGGAGTAGTTGCCGAGCACATGGAAATGATAAGTGGAGCGATCTCTTGGTTGTTGTTTGAATGCATCCTCGCGACTGAATGCTGCATAGGCCAGGTAGAAAGGAACATCATCGGATGATTGGAAGAAGCCACCTGCTTCATGATTACCAATGGCGAACACATAGGGGATCATCTGTCCAAAGCCTGTTGAGTTGCTGTAGTATCGTCCAAGGAATGCCAGTTTCTCATCCCATCGCTGATAGCATGCATTGATACCCTCGGCGTATGCAATGTCACCTCCAACAATGACAAAGTGAGGCATTAGATAGTCGAATGAGTGAAAGGCCAGATCGTTGGAGTCCTTGTTGAGCTGAATATCGCCTCCTACAATGAACCTGACCTCTGACTCGTCGTCGGGGAGCGTGGAGAATATGGATTGTGGTGCACATATTGAGCCATTGTTGTAGCATACATCCAGAAAATATGTTGTGTTCGGAGACAGACCATCAATGAAGTGGGTCGATATCCATCTAGACTCCTCCTTGATGATCTTTGACATTGATAGAAGTGAAGACCTCTCGATTACACGTACGTCCCCGGTCGTGTTTAGGCTCACCCGCACCAATGGGTTGTCTGGATAGTCTCTGGTGTGATACTGTAGGATCATCGAGTGTGCTCCATCCTCTGGCAGTGTCAGATAGCTGAAGCAGATTGTACCATGCTTGCAAGAGGTTCCTCGAGAGAAGCGCACTGAAACCGACATTGGATGTGAACACACGCAGATCCTGTCCAATGCCAGAGGCATTATGATGGCGAATATGACTATGAGCAACGCTAGGAATATAGATGTCTTTGGTGATGTTTTGATATCATCCTTGATCGTACCCGACAGTGATCGCCACCAAGTGAGTGATGCCAATTTGCGAAGTGATGCCAGTAGCGAGGTTGGTCGACCATTCCAGTCCATGTGATGAATGGTGCCATCTCCACTGAGGTTCAGAGGAATCCTATCGTGTTCGGACTCTACGCCTCGGACGCCAGGCATTGGCTCGAACAGTTCCACACCTTCACTGGCTAGATTGACATGGGCATTGTGCCGTGTGGCCAGTCGCCGCAGATGTATCATCGATGCTACCAACAGGTATATAAACAGTATAATTACAATGGGAGCAACAATGATATATTGCCATGATGAAAATGCAGCCACTGCAAATGTGAGCGCCAGTAGACAGGCAGCCTTGACAACGTCAAAGAAGTAGTGTTTCTTGCTGTTGGGCAGTAGTCTACGGGGTGAATAGAACAGGAATCTAACAAAGAACAAAAAGAGACATGCAAATAGTGGCGGTATTGACATGATCATAAAGCCTTTCTCTTTATAAGTTAGATAGACCATTGTATTGTTGTTGTTGATTATATTGGGTCTTTGTATTGTTATCTGTTGAGTTGTATGATTGTGATGTGAGGTAGGTCTAGGGCACTATCATAATAATAGAGTAAGTGATGATGATGATGATGTGAAGTTGATGTGATCCGTAGTGCTAAGGTTGATTGGGTGAGTCAGTGTTGTGTTTGTGTGTGTATGTGTGTGTGAATGAGGGGAACATTAGAAGAGTTGATGACGATGGTGGTGTGATTCGTGTCGGGTCTAGACGCTCAAAGCATCACCAAAAAACTTTGAACGTTGTCCTACGGATAACTTGGACCGACACGAATTAGAATGGGTCAGAATCGTTTTCCCAGGCAGTCGAGACATGACTTGTTATTTAGAGAGAAAAGTGAAATTGAATAGAACCGACTTAGGAGTGGATGTTGGGAGAGGTGATTGATGGGTCGTTGGGTAATTTATTTGTGGTAAGGGAGGAGGAGGACAACAGACTTGTCTGTGTGGTGATGTGTAGTGAATGAATGAATGAATGACCCAACTAGGTGGATAGATACTTTGAGGGTTTACTCTTCGGCAGGTTGCTCCTGGAACTCCTCGTCGTCACCTGGCTCGTCGTTGGTGAACTCGTTGTACTGCTGGTACTCGTAGACCAGATCGTTCATGTTGCTCTCGGCCTCAGTGAACTCGAGCTCCTCCATACCCTCGAGGGTGTACCAATGAAGGAAAGCCTTGCGCTTGAACATAGCGGTGAAATGATTCGACACTCTCTTGAAGAGATCTTGGATGGCGGTGGAGTTACCAATGAAGGTGACAGACATTGGCAGTCCGTGTGGTGGGACGTCACAGATAGAGGACTTGATGTTGTTGGGGATCCACTCAACAAAGTATGATGAGTTCTTTGATTGGACAGAAAGCCTAAGATGAAGTAGTAGAGTAGTGTTGATGTTAGATATACACATGTGGTATAGTAGTGATGTTGTGATCATTGACTTACATTTGCTCATCGACCTCCTTAGTGTAGAGCTTTCCTCTGAACAGAGCGGAAGCAGTCAGGTATTTTCCGTTACGTGGGTCAGAAGCAGCCATCATGTTCTTGGTGTCAAACATCTGGGTGGTCAACTCTGGCACAGAGATACGCTTGTAGGACTCGTTGCCCTTGGCGTACAATGGAGCGAAACCAACGAGGAAGAAATGGAGACGTGGGAATGGGATCAAATTTACAGCCAACTTTCTAAGATCACTGTTAAGCTATATATTGAGAAGTAGGTTTAAAAGGTTAGTAAATGTACTAGATTGATGAAAGGATATGTTAACATATACATACCTGACCTGGGAAACGGAGGCAACAGGTGATACCACTCATGACTGAGGAGATGAGATGGTTCAGATCTCCATATGTTGGGTTGGCGAGCTTAAGGGTACGGAAACAGATGTCGTGCAGAGCCTCGTTATCAATACACATGACCTCATCGGCATTCTCAACCAGCTGGTGGACAGAGAGGGTGGCATTGTATGGCTCGGTGACGGCGAGCGACACCTTTGGCGATGGGACGACGGAGAAGGTACACATCATACGGTCTGGGTAGTCCTCACGAATACGGGAGATGAGCAAGGTACCCATACCGGATCCCGTACCACCACCAATTGAGTGAGTGACCTGGAAACCTTGGAGGCAGTCACAGCCCTCAGCCTCACGACGGACGACGTCCAGAACAGACTCAACGAGCTCAACACCCTCAGTGTAATGACCCTTGGCCCAGTTGTTACCTGTATTCATTTAACATTTAGATTGTACAATGTTAGTAGCTGTTTCATTCATTCTGCTGTGTCACTGTGATCTTTATCCATCCATCATGTACAATCGTCTACGATACATTACCAGCACCAGATTGACCATTGATAAAGTTGTCTGGTCTGAAGAGCTGACCGTTTGGACCAGAACGGATGGTGTCCATGGTACCTGGCTCGAGATCGACGAGGACAGCACGTGGAACGTACTTCTTGTCGCGGGCCTCATTGTAGTATACGTTGATTCTCTCGAGCTGGAGCTTTGAGAGCTTCTCGTCTCCAGAGGACTTGTGAGAGCCATCAGCCTGAATGCCGTGCTCCTCAGAGATGACCTCCCAGAACTTGTTACCGATCTGGTTACCACACTGTCCGACTTGCAAATGAACAATCTCTCTCATTCTGTTGTTGTTTGTTGTTTGTGTTGTAGTTATTGACTTTTAATCAACAATTAAAGTATATATATAATAATGTAACAAGTTTGTTTGAATAGTGATTTACAATGGAGATAGTGTTGCAATGTGTGTGTCGACTGGTGAGAGAGAGAGAGAATGCCAGCTGGGTCAGCGAAGGTGTGTCTCTGTAAGCCAAAGATTAGTGTGAACTAACACACTCTGCTCAATTAAATCAAATTTAAATCCAAAAAAAAAGTTGAAAGAAAATCAGTCAGTGTGTCATTGTTCGAATAATGACTGTGTGTCACACTAATTTTATTTATTATTCTATTTTTATTTTGGCGCCAAAAACATGATTGATCAATCACATTGCAATCTCATCTATTGCACACACTGCAAACAAATAAATGCGACGACGTAGTCGTGTTGTTGAACTTGAACAACATCAACAACAATTAAAGAGCGCGCGCCATACCGATTCAAATGGTGAATGTAAATGTCGTTAGTTGATCATTATTACAACAACCATCTTGATTAATCAAACACATAATACATACATACACATATACATCACACATACATTGTCCAATCTGGACATCACTCACATACATCCAGATCATAAATCTAATTCCAAGAATACCATCTCTTGTCCAACAACAACAACATCTCAACTATTTTTTTTTAATTAATTTTCAAGAGACACCAACAAGAAACAAGTTATATTAAATATAGAGATAATATATATAGTAATAATAATAATGGCAGGAAGAATAATGCCCGACCAAATGGCTTTCGAGGAACCAGTGATGGCTCTAAAGAAACAAAAGAGGGAGTGTTCACCACCTAGTCCAATGCGAACCCCACCTCGTGAGATCGATATATCTTACTTCCAAACATCACCTTCAACACCTTTGGTCTGTCCAAAGGCTCCAACAAAGACTCCACTGCGTTCACCCATAAACACAAAGGGAACATTCCCAGTTAATCAACAACTACCACCACCAACAACTACTGCAACTATCAATAACAATAATAATAATAATAATATAATAACCACTTTCACAGCATCTACAAACTCACGCCCTGATGGATCGGGTGCAGCTGCCACAGCGGCAGATAGCAGCAACTTTCATGGTATCCACTTCTTGACACAGAGGAAACGAGCAAAGTCCTCAAGCACACACTTTGAGTACCTGGCCAAGCTGGGAGAGGGCTGCTTTGGTGAAGTGTGGAAGGCTCGGAGCGTGCTGAACGATCACTTCTACGCCATCAAAAAGTCAAAGAAGCCCATCTGGGAGACCAACGAACGAAGCCACCATCTGCAAGAGATCGAGAAGGGTATGCGTCTTGGCACTCACTCCAACATCGTGTCGGTGATTGCCGCGTGGGAGGAGGGCGGTCATCTCTACATCCAGATGGAGTTGTGCGAACATGGCAACCTAAAGAGCAAGCTTACTCAGTGCGACGGCGCTGGCATTGATGAGCAACTGCTATGGACATACATTGCAGACATCTCACGCGGATTGGAACACGTGCACTCCAATGGCATCATTCATTTGGACATCAAGCCAGAGAACCTACTATTTTCCAACGATGGATCACTCAAGATCTGCGACTTTGGTGTCAGTGTGGCCAATGGCGACACAGAGGGCGACCAGGTCTACATGGCACCCGAGCTCTTGGACGACGTCCACACACAGGCGGCAGACATATTTAGCTTTGGCATCACCATCTACGAATGTATCACCAACTACGAACTGCCCACTCAGGGCCAGTGGTGGAGGAACCTGCGAGAGGGCAGGATACCGTTCCCAGATCATTTGACCATATCACATGAGTTGAAGTCCTTGATCACATCAATGATGGATCCAGATCCTCTCAATCGAGTTAGCATCACTCGTATCCTAGAGATACCAAGAGTCAGGGAGATTGTTGAGTTCAAAAAGGTAAGCAGTAACATATTATTTAAAATTAGCAACAACATAACCAACTAACAAACTTACAAACATTACATTCATACATCAATAGAAACAAGAACAACCTCTTACCAAATTCAAACTACAGAGGAGACTCTTCTAGTCTGGAGACATGTCTCCTACTTCTACACGCCTGTGGTCTCTTTCCATTTGTGCCAAAGACGCACAATATAATGAGAGCAAGGCATTCCACGGTGTACCAATGCAGCACCATACATCCAACCTCAGACCGGTTTGGTGATGGAGTATTGCTGTAAAAGGTTATCACAATAGTGATTTGTTTTGTATATATATTAAATAATTTTTAAAAATTATTATTATTATTGTCCAGTTAGTTCAAGTCGTTGGGTATTTAATTTCATTTCGATTTTTCAAATTAATTTGGAAGTTCACTCATATGGTAGGGTGATCGATGCTTTCATTCATTCATTCATTCATTCATTCATTCATTCATTCATTCAATGATATTGGATGTTTCAAGTGAGGTAATGGATAATAGATATTGATTGAAATAGCTTTGCTTTACGGGCACTGTTTATTATCTATTGTAGCACTTGTGACACCAGTTGAGTATTGTAGTAGGATCGCTAGAATACTTGTTGAACGCGTTTTTGATTGTGTCGAGGAAGGATGCAGATCATGGCCATCAACGAGAAGGACTCCCTGAAGGACTCTCTGTTGACGCGAATGGGTTGCACTCTGCCTCTAGGGGCCAACAACTTTCTCTTCCAACACTCTATTATTCGACATTGAACAAACATTAGCGACAGCATAATAGTGCAGTGTTTGTTTGAGTTGTAAGACTTACTCTTGGACTCAAAGGTAGATTCATCAAGCCAGTAAACAGAATCAAGATCGACTTGGCTGATCCAATGACAGAAGTAGACATATCTCTCTAGGTTCTCCAAGGTGAACTTCTGATGCTGGACTGTGATTGGCACCTTCCACGAGAACATCAGGTGTTCTGAGATGACATTTCGTATGTATGATCTGCTGAACTGGATGTCCTCGACCTGAGTGTTGACATGGTCAACTATCTCTTTGAGACTCTCTGGTTGCGCCTCGAGTATGTATCTATGGAGGAAATCCTTCAGCTGCTCAAACCTGACATCATCAAGCAGAGAGTATCGTTTTCCACCATGAAGAAGAGGATGATACGTTCCTTGAGCACTCAATTTCTTGCGGTGATAGTAGATCGACGACTTTGACTGGCGAGTGAGTGATGGGTTGACTTGTATAATATTATTCTGAATAGTGAATGCTGCGGCAACTCCATGTGTGTTTGAGTAAAGTGCTGTAAGCAACTTTGATCGTAGTCTCTGAAGATAATGATGGTGTCCACTTCGAGAGCCTTTGAACTGCTTTCTCATTCTAGTCCTCTCTATTCTTTGTCTATCCATGTCTTGTGTGTGTTAGTAAATGTTGTTGTGAATCAAATGATTCTCACTTCCAGATGGCCAAGACGGTCTTAAATGACAAGTAAGTATGTATGATTGACCTTGGACTTTGACACTTTAACTGACATGGTGGTCACAGATCACAGATGATTGTTCTCGACACTCGAAAAGCACCAATCAGTCTCGATGAGGAGCCCGCTCGTCCTGTCAAGAGGGCCAGAAAAGAAGGGCCCCTCGATCTCAATCAGTCAGACTACACCACTGAGGAGCTGAGTTTCCACAAACTCCAGGAGGTTGTGGAGTATTATGAGCACATCGCGCAAATAATGCGCTTCCACATCGAGGAGCATCGCATCGGACTGACACGGCTTGACACGTACCTCCAGATGCTCCAGAGACAAGAGCTTGCTCCCTACATCAGGAAAGACTCCAGTGATACATCCAAATCGGACGAATAAACAATGAGCAAGTGTATTTGCCAATTACTATTATCTGTACAAGCTACCTGACTGACTGCATGATGCTGTGTTTTGCAGTGAACTTCCAAATTAATTATGAAAAATTCCAAATAATCGAAATGAATTGAATTACCCAACGACTTGCACAAACTGGACAATACTTTGTTTTGTTTTTCAAACCCACCCATTCTTGTTGTTTGTGTGTTTGATCAAGAAAACGAACGAGTCGAACTTTCAATCAAACACGAAGTGTTGTTTTAATTCATCTACCTACCTACAATATATATATAAACATATAACAAAGAATAATCAATGAATTTAATAGGAGGTGGTTTAGGATGGGATACAGTGAAGCCTGCACTCTCACAGGACACACTGAATACATTGGATAGACTTGGATTCAAGAGCATGACACCTGTCCAATCTGCATCCATTCCATTGTTCCTTACCAACAAGGATGTGCTGGTGGAGGCTTGCACAGGCTCAGGCAAGACACTCGCCTTTGTCATCCCCATCGTCGAGACTCTTCGAAAGAGAGATACATCATTGTTACTCAAGAAGACTGACATTCTATCAATCGTTATATCACCAACAAGGTATGTTTGTTTAGAAGTAGTCATCACTGCTCAAGTAGTAACTAACATTATCATTGTAATATATATGTAGAGAGTTGGCAACACAAACATATAACCTCCTTCAACAGTTTATTAATCCTCAGTTGGAGGAGGAGACAGCACAAGATGGTACAACAGCTGATGAGAAAAAGCCGGTAACAGTGCCAACTACACTGTCAACAACAGGAACTTCACCACTGGGCGATCTATCATCTTTACTTCTTATTGGTGGCACAGACATCTATGAGGACATTCAACGATTCACAAGAGAGGGCGGTAACATACTTATTGGCACACCTGGTCGTCTGGACGAGTTCATGAGCAGAATAGACAAGGGTCAACTAAAGACCAAGCAGTTTGAGGTACTGATCATGGATGAGGCCGATCGTCTATTGGACATGGGTTTCATGTTGTCGATCAACTCAATCCTCTCCAAGCTACCAAAGCAACGTCGTACTGGTCTATTCTCGGCAACACAGACGAGTGATGTCAAGGAGCTGGCGCGAACTGGAATGCGTAACCCAGTAAAGGTGTCGATCACTGTGATGCAAAAGGACACGATGGAGGTTCAATCGATCCCTTCGTCACTTAACAACTATGTGATGTTTGTTACGCTGGAGGACAAGTTCAACCAGCTCATCCAATTCCTCAGCACCAATATCAATCGTCTCAAGATCATTGTCTACTTCTTGACATGTGCCGATGTCGACTACTACTACAAGGTGGCCAAGCAGCTCAAGTGTTTGCAGGGTCGCGACATCTTCTCCCTACACGGCAAGGCGCCACACGAGAAGCGTCAGGTGGTGTTTGAGAAGTACTCCAAGTGTCAGAGCGGCGCATTGTTCTGTACCGATCTGGCGTCACGAGGACTGGACATCCCAAACATTGACTGGGTGCTGCAGTACGATGCACCACAGGACCCCAAGGCTTATGTACATCGCATTGGACGTACGGCACGCATGGGCAGAGATGGAAATGCTCTTATATTTATGACGCGCGAGGAAGACACATATATCGAGTTCAACAAGCTACGCAAGGTACCCATGACAGAGATGACATGCGAGCCAACCACACAGGACTACATGGCAGAGATGAAGAAGATTGTCATGACAGACAGAGACACAATGCTGAAAGGTACAGTGGCCTATGTGTCGCATGTACGTGCCTACAAGGAACATCAGTGCTCATACGTCTTTGTTATGCATCGTCTAAACCTGTTCAGTTTGGCCACAGGCTATGCCCTGCTGCGATTGCCAGCCATGCCAGAGTTGAAGAACAATCCAACAGAGTGGAGCAGTGGTGTGACGTTTGAGCAGATCGAGAGGATACCATTCAAGGAGAAGAAGAGAGAGAAACATAGGAGAGCAAAAATGGCTGTAGAGAAGGATGAGAGAGAGTATGTAGTAATATTGGAATGATATGGCACATACTAGATCCACTAATACCAATGTTACCAACCACTTCAGGACAAAGAAACAGGAGAGAATCGATCAAAAGAAGGAACAATACGAACATCAACAACAAAGACAACAGATACAACAACAAAAGATTGCTGCTCAAAAAGAGAAGAACAACGTTGAGGATGATGAAGATGATGAGCAAGAGATAACGGTTGGCAGAGGAAAGGGAAAGAGTGTTCTGACAAAGAGAGATAGAGATGACATACAGGCAAGGAAGGACCAAGATGAAATTAATGAGGACACAAGGATGGCCAAGAAAAAGAAGAGTGGAAGGATATCAAAGAGAGCAATGGATAACTTTGACGATGATTTAGAGAAGCAAATAGAGGAGGAACTAAGAGAAAAGAGGGAGGCACAGGCTGCTGAGCGTGAGGAAAAGGCTCAAAAGGCATTGGCATCTTCAACAACTACATCACCATCATCATCATCCACTGCATCATCCATTGCTGTCTCTGCACCTTCAAAGTCATTTTCAGCAGGAACCAACAACAAGTTCAACAAATCTAAATCGACAGACACCAAGAAGAAGAACAACAAGAGACAACAACAAGGACCAAGACAAAAGAAGGTATCAAGAAGGAATTAAATCACTATTTCTGTTGTCGTTGTTGGCATTACTTTTGGATAGTATGGTATTAGTTGTTTATTCACTGTTGAATGACTTGAAGATGTTGAATCCTTCGTAGGCAGTGGTGATGGCCACGTGAGGGATCTGAGGATGCCAGTGCACCTCCTTAACCTCATGCTGACCTTGATGAACAAAGAACAGTTGTGGTGGTACCTGGTAGTCGTCGTCTGTGCCATTGGTCTTTTCCACACCTTCAAACTCCTCTGTGTCCTCCTCCAATGAGAAGTCCCAAATAGTGACCTGGTTATCGCTGGATGACACGATGACCTGTGACTCGTCGAATGGATTCCATTCCACAGAGGTGATGGGTCCAGTGTGATAGTTAAAGTTGGAGACGGGCGAGTCATTCTTGAAGTTACGTAGATCCCACACCTTGAATGTTCCGTCATCGCCACCAGACACCAGCAGGTAGGCCACCTTGCGGCTCCACGACACGACATTGACATCCGACTCATGGGCATGCACAGAGATGGCGGGTTTCTTGGCTCTAATGTCCCACACCTTGATGGTCTGATCACTGCTGCAACTGACAAACACATTCTCCTCACTTGGACTCCACTGCAGATCCTCGACGGATGCTTGATGACCCTTGAATGGTGTAGAGTCTGTCTGCCATGTGGCACCAGAGGCATTGGTGACATAGATCATGTTCTTGCAGTCACCAGAGGCCAGTCTACCAACCACGGTTGGTGACCAATCCAGTGAATAACCCTCATCAGAGTGAGAGGTAATCACATGGAGGGGTGATTGATTCTTGATTGGCTTGTTCTCGCCGTCCAACTCCTTCAAGTTGTTGTGAATGTTCCAAAGGAACACTTGTCTGCTGTCGGACCATGTTGCAATTATATTCGATTGTTGTTCCATTGCCTATTTAATAATTGAATGAATGATTAGATCGAGTGAACCTTATAAGGTAATAAGATAGATATACATACTCTTATTCTATTTACACAACCATTGTGATTGATATAGTTTGTTTGCAGCAATGCCTCACCGTCATTCTCCTCGTCAATGTCATCATCATCCTCATCGTCTGACATCTCGTCGTCCGAGTCTGCTTCGTCGTGCTTTGTCTTGTAAAGTGAGGACACCTTCATTACGAGCACCTTGTTGTTCTTTGCCTGGTCTGCTTGAGTTCCAGATACCATATACATTGTATGTGGATACTAAAGATTGAATTATATTAGTCCTCTATCTATCTATCTCTATCTATCCATCTTTTAATAATAACCTACCTTGTTTCTTTGTAGACCAAGAGTGTCTCTAAGAGGATGGAAGCTGAGACATGGCCACTCTACGGTCATGGTATGCATCATGTCGTAAGCAGAGCTGTCGTATGTTAGCTCCTCACCCTCTTGAATAGTGTCGACGCCAGGTCTCCAAACATTGAACTTTTGGTCCTTCTCGTCATCATCTTCTTCCTCCTCCTCGTCCTCAATCATCTCATTCTGATCTTGCTCGATGTCTTCGTCGTCGTTGTCATCAACGTTATCCTCTCCGTCATTGCCGGTGCTGTTATTGTCCTCCTCATCGTCATCAAAGACGATATCATCATGAGTTCTCTTTTTATCAGACATGTTGTTTATGTATTTGTTGTATATTATGTAATCTAAATCGACAAGTGATCAGAAATTATCGTTCGGTTTCTATGTATATTTATCAATTTTTGTAGCTTTATTCATTTTTGTATCACAAAGCCGAACGATTGTTCAGGAACTTCAGAAACAATCGTGAATAGTGAATTACCAATTAAGGAAATATCCTTAACACACACACACACAAACACACAAAACAGACAATGCAGATTCAATGTCAACTTCGATAGAACATAAAGAGTAGTAGTCATTGTCAATTGAGCTATTATTAGTTAGAGATAAATTACTATTATTATTCCACTTTAAATATCTTAAAACTGGATAGAAAAAAAAGGAAAATGGTCAAGGTTGGTTTACAATGTAATATTCATTGATCTATTTATTAATATATATGCCTACAATGTCTAGGAAACAGAATACTACAAAAGATTGGGTGTTGAACCAACATGTACTCCAGAGGAGTTGAAGAAAGCATACAGGAAGATGGCTATTAAATATCATCCAGACAAGAATCAAGGTAACAAAGAGGCTGAGGAGAAGGTATGATTGTTGTTCAATCAAAGAACTCATTTCATATTACTAAATGAATATATGTATACTTCTAGTTCAAAGAAATAAGTGAAGCCTATGATATCTTGAGTGATCCAGACAAGAGGAAGATGTATGATCAGTACGGTACCCAAGGTGTGAGGGAGGGTGGATTCGCACAACATTCTGCAGAGGACATCTTCTCCCAGTTCTTCAATATGGGAGGTTTCCAGAACATGGGCGACGATGAAGCTGCAGAGTTTGGAGGCTTCAGTGGTTTCTCAAACTTGTTTGGTAACAAGAGAGCTAGAGCAGCCAAGGGTGAGGACATTGTACATGAGTCAAATAGAACTCTGGAGGAGCTGTACAATGGAAAGTTGGTCAAGTTATCAATCAACAGAGACACTGTATGCAGAACTTGTAGTGGGTATGTAGTCATCTTGATAGTTATATGTACACAACCTAACCATATATGAGCAGTTCTGGTAGCAACAAGCCAGGTGTTACATCGACATGTCCGAAATGTAAAGGTAAAAAGGTGATCTATGTAACTCAACAGCGAGGACCAATGATGACACAGTCCCAAGCAAAGTGTCCAGAATGTCATGGCACTGGTGACAAGATTGCAGAGGCAGACAAGTGTAAGACCTGTCATGGAAAGAAGTTGGAGGTCACACAAAAGATTGTACAGGTACAAGTAGAGAAGGGATCAAGAGATGGACAAAAGATAGTGCTGGAGGGACAAGGTTCTGAAATGGTAAGTTTATTCCGTATACTCAAAGAAGGACCTTGATACTAATAGCAACAAAAAGCCTGGAGCAGCAGCTGGTGATGTTATAATAGTGATTAGAGAGAAACCTCATCATCTGTTCACAAGGAGAGGTGACGATTTGATGATGAAGAAGTCGATAAAGCTTTTGGACTCTTTGGTGGGTGCTTCATTCCTTGTTCCCTCAATCAGCGGCAAGAAGCTTTGGGTCAACATCAAGAAGGGAGAGTGCATCAAGCCTGGAGAGATCCGTGCCATTGTCGGTGAGGGAATGCCACACTACAAACGGGACACGCACAAGGGTAACCTCATCATTGAGTTTGATGTGGAATACCCTAGTCATCTCTCAGATGAAGCCATTCACAAATTGGAAAGCGTACTGCCCAAGTCATCAACTCCCACGGCCAACAAGAGTGAGTGCAAAGAGGTGTCCCTGAACAAGGTTAAACCAATGCACCATTCAGGAGGTGCCTATGACGAGGACTTTGATAGAGGTCAAATACCTCCAGGTGTCAATCCAGCAAACTGTCAACAACAATAGTAAAGAATCATCAAAAGAAAACATCCACTGTCCTCTGATGTGTTATTGAAATGATGATGTCTGGTCATCAGTCGTCGATCTCCTCCACGTCCTCCTTTACAAGATTAAAGAATGGAGGAGGCGAGGAAGAGATTGTTGAATGGTTAGGAGGTGGTATGGAATGTCGTTGGATCGTTGGTGAGATAGTTGGAGGTCTGACGATCATAGGAGGTGGTTGCAGGGAATTGCTAAATATACGGCTGTTCATAGACTTGCCTGGTGAAGTTGTTGTATGTGCTACTGATGTTGCTGTGGCAGTAGTGGTGGTTGTACTTGTGGTAGGTTGCCTATTCACAAATAGTGGCATGGTATGGAATACAGTACTACTGTTGTTGTTGTTGAAGTTGTTGTGATTGGTTGGTTGGACAAAGTTTAGATGAGGCTTTGGTCTATCAGAGGTGGTGATGGAGGGCTCTTTCTTCCTCTTGGCTTTGAGATCGTTTGTAGGTGCTTCCTCTTCATCATCATCCAAATCAGTAAAGTTTCCATATTGCTGTTGAGGTTGAGGTGGGAACAGAGATGGATCATCACCTATAAGATTAAACAATTGCTCGTCATCATCAACATCGATAACCCTAAAAGTGTACATGAATTGGTAAGTAATTTGTTATCTTCATCATCATCATTCATAACTACTTTACCTCAGATCAAGATGTTTGGTATGCAATATTTCTTCCTGTCCATCCAAGGTCTCTCCCAACACCTCTAGTTTGTTACATATGGTTGGCCATATTTTGTCATCCAGGGTATTCTTTCCAATGAGATAATGAATGTTGACCTCGTCCTTCTGACCAATTCGATGCACTCTGTCCTCTGCCTGTCTCAGCACACCAGGTGTCCAGTAGAGCTCGACAAAGACCACCAATGAAGATGCTGTGAGTGTCAATCCAGTGCCAGCTGCAGTGATACTCAATAGCGCCACTTGACATTTGTCACTGTTTTGAAAACGAAGAACATGTGATTGTCTGTTGGAGGGAGGAGTTGATCCATCTATTCTCATATATCCAGCATCCTAATATATAGGTATTGTTAATATAATTATTTGTTGTTGATTGATTGACTCTAGTCTTTAACAAACTTACTGTTGCTTGAATTGCCTTCTCAAGACCATCGAGGACCTCTGAGTGATGAGCAAAGATTAAGAACTTCTTCTTTTCCTTGATAAGCTTTGTGATGTAGTCCTGTGCTCCTGGCAACTTTGCCCTACCCGTCTCTTGATACAGTGACAGCATCTTTGAGCGTTCAGTGTCGACAAGTTTACCATTTGAGATCATTGATCGTTTGTGATTGGATGAGAATACCTCTTTGAGTGTACCCCTCATGTTCAGTGGTACATCGATCGTGATCTGCATCCTATGCTTTGGTGGTAACTCCTTGAGAACATTATCCTTCAACCTTCTTATCATTATACCTCTCTTTAGTTGGAGGAGGAGGAGGTAAGTTTAAGTGTTTGACTATATCCATGTGAGAGAGAGTGCCTTACCAATAATACATGAAGCTCTGGAAGATGTGAGTTGCCAGTATAATCCCAACCATAACGACCTTTGAATGCATTGCAGAATCGTTGTCCAAACTCGTTAATGTTGGCATATATAGGTGATTCCAGAGCAACCAATTGAGGATATAGTTCGATTGGACGTGAGAGTGCAGGTGTACCAGTGAGCAATATGCGTCTCTGTGCCATCTTGATCAGTCGGAGGACGAATGATGTTCTCTTGGCATTGACATTCTTGAGGTAGTGTGATTCATCGCAGATTATCACCTTGAACAATCGCTTGGACAGTTCATTGTCGTACAGTTTGCTGACCAGATCATATGAGACAATGTTGACAAAGCCATTTGCTTTTGAATCACCAGTCATGATAACATTGATGTTGCCAATTAGATTTGGGAACCATTTCTCCAACTCTTTGGACCATGTATATCTCAGTGAGGATGGGCATATAACTGGGAGAGTAGACAGAGTGAGCAAGGATGTGTGAATGGGTTGGGTAGATATAATAAGTAACTTACTGAGTATTGGCCACTCCTGATAGTAGTATGATGAAATTGCAAGTGCTTGGATGGTCTTACCCAGACCCATCTCATCGGCGATGAGACAAACTCCATGATGTTGTACTCCAAACACAACACCTTTGAATTGGAAGGGTAACAGACTGGCCAACAGATTGGAGGGGATGCGGTTGGGCTCAAATGCAACATTTAGTGATGGAGGCAAGAATGATGGAGAGGCATACCAAGGATTGACCAGGAATGACATAACCTCTCGAGGTACTCTCTTGATCATCACTTTGCATGAGAGACTCTGTGTTAGACCCTTTTTATAGAGAGCCTGAATGTGAACCATCAGTGTGTTGTACTGTTCGATTGTGAATGACCATATGTTGTCGGGATCACAGCGACCTCTGACCAAGTAGAAGAGATCGACGACAAGACTGGTGTCGGGAATGTTTGGTACAGGATAGGCAGTGCTGACCTTGTCATTATCTGTGAGTTGAAAGTCAACGATTACTTCATTGTTCTCGTTCCTTCTTAACATAGCAGTGGTGGGCTGATTGTTGTCGCTCTTGGTGATATCGATATATGTGACCGGTTGATTGGCCAGTGTAGATTGATTATTGTTATCATTGTTGCTGTTGTTGTTTGTGTTATGGTTGTTGTCGTTTGTTGACTCCAACTCATCTACATTGATACCGACAACAGCATCGCTAACACTGTCCAGATCGATTGGTTTGCCAGAACGAGCGGTGGAGGGCTTGACAGGAGGTGTGTATCTTGGAGGTGTTGGTGTGAATATCTTGTCGTCACCCTCATCTTGTTCATCGTCTGAAGAGAGTATCACAACTGCATTGTTGTCATTGTGTCCATTATAATTGTTTGTCGGAGGTGTGTGAGCAAGGAGGTCCTGACTATCCAGCGAGAGTGAGAAAGATTGAGATTGTGATGATAGATTGTTGTGATTGAGCTGTTGTTGTTGTTGTTGTTGTTGTTGTTGTTGTTGTTGTTGTTGTTGTTGTTGTTGTTGTTGTTGTTGTTGTTGTTGTTGTTGTTGTTGTTGTTGTTGATGATGATGTAATGATAGGCTCTGATGATGTTGTTGTTGCTGCTGCTGATGATAGAGTAATGAATCGTCTGGAGTTTGGTTCAATGATGTTGGGTGATAGATGTTGTTGTTGTAAGTTGAAGGTGCCTCTATCTTTACTCTCTTTGAGTGTTGCTCTAAGGTGAATGTATCAATCGGCTGATATATCTGTTGTTGTTGTTGTTGTTGTTGTTGTTGT